CACGCCCCACTCTGCCCCTTTCAGTGGGATGGAAGCTGCCAACAGGTCCAGCTGGGATGCATTGAGGGGGTTTTGATTGGACTGTGATGTGCTGAGACTTAGATAAAGCTTACCTTGCTTCAGGGGTGGAGCTAGCGAGTAGCCCACTGGAATTGGCCATAGAGAAGCCAGCAGTTTGGATAGAGAAGACGCACAGGAAGGAGAGGGCGGGGACTTGAGTGTGGCACTTCCTTTTGGCTGTGGGACCAGTAAAGAGACGTCCTGCTGCCTCTCCAGCCAAAAAGCAAGGTCAGCTGCTTCTCAGTCTCTCTGATCTAGCAGGGTTTCACCCCATCTGACTTCCGAGTCTTTGTTGGTAAATAAAACGACAGAGACTTAGTTCCAACCTACACATCTGAGCTCCAGCTCTGCCTCCGCTGCAGGACTGAAGGTCCTCTAGGCCCTGGCCTAAGTGGCCAGCACAGCATTGACTGTGCTGCAGACGATAATTAAAGTATCAGTAGATTCGTGTACAGCCGCTAAGCTGGCAGAAAAACATCAGGAGTGCTTCTTTGCAAGGGGGTGTGGCTGAATTCCCCAAGATGGCGGCTGCTCAGCCTGTACGACAGTCGCTACTCTAAACCATGCTTATATCTGAACATTCTCTTTGGGAGGGTCCAGGCAGAATGTCTTGTCTTGTTCAAGTATAAGAACACTGGGGCTGGAGAGATGGCTCAGTGGTTAAGAGCATGGGTTGCTCTTCTGGAAAACCAGGGTTTGATTCCCAGCACCCACATGATGGCTCACAGCCATCTGTAACTCCAGCTCCAGGGGATGTAGCGCCCTCTTCTGGCCTCTGAGGGTACCTGTGCTCATGTGTACATTCCCACACACATACATATAGTTAAAACTAAAATAAATCTTTTTTTAGATTTATTTATTACATATACAGTGTTCTGCCTGCATGCCAGAAGAGGGTACCAGATCTCATTATAGGTGGTTGTGAGCCACCAAGTGGTTACTGGGAATTGAACTCGACCTCTGGAAGAGCAGTCAGTACTCTTAATCTCTGAGCCATCTCTCTAGCTCAATAAATCTTTTCTTAAAACACAACCATTTATACCAGGCGGTGGCACACACCTTTAATCCCAGCACTCAGGAGGCAGAGGCAGGCAGATCTCTGTGAGTTTGAAACCAGCCTCGTCTAAAAGAGCTAGTTCCAGGACAGCCTCAAAAGCCGCAGAGAAACCCTGTCTTGAAAAAAAAAAAAAAACCAGTACTTGGGAGGCAGAGGCAGGCAGACCTCTATGAGTTCCAGGACAGCCAGGGCTACACAGGGAAACCCTGTTGCGGGATTCCTGCCCTATTCCCATCGCCACTTTAGCCCCCAAAATAACACACAGAGATTCTATTAGACTTTTTTTTTTTTTTTGGTTTTACGAGACAGGGTTTCTCTGTATTGTTTCGGAGGCTGTCGGTCCAGCCTAGCCTCGAAATCACAGAGATCCGCCTGTCTCTGCCTCTAAGCAAAGGTTAGACTTTCTTTTTTTTTTTTTGCAGAGATTCTATTAGTTACAATACTGTTGGTCACTGTTCAGGGCTTCTCATTGGCTAGTTCTGTCTTAAGTATTAACCCATGACTACTAATACATATTTTTATAAGGACTTACCTTTCCAAGGACGTCCTCCTGATGCGTCCTTTCCTTCTGGGAGATCACATGGTGACTCTTGACTACATTTCCCAGAATCCTCTTCGACTCCTAGTCCCACCTATCTTGCTTCCCTATTGGCCAACAGTGCCTTATTAATCAACCAGTAGGACAACATATACACAGAAGGGCGTCCCCCATCAAAACCCTGTTTCGAAAAACAAAAACAAAAAAATCCAACCACTTACCAATATGATATATATTACTTCTGGTCACCAGGAGGACCATGGTAGCTCAGAGACTTCCAATTGTTTGAGAGCTTGTCCACAAGCTCATAGGACATGCTGCAAAGGGGCCAACAAGGAACTAGAGTTCCGCTGGTCAGCAATGGCGGTATCTCACAGCCATTCTCCAGCAGGGTCATTGGGCCAGACTGTTTAACATAAGTTGTGTACCTCTGAGATCTCTCATCCACAGAGTGCATCCGTGTAGTACCTGCCCCAAGGATTCAGTGAGTTCACACATGTTGAAAACTGCCTAGGACATACTAAGCCCATGGGTGGAATTTGCTATTGTTTGTCCAGGACTCTTTCTCCATGTTGTCTTTAGAAAATCATACACAGGCCATAGTCACCAGCTAGATAAATCTCCATAAAATGAACGCACGGCATCGTGCGCACTCTGGGGTCCTGCTGCAGACCCTTGCTTTGGGTGTTCGCCCTGCCTGTCAATAGAATCCCTTGCTGATTGTCCCCACATGCCTGGCTGCTTCCACACATCATTCTGTACCCAAGATTACCCATGTCATCACTGGTGTTCTCCTATGTGGCTCCTCTTGCTGAGTGAGAATCTACCGTGTGAACGCTCTGCTTTTTACTGCTTTTTACTGGATGCACAGCCCTTTGAGTAGCTGCTGGCAGCTGGTATTGCCTCTTACAGCTGTCTGCGGGCACACTGGGGTTGTCCCTGAGCCTCTGGTCCTTTGGGACAGTTGCTTCCTCCCTGTGAGTGTAAGTTGGAACAACCTCTATGGAAGAAAATGTAGAAATCCCAAAATTACAAGCACACACAGCCTATGGTCCAGCAAGACTCATTCTAGGAGTTAATTCTACTTGGGTGAAATTATACTCCAGGGCTATTCATAACATAAGCAAAAGATGATTCCTTACTTTATGTGTATGGGTTTTTTGTGGGCGCATATGTTTCTGTACTGCGTGTGTGCCTGCTGGCCTCAGAGGTCAGAAGAGGACATCGGATTCCCAGGAACTGGAGTTACAGGTGGTTTTGAACCACTCACCACATGGGTGCTGGAAACCCAGCCTGGGTCCACTGTTAGAGCAACAAGTGCTCTTAGCCACTAATCAGCTCCCTGCCTCTCTCAGAAGCAGAAGCTGAGATGAGGTGGCATCAACTCAGTTTATTTTTATTTTTTTTAAAGATTTATTTATTGTGTATACAGTGTTCTGTCTGCATGTATGCTTGCAGTCCAGAAGAGGGCGCCAGATCTCATTATGGATGGTTGTGCTTCATCATGTGGTTGCTGGGAATTGAACTCAGGACCTCTGGAAGAACAGCCAGTGCTCTTAGCCTCTAAGCCATCTCTCCAAGCCCCTCAACTCAGTTTTTAAAAAAAAATCCAGGGGAAAGGAATTGGAGGAGAGGACAGGAGGGAGGGGGATGTAAAATAAATGAATAAATTTAATTAATAAAAAAAAATCCATCAGTAGCTGGTCAGTGGTAGTACACATCTTTGATCTCAGCACTTAGGAGTCAGAGGCAGGCTGATCTCAGTTAGGCCAGCCTGTGAGTTCCAGGATAGCCAGGTCTATACATAGAGAGACCATCTCAAAAAAAAAAGTCATCAAAGAACTGGGCAGAGTGGTACACACCTTTAATTCCAGCACTCAGGAGGCAGAGGCAGGTGGATCTCTGTGAGTTCAAGGCCAGCCTGGTCTACAGAGCGAGTTCCAGAACTGCCAGGATTGTTACACAGAGAAACCCTGTCTCAAAACAAAGGACCTGCAAGTTTGCTGCCAAGTCTCACAGCCTGGGTTCAACTCCCAGGACCCACAGGGCAGAAAGAAAGAACTGACTCCTGTAAGTTGCCTGTCCTCTGACCCCACACATGGACTGTGGTATGTGTGCGTGTACACACACACACACACACACACACACACACACACACTACAATTTTAAAAGATATATCCATAACAATTGGTTGAGCTATAGTACATTAATTCATCATGAGGAGGGAAACTCTGCATGTGTTGTTTGCTTGTTTTTTGCTTTTTGTTTATTTGTGTGTTTTTTAAAAATAGGGTTTCTCGGGAGGCAGAGACAGGCGGGTCTTTGTGAGTTCGAGACCAGCCTGGTCTATAAGAGCTAGTTCCAGGACAGTCTCCAAAGCCACAGAGAAACCCTGTCTCGAAACCCCCCCCCCAAAAAAAAAGAAAAAAAAAAGGGTTTCTCTGTGTAGCCCTGGCTGTCCTGGAACTCACTCTGTAGACCAGGCTGGCCTCAAACTCACAGAGATCCGCCTGCTTCTGCCTCCAAAGTGCTGGGATTAAAGGCGTGCGCCACCAACTCTGGCCTTCTAAATGAGTGTTATTAAAAACCTCCTGGGGAAACTGTTGTATGAACAAAAGCAGTGGAGAGGGCTGGGTATGTGGCTCAGTTAGCCGAGGACTTGCCTGAAATCCACAGGGCTCTTCCAGGGTGCCGATCCCAAGATGGGAAAAAGAATCCACAAAGATCTGTGAGGTAAGTAAGCCCCCACTTGTGGTAAGTTGCCTTCGAGGCTGATGGTTTGAGAGCACTGGCTGCTCTTCTAGGAGACTAGGGTTTGATTTCTATCACCCACCAGTCTAGTTACGTTCATAACTCCAGAGGAGCGCACAGGCTTTACCCCGGTCCAAGATGTGTACTCCTATCTTATGCACTTTTGAGTAAATTGTATTTCACAGTAGTGAAACTCCTGAGTGTCCCCTGCAAGGCCCGCAGCCGTGGTCCCAGCCTCCCGGAAGGTCCCCAGGTAGAAGCGCTTCACACTGCCCCTCTTGGCAGACGGGGTGAAACTGAAGTAGAAGCTGGGCTCTCAGTCTGGCCTGGTGCCAGGCTGACCTGCCTGGCCGGGAGTCAGGGCGCAGTTGCCCTGTCCACGGCCGCAGCATCTCCTCTTTCTGCTGCCTCCGCTCCATTGTTGACCAAGGGGGTCAGGACCCGCTGCCTCCTGCATTATTGATGCTACTGCCTAAGAGGGGAGGCTCGGGACAGATTGAGCCCATAACCAGGCCGGAGCAGACAGCGTCCGGCACCCGAGACCTCGGGGCAAGCTTGGGCAGTCAGATCAAAAGGCAAAAGGAGCAAGACACTGGGAAGGAGGAAGTCATGGGCGGAAGCAAGGGCAAAGCTCCCCAGCGCCGGGCTCAACCCGGGAGGCCAGCCTCAGGGGAGCAGGAGTCGGGGTCCGCCAGCGCTGACGGCGCCCCCAGCCGGGATCGCAGGCTGGCCCGCGGCAAAGCCCACAAGACTAGGCCCGCTAAGGACCCCGACGCCACCACCGAAGGCGAGGGGACCTCTGGAGGCCCCCGGAAGGCCGCCCGGGAGGGGAACCACCGCTGCAGGAGTGCGGGGACTCGGGCATCACTGGAGACCCGGGAGAGGCAGGGCAGCTCGCAGCGTCCTCGGGGCCACGGGCCCACCGAGAGTCGTGAGCCCGGGGCCAGTCATGGGGGGCTCCCGGAGGAACAGAGACTCCCCGGGGACGAAGAGTGGACGGTCAAGCGCGGCCGCCGCAGGAAAGCAAAGGAGCGGGGACCTTCGGCTCCGCGGCGAGGCCGTGGAGAGACTCCCGGCAGGGATGAGGACACGTCGGGCGGGGACGGTGGCAGCTCGTGCCTGGACAGTGAACACCACGAGGCCCTGGACAGCAGCAGCCAGGGCACCCTTATCCGAAGACCCGAGTCGACCGACAACGGTGGACATGCCTTGGAGCTCCAGAGCAGGGAAGGCCCGTCGGGGACAGGGCCTCAGGGAGCGAGTGATGATTCCCGGACAGATACGGACTCGGGTCCCGGGTGGGCCGGGCACGGACGTCGCCCACGGAAGATCCCAGGGACCTCAAGCCGCATCCCTGAGTCCCAGGGGATGGAGCTGGACAGAGACGCTGCAGCCTCCAGCTCCCTGGAGAGGAGCCGTGCAAACGCCCCCAGGGGCTCTCGGGGTCCTGTGGATTCCAAAGCGGTGGCAGACACCGGTGACAGTGACGTCGGGGCGCAGACAAAGGCTGAGCTGCAGGGCACGGAGCCTGAGACAGCGGAGACCCCCAAGGCTCAGCGACTCCAGGTCGGAGAGGTGGCAGGGAAGGTGCAGGTGCCTGTGAGCGAGAGCGACACGGGAGCCAGAGAGAGAGCAGGTGCAGGGGACCTACGACCTCAGGGCCCGGACCCGGCGCCGCTGGCTGCACTCGTGGTGCTCCGCAAGCTCCGTGCAAGGGCCCCGGCTGGTGCGTCTCCCCAGCTCGCGGGTGGCCTCCGCGTGGGCTTCAAGGCGCGGTTGCAGCGTGTGGCGCAGGCCCTGGGCCTCCTGCGCTGGCTGCGACTGCGGGTGCAGCAACGTCGGGCGGATGAGCGCAGGGAGAGTCCGCGGGAGCGTGAGGAACGCGGCCGCGAGAGGGCGCTCGAGTCGCGGGACGGGGTGCGGGGACCACCGCGCTGGCGGGCCCTGTGCCTGGCCTTTCGGGCGGTGCTCCGGGCACTGCCGCAGGCGCCCCCTGGCGGCAGTCCGAGTCTTCCTCAGACGCTGAAGAATTCAAGCTCAGAGGATGCATCAGCCATTGAGGATGCAACTCCAGATCCAAAGTTCGCGGTGGTCTTCCCCCGGATCCACAGTGCCGGGAAGGAGTCGTGCAGCAGCAACAGTTCAGGAGCATCCACGGACGCCCCCACTGGGGAAGGCCGCGTTTCTTCTCCTGCAGGGGCTGCAGAGTACAGGGAGGAGCAAGGGGCTAGAGAAGGAGGCGTGGTCAGGTCCCACCAGCCTCTCTCCTTTTCCCCGTCTGCCCGCAGTGAGACCCCACCGGACGTGAACCAGAGCGAAGCAGAGCCGGAGACGGAAGCGGAGAGTCGGGTGCACTGGGCAGAGGGCTCTACTCCCTGCGCAGAGCCTGGGCTTAGCGCTGATACTCTGCTACCTCAACTTACTTTGGAGACTCGCCTGCAGCAGAATAGCCCCTGCAGGTCCCCAAGGGAGCGGTGGGAGCCAGAGGATGATGTTGAGGCAGCGCTGGAAAGGGCACTGGAACTGAGCCTAGAGATGCCACCCTTCCCCGGTGCTAAGACCAGGAGTCTCCCAGAGGGCCTGGAAGACATCGAGGACCTCGCCCGCCTGCGGTGAGGGACACGATGCCAAATCCACCACTCCTGGCTCGTAATTCCTCATACTCCATCCCGCCCTTGGACCTTTGAAAGTCAAGGTCCTTTACTGAGTCAACAGGGGATTTTCGCCTCATAGAAAGGCAGATTCGGGGTGAAAGGTGGCCCCTTCCAAAGTCCCACACACACATGTACACACACACACACACACACATACACACACACACATACACACACACCCTTACTACGGCCTGAACCTAGGTTCTCGTGCATTTGGTCCTGATTTATAGAGCCCCAGCCCTCTTTATTTTTAATTGGGGGGGGTTCTTGAGTATCACAGTACACCCGCAGAGGTCACAGTCTATACCCCATAGCTTCTGGGGGTCACACTCAGGCTTTGGGGAAAGTGCTTTTACCCTCTTAACCATCTTGCTGCTCACCACCCCCACCCAAGTTGAGTTTGTGATACTCCCAAGTGGTTGGAGCCACAGACTGTGCCAATGGGACAGGAGAAGGACTTCCTTTCCTGGCTGGCCCAGAGGGTGTCTCTCTTGGTCGGCAGCTCCCACCCCTACTCCCAGGGGATGGGTTGCAACTGAGGATCTCAGCTGGGAGTTATACAGCTCGCCCAGGGTTTCCCTAAAGCTAAGTGGCCTCTGCCCATGACTGACTCCCAGCAATCTCACCCTCGTCCTGCTGTCCCCACAGGGTGGTGTGTGACAGCTCTGTGCTACTGTGTCTAAAGAAGAGGTTCCACCTGGGCCGCGTCTATGTAAGGGGGCCGCAGAGGAGGGACATGGCTGGATTCCCTTTCCTCTGTGGGCAGGGGGTCCCCGGCATCCCTGGGGCTTCCCTTCACCCCTAGACTGGGTATGAAGCCAGCTCGACCTGGAGTCCTGCAAGACACGCATGAGAGGCTGGTCTGGGGTGCATCAGAGCTCCCCATTTTGTCCCCTTCACCCCTTCTCATAAGAACCTCTGCTTTCTTTACCAGACTTTCGGGGGGCCCCTCCTGCTCGCCCTGAACCCCCACCGGCCACTGTCTCTCTTCTCTCCTGAGATCTTGGCCAGCTACCATCTCAGGAAGACCCCAAACACCACACCGTATGTGACTTCGCCCCGTCCTTATCTCCTGCTCATGTCTTGTGAGTGAGTTCCAGGGCCTGTGGGCGCATCGCCTATTCCGAGGAGGCCCCAGACAGCCATGCATGCCACCTTCTCATCACTCTGCCGTCCTTCCCCCCAGACACGTCTTTGCCATCGGGGCAGCGGCCTACAGCCTGTCTCGGAGCTCAGGACAGGACGCCTGCATCCTCCTGCGGTGAGTCACCACAGATTGCCTGACTGCCATCCGTCGCTTGCCTGAACCACACCCACACACCGCCCTAACTATTGGTCCTGTGCATTGCTGAGCAGCAATTCAGAAAGACACCCTCAGGACCGTCCTGAGGCCACCCGAGCGCCCCTGTGAGGCCACCCTGAGCACCACTGCCCTGTGAGCCACCCCGAGCGCCCCTGTGAGCCACCCCGAGCGCCCCTGTGAGCCACCCCGGGCGCCCCTGTGAGCCACCCCGAGTGCCCCTGCCCTGTGAGGCCACCCCGGGCGCCCCTGTGAGCCACCCCGGGTGCCCCTGCCCTGTGAGCCACCCCGGGCGCCCCTGCCCTGTGAGCCACCCCGGGCGCCCCTGCCCTGTGAGCCACCCCGGGCGCCCCTGCCCTGTGAGCCACCCCGGGCGCTCCTGCCCTGTGAGCCACCCCGAGCGCTCCTGCCCTGTGAGCCACCCCGAGCGCTCCTGCCCTGTGAGCCACCCCGAGCGCTCCTGCCCTGAGAGCCACCCTGGGTGCCCCTGTGTAGCCCTTCTTTCTGGTTGTTCTCCATGAACCAGGTGTATTCTCTTTACGCTGTCCCTTCTCTATGGAGTCACTCTCCTAAGGCACCTCCTGGGCTCAGTGGGACAATCCTAGGTGCTCCCTCCCATCCTTTGCTCCTCCCTCTTGCAGGGGGCACAGTGGCTCAGGGAAGACAGAGGCTGCCAAGAAGATTGTGGAGCTTCTAAGCAGCCTGGGGCAGAAGCAGACAGAGGCCAGAGGGGCTCAGGTGACGTCTGGCTGGAGGCAGAGGGGCTCAGGTGACGTCTGGCTGGAGGCAGACGGTCATTTCTTAGGCTGTTTCTCCAAGCCTGTAGCTTCTCATACATCAGCCCCAAGATTTCCCTGAGGCGGGGGAGTAGCGTAGAGCCTTTCCATTTTATTATTTATTGTTTAGGGTGGTGGTGGTAGTTCTTTGGATTTGATTTTCTTTTTTATTATTTTTTTCAAGACAGGGTTTTTCTGTGTAGTCCTGCCTGTCCTGGAATGTTTATCGGTAGTTCAGGCTGGCATCCAACTCAGAGATCCACCTGCCTCTACCTCCCCAGTGCTGGGATTAAAGACATGAGCCACCATGCCCAGGATAGTCTAGACCTTCCTGTGTAGCCTTGAACTTCTGCTCCTCCTGAGTGGGAGGGTTCTGGGTGTATACCAGCACACCCACCTTTATGTGCTGCTGGGGACTGAGCCCAGAGCCTTGTGGACGTCATGGGAGCGCTCTACAATCGAGCCACACCCTCAGCCCTTTTAATTTTTTGGGGGGGGGAGTGGGATGGGATTCTGATAGGACTGACCCCGCAGGGGCCCACACAGCCAGCAGTATAGAGAACTCTCAGCGGGTAGTGGGTGCTATGGCCATCTCGGGTATACATGAGTGTCACGAGTGTCCCTCACACAGCTAGAGGACATTCTGCCCGTGCTCAGCAGCTTTGGCCACGCCAAGACCATCCTCAATGCTAATGGCAGCCGCTTTGGCCAGGAGTTGTGCCTCTGTCTGCATCAGTGAGTGATGGGGATCCAGTGCGCACGGCGACACCGGTGGCACCCACGCCACAAGCAAGTCTAACGTATCGGGCGAAAGCCTGGATATTTAAATAAAAGACGAGACGTCTGGCCAATTGTGCTATGAGAATGCGTGCGTGCCCCTATTGCAAGGAGAATGCATGTGTGCGTGCGTACATGCATGCCTGTGCGTGCGTGCGTGTGTGCGTGTGCATGCATGCGTGTGGTGTGTGTGTGTCTATTGCAAAGAGGGAGCAGCCTCATATACAGACTTACAGCACAGTGGAGAAACCCCAGGTGTAAGAGTTCGTGTTTTATAATTAGAGGTCGATGCCAGTGGGGCAAGGCCGGGGCTGTAAGCCAGGGCTAGAAAACAGGACGCACCTGTGGCTATTGTCTGACAAACAATTCACAGAGATCCGGGGGACTGGGGCCCAACAGACACCTGCGTTGGGTACTCTTCTTGGGTGCTAGGATACTGCCTTTGAACTCAGCCCTTGGATGGGATGGCCCCTTCTGAAAAGTGCCCCTGGGCGAGCCCACCCTGTCTCTTTTACTCACAGGGGAGTCATTGTAGGAGCCTCTGTGTTCCACCATCTGCTTGAGACCTCCAGAGTAGTGTCTCAGGTAAGGACCCGCCTCCTAACCGCCCTTCCCCAACCCTGAAAGTTGGAAGGAGGAGTCGGAGTCCTGACTCTCAAACCCTGCCCCACCCTCAAGCCAGCGTCTCTCCCCAAGGCCCAGGCTGAGCGAAGTTTCCATGTTTTTTATGAGCTGCTGGCGGGGTTGGACCCCGCGGACCATGAACAGCTCTCTCTGCAGGGACCCGAGGCCTACTATTACCTCAACCAGGTAGGGGTGAAGCTCTCACGGATGGTGAGCCCAGCTAATCGGCTCAGCCAGGGCTTTCAGGATGCTGTGGAGATGCCAGGGGCTGCCCCACCACAAGCCTGCTGTACTCTGCAGGGCCAAACCTGCACACTTCATGGCAAAGACGATGCCCAGGACTTCAAAGGGCTGGTGAAGGCCCTGCGGGTGCTGGGCTTGTGTGCGGAGGAGCTGAGTGAAGTCTGGGCTGTGCTGGCCACCATCCTGCATCTGGGAAACGTCTGCTTCTCTTCTTCAGAGGTGGGCTCCCCTGTGGGCAGGGCCAGGGAGCACACAGGATGGGCAGCGGTGGGCGGTTTGCACTATTGGGCGATGATGAGGATGCCAAGCCGCTGTGTGTGTGGCAATCATAAGGCCCCGGGCTGCAGATCCCCGTCATGCAGACAAGGACAGTGAGCCCTGGCCCTTCGGCACCCCTCGTACTCAGCTGTTACCCTTAAGAACACATGGGCAGGGCTGGAGAGATGGCTCAGAGGTTAAAGGCACTGGCTGCTCTTCCAGAGGACCCAGGATCAATTCCCAGCACCCACATGGCAGCTCACAACTGTCTGTAACTCTGGTTTCAGGGCATCTGACACCTTCTATACCAATGCAAATAAAATATAGTTAATAGTTAAAAAAAAAAAAAAGAACACGTGGACTTAGCCAGGAAGCTGCTGTCTGATGTCAAGGGAGACCCCTTGGTACTTTTTAAAAGGAACTTAATTCTCATGTCAACACTGTGTCCTAAGGGAGATTGTTGTCTGTCCAGTGACAAGGTAGCAGAAGGTCCGAAAGAGAAAGGAACTGTCCAGAACTGCCAGGCCACTAGGAAAAGATAGTCAGCCCATACTCACCACCTTCAGCCCTAGAGTCTGGCTCACCTCAGCCCAGAGCACCTTGTATGCTGCTGGACGTTTGTTGATTTATTTGGAGACAGAGAGTTTTACTATGTAGCCCAGGCTTGGCCTCGAACTTACAGCGATCCTCCTGCCTCTGTCTCCCGAGTGCTGCGATTAAAAGTGTGCACCACCACAGCTGGCTGCTGTTAGTCCTTTGAGTACCGGGCAGCTGCCTAGATAAAGCAAGGCCATGCCTGGGTGCTATTGCCCAGGCCCAAGCAAAGCTCTTTCTGTCCCCCTCTGTCCAGCGGGAGTCCCAAGAGGTGGCTGCTGTGTCCAGCTGGGCTGAGATCCACCTGGCAGCCCGGCTGCTGCAAGTGCCACCAGAGCGCCTAGAAGGGGCGGTCACCAAGAGGGTCATGGTGAGCCCAAGGAGTGCTGGGAATGTGGGAGGAGCAACCTGAATCTCCTGTGGGTATGGGCCTGCCATCCTGAGCATCTCTCTGGCCTCCAGGACACTCCCTATGGCCGGGTCTCCAGATCTCTGCCGGTGGAAAGTGCTATCGATGCCAGGTGACCTTGGGGGGGGGTCACAGACTGGAACCGGGTGAGGTGCCCTGCTGGGCGAGGCTCACTTCCAGTGTCTGCAGGGACGCCCTGGCCAAGACCCTGTACACAAGGCTCTTCACCTGGCTTCTGAGGCAGATCAACGTGTTGCTGGCTCCGCCACGGGAGGCACACAGTGTGGCCACCATCACTGTCGTGGACGCCTACGGCTTTGAGGTCACCCTTTGGGAGGGGGAGGGGCAGGGCAGGTGGTTTTGTCTGTTACCCTTCTCCCTCTTATTAAAAACCGTCAGATTACCTTTCTAAAGCTAGCCACCAAGGTCTATTCCCTTTTTTTGACCACATCTCCCTCCTGAGAACGACTACCAAGGTCTAGCAATCAAAGTATTAAAGTCCAGCAATCAAAAGCCCCGTTTTGCCGGGCATTGATGACACATGCCTTTAATCCCAGCACTCGGGAGGCAGAGGCAGGCGGATCTCTGTGAGTTCGAGGCCAGCCTGGTCTACAAAGTGAGTTCCAGGACAGCCTCCAAAGCCACAGAGAAACCCTGTCTCGAAAAACAAAAAACAAAACAAAACAAAACAAAAAGCCCCTTTTGGCTCCCCTAATTAACATGCCCAATCAAAATGAACCAACTTGTTCTCACACAGGGTTTCCCCTTTCCCTTTATAAACTGTCATTCGCCTATGGGCCCCGTCTGCCTCCTCTCTATCCAGGGGCGGTCCTTTGTCCCTCCTGGGTGAACACCCCCCCCCCAGGCCTCTCCTTGTTCTCTGTCTCCTGTTTTTGTCTTTTATTCCTTGTCCTTTGTCCCTCGGGGGTAGATGAATCTCTTTAGCACTGAGAACTTGCGTGTCTTGAGTGGGTTCCGGTCCTTTCCCTCTCTGCCCTGGCCTGTGTCTTGGCTGGCTCTTTCTGGGGCTACTGAGTGGAATCTTGGTTGAGTGTCCCTGGGCGGGGTGAGGAGGAACCAGGATGGAAAGGGAACAGGTCATGCCTCTCGGGGCTTTAGACACTGGTGGAGGCTGGGGCAGGGAATCTTGGGGCTCCCGGTTGGTCCACTTACCTCCACCTTCATGTTCCCGGGAGGACGAAACCTCCCACCCCATGATGTTCCTTTCCCATCTGAGGCTGCCAACCCTCCTGGGTTCCCTCTGGGAGGGGCTGGAGGCCACCACAAGCCCCAGTGCTCCCGGCCTTCTCCTGCCCTTTTCTGGCTGTGACTTCACACAGCTGGTTAACCCTTCTGAGCGCAGTGCCCCCAGCAGTAAAGTAGGCAATGTTAGCTCTCTACAGATGGAGCCCTGCCCTGCTCTGTCTTGTTCTGGCGCTGCTTCTAGAGAGTTCTGTCCTGCATGGTGACCTTGGGCTGGGCCTGTCCACAACCTCCCATGTGAGGGAAGAAGTGGACCCTCTCAAACCTTCCAGAACTGTCACGGCTGTGCGCCCCTTTCCCCAAGAGCCGCCTCTTTTCGTGGGGAAGGAGATCCGTCTCCCCCAGTTCCTGAATGGGCACTGTTCACTGCCTGTGTGTCCTGCCCTCTTTAGGATGTCCTTAGTGACCGCTTCTGCCCTGGACAGGAAGGGTGTGTGCATGTGTGTTCTGCCCTGGACAGGAAGGGTGTATGCATGTGTGTTCTGGTGCTTGCTTGCAGGTGTTCATAGCTGCGCTAAAGTAGTGAGTGTGCACATCTGTGCAAAGGTAGTGGGTGAGTGTGTACAGCTGTGCAAAGGTAGTGGGTGAGTGTGCACAGCTGTGCTAAGGTAGTGGGTGAGAGTGCACAGCTGTGCTAAGGTAGTGGGTGAGTGTGCACGTCCATGTTAAGGTAGTGGGTGAGTGTGCACAGCTGTGCTAAGGTCATGGGTGAGTGTGCACAGCTGTGCAAAGTTAGTGGGTGATTGTGCACATCTGTGCTAAGGTAGTGGGTGATTGTGCATATCTGTGCTAAGGTAGTGGGTGAGTGTGCACACCTGTGCTAAGGTAGTGGGTGAGTGTGCACATCTGTGCTAAGGTAGTGGGTGAGTGTGCACACCTGTGCTAAGGTAGTGGGTGAGTGTGCACATCTGTGCTAAGGTAGTGGGTGAGTGTGCACAGCTGTGCAAAGTTAGTGGGTGAGTGTGCATATCTGTGCTAAGGTAATGGGTGAGTGTGCACAGCTGTGCTAAGGTAGTGGGTGAGTGTGCACAGCTGTGCTAAGGTAGTGGGTGAGTGTGCACAGCCGTGCTAAGGTGGCCAGGCACCTTCCTGTTGGCTGGGGTCTCCATTCTGGGGTACCACTCCCGCCAGGGCCCTGGAGAGAAGGAGGGGCAGCCCCACTTGCCCTGCCCCCACCTCCCATGCTTTTCACTGCTCCCAGGCACTGCGGGTGAACGGCTTGGAGCAGCTGTGCAGCAACCTGGCCAGCGAGCGCCTGCAGCTCTTCTCCAGCCAGAGACTGCTGGCCCAGGAGGAGGTAGGGAGCTGGGCACAGATGTGGCAGGTGACAGAGCCCAGCAAGGAGGCCAAAGTAACCCATGGGCAGCCCTGCCCCAAAGCCCTCTTCCCGTAGTGGGTGGGGAGGGTCAGCCCTTCTTGACCTCCATTTACATAAGAGGAGGGGAACTCCCTTTGGCAGCTCCGTGATCTCTCCCGCCCCGCTGAGTTATCAAATACTGTTTGCTTCTAGGAGGAGTGCCAGCGGGAGATGCTGAGCTGGGTGCCCATTCCCCAGCCTCCCAGGGAGTCCTGCCTGGACCTCCTGATGGGCCAGCCCCACAGCCTCCTGAGCATCCTGGACTCCCAGACATGGCTACCCCAGGTAACGCAGTCATCAGAGATGCTCAGTGTCAGGGACAAGGAATGGGAGCCCTAAGCAGCCAGGATGAAGCCAGCAGGGCCTCCTGGGAGATAACCAGGTTATAAGGTCCAGAGACTCAGCCTTTCTGCACAGCCCAGGGAAGATGCATTCAAGAAGGAAAGCTCTGGGTTCCCACCAAAAGCTTTAAAAAAACATTTAATTTTAAATGTAAGAATATTTTTGTTTCTTTTTCAAGACAGGTTTTCTCTGTGTAGTCTTGCTTGTCCTGGAGCTCACTCTGTAGACCAGGCTGGCATTGAATTCAGAGATCAGCCTGCCTCTGTCTCCTGAGTGCTGGGATTAGGACAAGTGCTGCCACCACCCAGTGTGTATGAATGTTTTATCTACCAGTGCGTGTGTGCCTAGTACCATGGAGTTCAGAAGAGGTTGTTGGATCCCCTGGAGCTGTAGTTACTATGGTTGAGAGCTGCCATGTGGGTTCTGGGAGCAGAACCTGGGACATCTGTAAGAGCAGCAAATGCTCTTAGCCATCTCTCCAGCCCCTTAGCTTTGTCTTTGACATAGGAAGCCATGTATACAGTCTTGGCTGGCCTTGAACTCCTGATCCTATGTCTCCACATCCTAAGTACTGGTATTGCAGGCATGCACCACCACCAACCAGCTACAAGTTAGTAACTGGCTATGGGGTATAAATACTCCGTTACATGTCAGCCTCTGCCACCCTGTATCTGAACTCCCAGAGGGGACAGGTGCTCTTGATTGTCAACTACAGTTCAGTGTGACTTATCCTACACTAGGCTGAGCTGCAGGTGGGCCAGGCCTGTCTGAAGGCCTCCGATTCTATCCATGGTTCACTGGCAAGGAAGGAAGAAGGGATCGATTTGCATGTAGGGACCATTCTCAGGGAAAAGGTCAGACACAAACGATTCAGTTCTTCCCCTCCTGGAGCCCAGGAGAGGGGGGAGGGAGTGTTAGGGGCTGGAGAGACGACTCAGCAGTAGAGAGCACTCGTTGCTCTTGCGGAGGGGACAAGTTCAACCCCCAGCATCCACATGGTGGCTCACAGCCACCAACATAACTTCAGTTCCTGGAGATCTGATGCCCTTTTCTGACCCCCGTGGGCACCAGACACAAACGGCAGTGCAGGTAGAGCTATGCAAACAAAGTGCACATACACGAATTAAAAAAGGAAGGAAATAGCCGGGCGGTGGTGGCGCACGCCTTTAATCCCAGGCGGATCTCTGTGAGTTGGAGGCTGGGATGGACCGACAGCCTCCAAAACAATACAGAGAAACCCTGTCTCGTAAAAACAAAAACAAACAAACAAAAAAGAAAATATAAAAATTAATTTTAAAAATGGCCGGGTGTTGGTGGCAAATGCCTTTAATCCCAGCACTCAGGAGGCAGAGGCAGGCGGATCCCTGTGTGTTCGAGGCCGGGCTGGACCAACAGCCTCCAAAACAATACAGAGAAACCCTGTCTCGTAAAAACCAAAAAAAAAAAAAAAAAAAAAAAAAAGACAGAAAAGAAAAAGAAAAGAGGAGGGAGGGAGTCTGGGGGGGTATAGTTTGCTTGCCTGGTGTGTGTAAGAAGATAGTGGATTCAGTCTCTAGATTCTAATACAGACTCCACCTGATCCGGGGTGGCAATGATTTCCTGTCTGTCAACACTCACAAGGCAGGAGCAAGAGGAATGCAAATTTGAAGCCAACACAGCCTGATGTAAATTAAAAAAACAAAAAAAAAACCAAACAGAGCCGGGCTGGGCGAGGCAGGAGATCGCCAGCTGGTCTGGCATGAGACTGTGGTTTCTCACAGTGAATAAATGGGAGCCCCAGCTGTGTGCTGGGTGGGCAGCGAGCATTACGGGGTCACAAGAACATGCATAGGACCCAGACCTTTGGGAACCGAGGCTGGAGGGTAGACACCAAAAATAAAGTGACCCCGGGACAGCGATATGGCTCAGTTGGTAGAGGGCTTGCCAGCAGGCACGGAGCCCTGGGTTCGATCCCCAGCAGGGTATAAAATCAGATGTGGCCGGGCCGTTCTCTGGAACCGTTGGGGCCGAGCAACCACCATCTTGGGGACTTCAGCTGTGTCTCCTTGCAGAAGATCATCCCAAGTGGTTATTAACTGTTTATGACCCCTCACAAGAGGGATCAGGAGGGTCACCGGACCGTCGCCTGGGTACACAGCCGTACCTCACCACCTGTACCCAAGGCAGCCCTCGTTGGCCCGCATTGCACGTGGTCTCAGGGAAAGGCTAGTGTTTATAGGCCAGGGAAGGGGGCTCCATCTGTGCAGATATAGGAAAGTCCTCGCCGATGCTGGGTAAGACTTCTGCGGGGGAAGCACGCACACTCCATGAAGCGACTCCTCATCCATGCCCTCTAAGTAAGCCCGATGAAGTAACAGGTTCCCCAGGGTGAATTGCGGTGAAATCGTGCCTTGATTTCCCACAGGGACCTTAGAGGAAGCAGGCCTTGCCCACTCCTCCCTTGAGAGGGGATTTTGACAAAAGGTACACACCTGTGATCCCAGCACTCTGAGGTAGAGGCAAGCAGCCTCTTCTCAGCTACACAGTGAGCTGGAGGCTAGCCTGGGCTACAGGAGACGGTCCCAAACCAAACAAAAACCCAGCCAGACACAGTATGCAACCTTTAATCCCCAGGATTCTGAATACAGAGGCAGGTGGGTCAATGTGAACTCAAAGCCAGCCCGGTCTACGTAGGAAACTGTCTCCAAAACGAACGAGACCTACCACAGGTGTTACTCAGGTTCCAGGGTCACTCTATAAAAAATTTAAACTTGTGTGTATGGGTGTGTTTTGCCTGAACACCATGTGTCTTCCTGGTACATGAGGAGGCCAGAGGAGGGCGTCAGATTCCCTGGGACTGTGAGCCACCACCCATGTGGGAGTTGGGAACTGAACCAGGTCCTCTGGCAGAGCAGCCAGGGCTCTTAGCCTCTGAGCCATCTTTGCAGCCCTTAGGTTATGTAACGTAACCTGTAAGGACTCGGGAAGCTGTAGTTGTGGGATCCGCCTGGGATGGCGTTGACAGATGTCAAAGCCCCCAACTCTGTTTCCTTTTCTTAAGTAGAACTTGGTTGCTCCAAATGTAAAGTCATCAAGAGAGAGAGTGCTTGTTTCAGACTTACTCTTCCTGTCCGAGGAAGAGATTTGGGGAGACAAGTCTAGGGTGTGGTTCTGGGGTCTCCAGGTGGGAGCGAGGTCCAGGCGGGGAAGAGCGAGCATTACACAGGCTGAGGAAAGCGTGCTCCTTCCTGACCAGGCCACGGACCACACTTTCCTGCAGAAGTGCCACTATCACCACGGAGATCACCTGAGCTACGCCAAGCCTCAGCTGCCCCTACCCATCTTCACAGTGCGGCACGATGCTGGGACTGTCACCTACCAGGTATCCGCTCTTGGGCACAGACTCCAGGGTGAATCAGTAAGGCCATGTCACCTTAGTGTCTGCCCCTCCCAAACTGAGTCACCTACCAGGTGACAATATCAGGGCAGTGTAGTTCCACCTGAGCCTCAGGCCACACCCAATTCTGAGCATCAGAATTACTTTCATAGCTCCTCAGCAAGGGGTGGGGCCTTGTGAGCCCCGCCCATTCATGCTGGATATATGTTCATTTTTACATGTATTTGTTTTCAATGGGGGGGCAAGAGGGCAGCAGCTGCACATGCTAAAACACACATGTGGAGGCCAGAGGACAACTTTTGGGGGTCGGTTCTCTCCTTCCACAGAGTGAATACCTGGGGTTGAACTTGGGTCCTCGGACTTGGGAGCAGGCATCTTACTCCTTACAGCTCGTTATGCTGTTTACCCTCTCTCCCTCCCTCTCTCTCCCCCGTCTCTCAGCTTTTGGAGACAGGGTTTCTGTGGTCATAGCTGTCCTGGAACTCTGTAGTCCAGGCTGGCCTCGAACTCAGAGATCCACCTGCCTCTGCCTCCTGAGTGCTGGGATTATAGGCGTGTGCCACCATCACCTGGCGAAGTTCGATCTCTTAACCACTGAGCCATCTCTTCTGAACCCATTTTAATTTTTATTTTGTGTGTGAGTGTTTTGCCTACATGCGTCTATGCACCATGGATGCCTGGCACTCTCACAGGTCTTAAGAGCGCCAGACCATCTTGGACTGGAGTTATAATTGGTTGTGAGCTGCTTATGTGGGTGCTGGAAATCAAACCTGGGTCTTCAGGAAGAACAGCTGGGGCTCTTAACTGCTGAGCCATCTATGTAGCCCAAGTAGTCTGGTGTGTGTGTGTGTGTGTGTGTGTGTGTGTGTGTGTGTGTGTGTGTGTGTGGTGTGGTGTGTGTGTATGTGTCTGTGTGTGGTGTGTGTGTGGTGTATGTGTATGTGTGTGGTGTATGTATATATGTGTGTGGGTGTGGGTGTGGGTGTGGGTGTGGGTGTGGTGTGGTGTGTTTTGTAGTTGTTGTTTGTTTTTGAGACACAGTCTCACTCTGTAGACCAGGCTGGCCTCGAGCTCACAGAGATCCACCTGCCTCTGCCTCCCAAAGTCCGGCTGGAATTACAGCCGTGCACGACTATCCATGGCCTTTGATTTGTTTGGGGGACAGGGTTTCATATTGTCTCATCTGGCCTTTAAGTTTTTTTGTAGCCAGGGATGGCGTTAAACTTCAGATCCTTCTGCCTCTAGTCCCCACGTGCCAGGATTGCAGCTGTGTTAACCCCATGCCTACTTCAGGTCATGCTGGGACTCAAATCCAGGGACATGAGTATGTTCCGTAAGGGCTCTTTCAGCTGAGGTACAACCCCGTCCCTGAGACTGGGTTTTGATTAAAAGCAAACAAAAAACACAAACTATTCTGAGTTTTTCTTTTTAGGGATTTTAGATGTATGGGTATGTGCCGGCCTGCACCATGTGCGTGCCTGGTGCCATGATTCTCCTGGCACTGGAGTTCAGACAGTTGTGAGCTCTTACGTGAGTGTGGGAGTTGAGCCCTGGTCCCCTTGGAGGAGCAGCCATGGTCTCAACCCCTGAGCCATCTCTCCAGCCCCGCCGTTCATAACAGTAACCAGGAGACTTCGGGGGGAGGCAGAGGATGAAGGGTTAGGGAAATGTCCAGCAGTGCATGCCCTGGAAGAGGACAGCTTTGCAAACATGGACCCGTGTTTTCTGGGATGAACCAGAAAGGTCAGTTCCCCAGCAGGAGTATGCAAAGCTGAGGGAGCCTGCTGGTTTCTGAGGGGTGGTGCACAACCAGCCTCTTGCAGGCCCGTGCACCCGCCCCCTCCCCTACTCCCCCCCTCGCCGGCCGCTCACCCGCCTCCTCTCTTGCAGGTGCACAAGTTCATAAGCAGGAACAGGGATCACCTGGACTCTGTCGTGGTGGAGATGCTTGGGCAGAGCCGATCACAGGTGATCTGGTATTCCTTTCAGATGCCCACTCAGCTCATCCCCCATCAAGCCCCGAGGGGCCCGTCCTTGACGCCATGGCGCCCTGGATGGAGGAACGAGCATGTGGGGTGGGGGTCTAGTGTTGAGGGCTGCCTGCCCTGTCTCCCCAGGGGCTGTGTGGTGGGTGGACAGGCCGGGGATGGGGACAGCTGACGCTCATCTCACCCCACAGCTCGTGGGCAGCCTGTTCCAGGAAGCAGAGCCTCAGGCTGGGAGAGAGCGGAGCAAACCCACACTGGCCTCCCGATTCCAGCAGTCCCTGCGGGACCTGCTAGCCCGGCTGGGCAGGCGAGGACTGAGCCCTCCCTCGGGACCCCCGGGAGTCGGGGGCGGGGGTAGCCTGGCCTGTGACCATCCTTCCTTTCTTCAGGAGCCCCGTCTATGTCATCCACTGTCTCAACCCCACCCCTGGAGAGGTGAGCTCCCTTTCCCCAACCTCGCCCCTGCCCGCCCTCCTCAGCCCCTCCCTCCCTCCTCTGAGACCCCGGTCATCCCTGACTCCAGCTCTCCTTGGCTGTCTCTGCCTCATAGCTCCCACGCCTCTTTAACGTGGAGCACGTGGCGGAGCAGCTGCGCCAGGCTGGCATCCTGGAGGTCATAGGTACCCGGAGTGCCCACTTCCCTGTTCGAGTGCCCTTCCAGCTCTTCCTGACCAGGTACGGTTCTGCGGTGGGGTAGCTGAGGGGCTGGGGCCAGTTCGTGACAGGGGACAATCCCAGGTGTGTAGTTCTGGCAGAGAAGGGGCCATGTGCCTGACTTCCAACACCCTTCACACACACACACACTCTCTCTCTGTCTCTCTCTCTCTCTCCTGCTGGAGATGACAGGGTCCTGCCTGCCCAGGGACCTTACCGTGCAGCCGGGTGGGCACAGCAAATATCAGGAAGGCGTGACTGAGTGGGTGAGATGAGGGAGGACAGTTAGCAGAGCCTTTCAGACGGATGAGATGGCAGGCGCAGGGGCAGCCACGGGGAGCCAAGAGGTTGGAGCAGTGGGGCGGAGAGCTAGCTCAGAAGTATCTAGGAGAGCTGGTGACTGTCTGTTGTGTTGTCTACTTGGCCTTGACCTGGGCCAGCCTCTCCTCCACCTCTGAGGTTTCACCTCCCGGCTCTAACCACCCTCTTTGCCTGTGACTGCGATAGTCCCGGGACAGTCTGGCGGAGGGGAGGAGCCTGAAGAGGAAGTAGATGAGCACTGTGTGACTCTCCCTGAGCTAGAAGCTCACAAATGACAGGTGAGGTTGTGTCCCTGCCCCGGGACACTTGCCAAGTCTCGGCGACTGTCACCTGTTCCAGGAAGCTCTGTGCTCGCTCCGCTGGAGGGGTTGGTGCACGCTCTTTGCCCAGCACCGCTAGGTCTGTTGCTGGGCCTTCTGGGCCTTGGGCCCCACTGCCGTGCTGCGTCAGGTGCCAGAGACAGAAGCCACAGGGCCACATCATGTTGCCACTCCAGCCCTACCTGGCCTTATGACACCGTCTCTTCCGTTTAACAACCTGCGCGGTCTCCGAAGCAGAGGTCTCACCTCTCAGTTCTGTCCGGAGTCAGCAAGCTGCTGGCTGTAACACGGGGTATATGCGTGTGGGAGTGTGTGTGTGAGAGTGTGTGAGTGTGAGAGTGTGGTAGGAGAGTGTGTGAGAGTGTGCGAGTGAGTGTGTGTATGTGTGTGAGTGTGGTAGGAGAGTGTGAGTATGTGTGTGAGAGTGTGTGAGAGTGTGTATGTGTGCATAAGAGTGTGTGCACTGCAGGTACTTGCACACTCCCTGGGACTGGAGTTACAGGTAATTAATTGTAAACTCGCTGTCACGGGTGTTTGGAACTAAACCTGGGTCCTTTGCAAGGGCAGCAAGTGCTCCTAACCACTGACCCATCCTTCTGGCTCTGAGAGATAGTCTTTTGGTTTTGTTTTTCTCCAGACAGGGTCTCTCTATAGCCCTGGCTGTCCTGAAATTTACTCTGTAGGCCAGGCTGGCCTTGAACTCAGAGATCTGCCTGCCTCTGCCTCCTGAGTGCTGGGATTATAGGCGTGTGCCACCATCACAGGAGAAGAGTCAATGGAAGACTGTCTTGATTGTTAATTGGCATAGGAAGACCTAGCCCGTGGTAGTGGCGCTGTTCCCTAGGCAGGGAGTCCTGAGTCGTAAGAGGAGGCTGCTGCCTGAGTTCACGCGCTCCTCGGGCTCTACTCTTGGCTGTGGTGTGGCGAGATGCTTTCCTTCCTGTACCAGTGGGCTGCACCCGGGAATTGTGAACCAGATACACCCCTCTCTCAGCAGCCGCCTCCTCCCTCACAGCAACAGAAGCTAGAACGGAGGTTTCCCAAGTTGTTGATTGATCCAGAAACTGAGTAATCACCAGGGGCCAGCCGTCAATCAAGTGTCTAAACTGGTCCTTGCTCTTCCAACCTCACTCTGTGCCCTTGTGACAGGTTCCGCGCCCTGGGGTCGGGGAGACAGGATGCTCTCTCTGACCGGGAGAGGTGTGGCACCATCCTCAGCCAAGTGCTGGGGGCGGGATCACCAGTCTATCATCTCGGAGCCACCCAGGTGGGTGTACGTGGGAGTGCGGAGCAGTGGGTAGTGCGTGGGAAGGAAAGACCCTGCTGGATCAGCCGCGGGCACCTTCTCCGTGACGGGCAGATGGAGCGGGGCGGCCGGCAGGCTAGCCCTGGCACCCTGGGATAGATTGTGTGGCCTGATGTGGGGTGGCTGAGGACGGAGGGGAGGAGCAGGCATGCGCCTGTCTGTTTTCCCCATCCTCCCAGCCCCACCCCACCCCACTCCCACGCAACACGCCTCCGCACACAGGTCCTACTGCAAGAGCAGGGCTGGCAGCAGCTGGAGCAGCTGTGGGCACAGCGGCGCTCTCAGGCCCTGTTCACTCTGCACCGTGGCCTCCGAGCCTGCATCACGCGCCAGCGCCTCCGCCTCCTGCCCCGGATGCAGGCTCGTGTGCGTGGACTCCAGGCCAGGTGAGCGGACGCTGGAGCCAAGGACCAAAGTGGGAGCTTGAGGCTGTGGGACACGTTCTCGAGTGCTGCTGAATGGTCGGGAACTGAAGAGGAGGCAGAGGAGGCTCGGAGTCAGCGACTGATCACACCGTTAACTTTTTCTCTGAGGGAGCAAAGCCTAATTCTCTGGGGCTGGCGAGTGGGGCAAAAACTTAATTCTTCGGGTCCGGCAAAAAAAAAAAAAAAAGGGACACACACACACACACACACACACACACACACACACACGAGACCCTGACATGTATCTCTATCTTCTGTATCTTTTCCCTTGCCTCTTTCCTGATGTTTTCCTTCTATATCTTGATTTCCCCCCTTTTACATCTTTCCTATTTCTCTCTTATAGCTTAAACACCCCACCAAAATCTTGCAGGCAGCATGAAACCTAACAATGTGGTTACATTCTATTTCTCAAGTGAATTATTGCAATGAATACAAGTGAAAAACTGCCCTTACACGATTAAACATTTTATGTTTTAGGGGAGAAAGATTATTCCCGAGGACCCACATACATTCATGTCTAAGCACCTTGTTATAGATTAACAAAGGGTAAGCAAGCAAGGTGTTTTTCTCAGTCAGTTTTTACCGGCAGGCAGCATTTTGCAGTTACAAAGAAAGGATCAATCATTTTACTATTTATCTCAGAAGGGAATCTTATAAAAAATCTTTAAACACACACACATATGTAAGTATGTATATAAAATCAGTCATTTCTACTTAAAATCCTCAGGGTGCATACATACTCATCATTAATTTTTATTTAATCACCCCAGGATGCTGAGGGCAAAGATAGACAAGGAGTTAATCATCCCCTTTCATCACAGCCCATCTTTAGCAAGAAAGACATGTCAGCTACTCACACCAGGCTGCCATGGTTCTGGTTCGCTGACATCAACGAGTCCATGTGCCAGCCAGGCGGTGGTGGCACACGCCTTTAATCCCAGCACTCAGCAGGCAGAGGCAGGCGGATCTCTGGGAGTTCGAGACCAGCCTGGTCTACAAAGCTAATTTCAGGACAGCCTCCAAAGCCACAGAGAAACCCTGGCTCAAAACCCCTTCCCCCCCCAAAAAAGAGTGCCCTCCTAAACATTAAACTGTTCCCCAAGGTTTTCTACAACACCATCAACAGAAACATCTTAACCTTCCTAACAATCTGCACGTCTAAATTCTTCCTAAGGGTGGTGGCTGAATCATAATCTGCTCCAGCAGCAATGCTTGGAGAAAGCCAATCACTCTTACTGTAAGTACCAGTGGCACTGCCCGGTGAGGGGCTTGAAGCCTCCTGAGGCTTTTCATATGACTCAGATTTTGAGGGACCTGGTGACCAAGAGGGCAGTAAACAGAGCTATGCTCAGTAACAGCAAGAGTTCCTCGGGGCTCTGCCTCTCCAAGGCTCACCCCATGTTATGCTGACCGTGGGACCATTTTCCATGGCTTCCAAAGCTGCCTGCTGTTCCTCTCACATGGCCCCCCGACACTCAAAGTGGTGGGCAGAGTTAGGGTCCTGTGGGTCTTGGGGACAAGCTGACCTGTCCCAGTGTCATTCCTTCCATCCTGTTCTCTGACGGCAACACGGGACGCCTGCTCCAATCCCTCCCCGGGGGAAAGGCTCACTGCTGCTGGGACCCTGGAATCTGATGCCTTGACTCCTGTCTGGTCTGCTCTCCCTCGGGCTTTGTTTGAGACAGTCTCGCCATGTAGCTCAGGCTGACTTCAAACTCACGATCCCCTGCCTCAGCCTTCTGGATCTGGGATTACAGTCTCCCACCGCCACACCTGCAACCACTCTGACCCCCCTGGCCAGGAGCCGAAGACAAAGGGACGAAGGCGGCAAGGATGAGGCCTCCTGCGCTAGCCGTAGCGAGGGGTCAGATTCCAACAGGGAAGCAGCCACTGGCCCAAGGCTGAGGACAAGGTGGAGACAGTGGCATGGCGAGAAACGCCACCACAGGTGGCCACTGCCACTCTCTACGCCTCAAACTCACTCACCACGGAAAGCGAGCAGTAGCTCCTCCCTCCCACAATGCCACCCATCTCTAGTAGCTCCAGTGTGTTTTCTTTTTTTTAAGATTTATTTATTATGTAGTGTTCTGTCTGTATATATGCCTACAGTCCAGAAGGGGGTACCAGATCTCACTACAGATGGCTGTGAGCCACCATGTGGTTGCTGGGAATTGAACTCAGGACCTCTGGAAGAGTAGTCAGTGCTCTTAACCTCTGAGCCATCTCTCCAGCCCTCCAGTGTGTTTTCTGTCTCTAGATTTGTCTTCTATTTCCTGTAAGCCACTTTATATTCCAATTCCTTTTCTGCCTGGCCTAACTTACTCTGTGTATGTGTGTGCGCACGCGCGCGTGCGCGTGCATGTGTCTGTATAATGTTCCACTGTGCAGATTCACAGCTTGTTGCTGATGGATGTTTGGGTTGCCCCCGACCCTTACCAACATGGCTGTAGAAGTATGTTTTTTCCTTTTTTTAAAAAATTTTGTTTATATTTATTTGCATCGGTGATTTGCCTGCATGTATGTCTGTGTGAGGTTGTCACATCTTGGAGTTGCAAACAGTTGGGAACTGCCATGTGGATGCTGGGACTTGAACCGGGTCCTCTTGAAGAATAGCCAGTGCTTTTAACCACTGAGTCATCTCTCCAGCCCACCGTGTTCCGTTATTAAGTGCCGGGGTCTATACTTAGGAATAGAATTGCTGCGTCACGGGGTCATTCTGGGGTCAGCTCTTTGAGGATCTGCCCCCACCGGCTCTCACGGTGCTGACGTCTGTCTGTCCTATTGACAGTGCACAGGGTTCCGGTGTCCACACATCCTTGCTAATACTTCATTTCTGGTTTTGGTTTTTCGAGACAGGGTTTCTCTGTGTAGCCTTAGCTGTTCTGGAACTCACTCTGTAGACCAGGCTGGCTTCAAACATACAGAGATCCGCCTGCCTCTGCCTCCTGAGTGGCGGGATTAAAGGCGTGTGCCATCACTGCCTCATTTTGTTTTTTGAGACAGTTTCACTATGTAGCTTCTACTGGCCTGGAACTCACTATCTAGACCAGGCTGGCCTCGAACACTCAGCTCCACCTTCCTCTGCCTCCTGAGCGCTGAAATTGAAGATGTGTGCCAGCAAGCCTGCTTCAGGTTGTTTTTGACTTGATTTCCCTAATGACTTTATTGATGCTGAGCATATTTTTGAGTACTTTCTGCCCACTTGTGGAAATGTCTACTTTAGTCCATTGCCTGTTTTTGTTTCACTGGCATTTTTGAAAAACTATATTTTATGTGTTATGGTGTTTTTCCTGCATGTTTGTTGTGCATGTAGTGTTCTTAGAGGTCAGAAGAGTTGGCATCAGATCCCCTGGAACTGGAGTTACAGATGGTCGTGAGCCACCATGTGGTTCCTGGGAGTTGAACCCAGGGCTCTGGAACAGCAGCCAGTGCTCTTAACCACTGAGCCATCTCTCTAGCCCCAACACACCCAGCTTTCTTACTAGTTATTATATGTGCATGGGTGTTGCCTGCATGTATGTACATGTACCATGTGTTCATGCCCCGTGTCTACAGAGTCCAAAAGAGGGCACCGGTTCCCCTGGTGCCAGACTTACAGATAGTTGTGAGCCATTGTGTGGGTGCTCGGAACCGAACCCCCCCATCTCTGCAAAAACAGCAGGTGCCCTTTACCCGTGAGCCACCTCTCCCCATCTCTGTTGGTAAGCCACAAGTGTTCTCCTTATCTTCTGGGTATTGGGCCACCACTAAATGTGATTTGATGGCTTTTTATTCTGTACTTTATAACACGATATAAACCAAGAGACAGATATTGGGGCTCAAGCTGAAGATCAGAGAAGCAAAGCAGTCGGCCACTAGCTCTTACCTCCACCTCAGTCTGAAACGGGTGATCCTGTCTCCACCAAACCCCAGACTGCCATCCTCTGAGTTCCTGTCTCCACCAAACCCCAGACTGCCATCCTCTGAGTTCCCGTCTCTGCCTACCGTATCGATCATTCCTGTCTCCCTCCACCTAGTGCTGGGATTAAAGGCCTGTGATCCCAAGTGCTGAGAATCACCTTTGTGTGAGCTGTTTCTCTTTTAGACTGGATCAATGTCGTGTAGCTCAGGGTGGCCTTGAACTAACAGAGACCCGTCTGCCTTTGTCTCCTGAGTGCTGGGATTAAAGGTGCGTGCCACCCCGCCTGGCCTCGATGGCTGTGGCTATCTTTGCTTTTCTGACCTTCAGTGTCTTTATTTAAGCATAAACATCACACATCACCACAGTACTTTGTCCTCTGACTTTCTTTTTGCTGTCCTCTGATGCATGGAAGTTGTGGGGCGATCCGTGGATTGAACTTCGGTGCTGGGGACCAAGCCCCGGGACTTGAACACACTTGGAAAGTAGTCTGTGTGTGAGCTGTGCTTCACTTCCAGCCTGTAGATGAGTGTGTGTGTGGTCTGCGTGTATACATGTGGGAATGTACCTGCTGGTGCGGGAACCTGTGTGTGCACACGCGTGTGGAGGGTGGAGACTTACACTGATCTCTTCCCCTGTCATTGGTTCCCAAACGCGTTCTGCAGGAATGGAGGAGGGTCTGAGACGGGGTTTCTCTATGAAGCTTTGTCCTAGAATTTGCTCTGTAGACCAGGCTGGTTTTGAACTTAGCTTGTTGTCTTACCTGGCTTCCATATGTGTAGATGCTGAGGACTAGAACTTGGCTCCTCCTGTTGGTACAGCTAAGTCATCTTGGCCCCTAGACTTACTTTTATTTATTGTATGTGTATGAGTGCTCTGTATGTATGTCTGTATACCACGTGTGTGTGTATATCTCTGGAGACCACAAAAAGGAATATGCAAATAGAGTATGGTTGGGAATTTCCCAGCTATAAGAAGACCAGGCCCCTCAAAGAGAAGGGGTCCTGAGCAGGACAGATATTTAAAAATAAATCTAGGGGGCTGGAGACATGGCTCAGTGGTTAAGAGCACTAACGTTGCTCTTACAGGGGACCAGAGTCCAGTTCCCAGTACCTATGTCAGGCGACTCACAACGGCCTATAACTTCCAGGAGATCTGTGCTTGCCTTGACAGCACATATACTAAAAACTTCCAGGGGATCTGACGCCCTCTTCTGGCCACCCATGACCTCTGCACTCACATGCGCATACACACACACACACACACACACACACACACACACACACGTATGAATGCATAATTGAAAACAAAAATCCTAAAAGCTGGAAGTGGTGGCTCATGCCCATAATCACACCACCCAAGGGACAGAGGTAGGTAGACCCAAGTTCAAGGCCAGCCTGGGTCTCCATAGTGAAACAGTCTCAAAACATTGCCTGGTTTACCTATCACAATGTTCGGGGGGGATCCACTGAGCAAGAGTCCCTTCTACATTAATGTCTGGGCTCAGAGGGTTGGGGCACCAGGGAAGGAGTAGAGTAGCAAGCTTCGAGTCCTTACCCTCCTTACTTCCATGGCCTCCAGGAAGCGATACCTCAAGAGGAAGTCAGCTCTGGGCCAACTGAACACCATCCTCCTCGTGGCTCGGCCCCTGCTCCAGAGACGGCAGAGGCAACAGGTGGAGGGGGAGGGGGCTTCTGGACTGTGGGAAAACTCAGGGTAGAAGCCAGGTGGCCTTGCCTGGCAAAGAGGAAGGAAATCCTGACAGCCAGGACTTGGCAAGACCGGAACGTCAGCCACCACAGCCTGCTGACCACCTCCGTTCCCTGTTCCAGCTGGGGCCCTGGTGGCTATTGTCTTACTTCATCTTGCCACCCCTGTACCCCCAGGCCTGGCTCCCCCTTTCCACCTAGGTCCCCCCGTTCCCTCCAGGTTTCCTTGGGTCCCCTTGTGTTTTCCCTTGCCTGATGACTCCAATTTGAGAATCATAAAGCAGCTCAAAGGTCAATGCCCACACTCTGCCCCTCCCTGGCTCCTCCCTAGCTGGACTTTGTCCCCTGGGACCATTTATCCCCTTCTTTCTTACCTCTTCCCGGTGCCCTAGCAGATAGGGAGTGACGTCCACAGCTTAGAGACGGTGAGAGCTTGGAGACAGGTGGAGGTGGGTGAAGTTGGGCAACTGAACCCTGGTGGGTCTATAACAGTGACATTCCTTTGCTACCATCAGGGGCTCCTGGGGACTGGAGGGGACACTGAGCTGCTGAGTTAGGGCGGGGGGGGCTGGGCTGCTGCTGGTGTGGGGGTATCGACTCTTGCTGGATCTCCTACAGCTCGGGCATTCCCGTGGCCCGCACAGCGGGGAGGCTTGGGGAAGACCGTCAAGTATGGTGAGTAGTCCGGGAGCCGAGGTCCTGTGTGGAGTATGAACCCTGAGCTTGGCATAGCATTGGGGGGGGCAGGTATGGCACACAGGGGGCCACCAGGGGTCCTGTCCCTCATGTACCAATTGAGCAGAGGCCTGGGGTTCTCTTGATTTTCCTCAGAGGCTCTCGGGGACCTGGTCCTTTGTTTCAGGCTGTGTCCCTGATGTTTAAGGGGAGACTGGGGAGGCGGGTGTGCCTAGTCCTTCTCAACTGTCCTTCAGTCCCTGGTGTTTGCTTCTCTCCACCAGGCCCTGGGGCGCTTGGAGATCCCAGCTCAGCTGGCTGCTCTGCTGGAGACAGCAGAAGGTACATCATCTTAATGTCCTGTCCGGAGTCCCCCTTGCCCAGGGGCTTCTCTGGTCCAGACCTTTCTTTTTCTCTGAGACACCCAGTCACTCTGTCCATGGTGATTGGCAGCTTGACAGGGAAACTGGGAATCTGAGTGTCCTCGACTGCCTCTTCTGTTCCTTTCCAGGCCACCAGGCCACTCTGGCTGGGAGCATCACAGAGACTGTGCCACCTGGGGTTCCTATCCGGTCCAGCCTGACCCTCCCTCCGGACATTGACCAGTTTCCCTTCTCCACCTTTGTGACATCCAGCTTTCGGGTAAGCCCCTCAGTGCTTCCAGAAGCTCCAGTGTAACACCTACCAGGGAGGAACAGTCCTCCACCTTCTCCCTGCCCTCCACTGTGGTCATCAGAGCTTCCTGGAAAACAAAACAGTCTTTACACAGTTGTTACATAGAAGTCTCTGGCGCAGACTCATTTTGGCCACACCTTTCCTGTACCTGTGGCAAGCAAGTTCCAGGACAGCTAGGGCTACACAGAGAAACCCTGTCTCGAAAAACCAAAAAAAAAAAACAAAAAACAAAAAAACAAAAACAAAAAAAAAACCCCAAAGGTTTAGTGAGGAGGGAAACTTCCCAGGCCGGAGGGTTAAATACAAAAGCAGGATTCACAACAAGAAGGTCTCTGTATTAATTTAATTGTGATTTTTTGGGGGGGGGAACAGGGCCTCATTATGCATCCCTGTCGTCTGGAACTCCTTATGTAGTTAAGGCTGGCCTGGTGCTGACTCTGTCCAATCTGGCCCCGAACTCAGAGATCCAACAGCTGCTGCCTTAAGAGTGCTGGGATTAAAAGTGTGTGCCACCATGCCCAGCCCTATTTTTTTTGTTTGTTTTTTTTTTTTCGAGACAGGGTTTCTCTCTATTGTTTTGGAGGCTGTCCTGGAACTCACTCTTGTAGACCAGGCTGACCTCAAACTCACAGAGACCCGCCTGCCTCTGCCTCCCGAGTGCTGGGATTAAAGGCGAGCGCCACCAACGCCCGGCTACCCAGCCCTATTTTAACAAAGTTAAAGGCAGGGTCTTTGGTAGGTCTGGCTGGCCTGGAACTCCTTACAGAGGTCAGGTTCTCTGCCTCCCACGTTCTGGGATTAATTTATGGACACTACACCAGCTTGGTGTCAGTTTCTAATTAAAGAACAATTGAAGGGCTGCGAGAGTCTCTCGAGACTCTTGGTGGGTAAGAGTGTTTCATGAGGACCTGAGTTAAAATCCACAGCACCCATGTAAAAAGCCAAGCATGACCATGCACACCTGGAACCCAGCATTAGGGGCGGACGCTGGCGGATCCCTGGAACTGGCTGGCCGGCCAGCCTATGCAAAGCGACAAGCTCTTCAGTTCAGTGACAGACCCCATCTCTAGGCAAATAAGGAAGATAGATGCCTGACATCCTCTTCCGGCACACGCCTGCACACGCATGTCCGTGTAACACACACGCATGCATCCACACGCACGCACACTAGCGTCTGTCCTCTTCCCAGGGTACATGCTCCTGGGGGGGTCTCCCTGAGGAGTGGCCTCTCTGGCCAACTCAGAGGACAAACACTGTGTCACCCTCCGTCTCTCCCTCCCTCCCTCCAGAAGCCATATCTGCCTAGACCAGGACAGCTGCTGGACGAGCCGCTGACCCGGATGGATGGCGAGAACCCTCAGCAGGCTCTGGAGATCAACAGGGTGGTGAGTGACTCGGGGGCGGACCAGGGTGGCCACTATAGGGACCGGGAAGGTGCAGGGAGCCCCGGGCTCCCTCCCCTGCCCTTGTTTTTGTGTCCACAGATGCTGCGGCTCATGGGGGAGGGGTCCCTGCCGCCCTGGCAGGAGCAGACCATGGGCACCTACCTGATATGGAAGGCACAGCGCCGGCCAGGACTGCGGGATGAGCTCTTCAGCCAGCTGGTGGCCCAGCTGTGGCACAACCCTGATGAGCAGCAGAGTCAGCGTGGCTGGGCCCTGATGGTGGCCCTCCTCAGCTCCTTTCTCCCTACCCCTGCCATGCAGAAGCCCTTGCTCAAGTGAGGAGGCCAGCGGGTGGGGCTCTGCGGGTGGGGTCCACGTGCCCCTCCAAGCTCGCAGCAACCCCCCGTGCCGTCCCTACAGGTTTGTGTCTGACCAGGCCCCCCGGGGCATGGCAGCGTTGTGTCAGCACAAGCTTCTGGGTGCCCTGGAGCAGACACCGCTGGATCCCATGGCCTCGAGGGCCCACCCACCCACACAGCTAGAATGGAAGGCTGGGTTGCGGCAGGGCCGCATGGTACTGGATGTGCTCACATTCAATGGTAAGGTCTGCCTCCCTCAGCCAGTAGAGCCAGCCCTGCCCGCCGCTCTTCCTGGCCTCCTCAATGCTCTGTGACCCCCAAGTTTCCCTGCCCTGATGTGACCCTCGAGTCTCCCTGCTCTGCCCTGTGACCCTCATGCCTCCCTGCCCTGTCCGGTATGGGGACAGTAGACACTTACTGTCAGGGTGGAGCCCTGAGTCCCTCACCCTCCATCAACCCCCCACAGAGGAGAGCTACTTTGCAGAGGTGGAGTCCTGGACCACGGGAGAGCAGCTTGCAGGGCGGATCCTCCAGAGCAGGTATGGGGAGCCCAGGATGGAACAGGGTAGCCGGTGCTGACCACTGACCCTCCCAGCCTGCTCTCCCACAAGGCTCGGAGGGACACTGTCGCTCAGTGAATAGAAAGAGAAGGCTTTGGGGTAAGTGGGCAGGCTCCAACTTGCAGCTTCCAGAGACAGAACGGAGGTCCTAAATGAGGGAGGGCCACGTGACAGCATAAGGTCCATCTCCCAGCTCCACAGAGGAGTAAATAGAGAGTGTGAAGGCCTGGAGCTAACCAGAAGGGCTTTGGGGTACAAATGGGAGGGCTTCTGAGTGAGGCTCGGCTCCGGCTCGCACCTGGGGATGGGATGGGGACACTCGCCCCTGACTGACCTCTACTGAAGGGTGTCATCCGCCTATCCCTCTCCCTGACCACCACCGTGTCTCACTCTTGTCCCACCAGAGGCTTGGAGGCGCCCCCTCGTGGCTGGTCTGTGTCACTACATTCCGGGGATGCTTGGCAGGACTTGGCTGGCTGTGACTTTGTATTGGACCTGATTGGCCGGACTGAGGACCTGGGCGACCCAGGAGGTTCCGGCAACTACCCCATCACTCCTCTTGGTTTGTACGTACCGCCCTGCTGCCCAACCCCCAGCTGGTAACCCCCGCAGCTGCCCTGCCGTGCCATGCCGTCGTCCTGTGCATAGATGCTGTGGATGGCCCAGCCCTCCCGACTAAACTTCTGCCGACTCTTCGAGGTGATGCACACAGCGGTCCTCTTAACCAGCCCCGTGTTTCCTGCAGAGCCGAGAACATCCCTCCAGCCCCTGGTGTTCAGGCTCCCTCCCTGCCCCCAGGATTCCCTCCAGGTCCTGCCCCCACACTGCCCGGCGGCCCAGGTAAGGCACACCCAGATGGGTAGAGCACAGGAGTGGCCTCAGAGGTAGGTGCAGCAATGTACCCTTGCCCCCCAGGTGAGGCCAGGAAGCCCGGAAACCTGGATGGTTTCCTGGACCACCTCTTTGAGCCCGTCCTGTCCTCGGGCTTCAGGGTGAGTAGCCTCCCCTCCCTCTCCTTCGCTTTGGTCCTGGGGTGTGGCCGCCCCTTCTGCTTCTCCCAGGCTCTGATACTGAACATCTGTCCCTGCAGGATCTGGAACACAGCAGGGCCCTGAGTAGCCGCATGAAGGGAGGGGGCTCCATCGGGCCCACCCAGCAGGGATACCCCATGGGTGAGTGGAGACCGTGTCTCTCCAGGGCTTCCCAGGCCCAACAGCAGGGGTGGTCTGAATCTCCACAGGCTACTGAGACGGGGGCACTCTGGCCAGTACCCCAGAGGTCAATGTTCTCCTCTTTGCCTGGGGCTGGAGGGAGACCGAGGTGTGTGGGGCCAAGGAGGTATGGATCTGAGAGACCCCTATCCCTCAGTGTATCCAGGAATGGTGCAGGCACCCAGCTACCAGCCGGCGATGATGCCCGCACCTATGCCCATGATGCCAGCCATGGGTACGGTCCCAACCATCCCAGGTGAGGCTGGGCTGAGGGCACCACTGGGGGCTTCTCTCGGGGCTGAAGGTGGGGGAAGGGTCCTGCCGGGAGTCCAGATGGCACTGGGATCAAGAGATTCAAAGCCGGCCGTGGCACTCACCCTGCTCTGAACCTCTCACAGCCATGATGGTCCCGCCACAGCCACAGCCTCTGCTTCCCAGTTTGGACTCAAGGCAGTTGGCGGTGCAGCAGCAGAACTTCATCAACCAGCAGGCCATGATCCTGGTGAGACCTGTGTGACCGGGCCATGGGGCTGCCTGGGGAGCGTGGGCGTGGGGCAGGGCCAGCCGAGGCTCTTACCGGCTTTTCCTCAGGCCCAGCAGATGACCACCCAGGCCATGAGCCTGTCTCTGGAACAGCAGAACCAGAGGCGCCAGCACCAAGCTCAGGCCGCGGCTCCCTCCCAGACTCCTCCCTCAGCCGTGGCTCCACCCTCAGCCGTGGCCCCACCCTCAGCCGTGGCCCCACCCTCAGCCGTGGCCCCACCCTCAGCCATGGCTCCACCCTCAGCCGTGGCCCCACCCTTAGCCGTGGCCCCCAAGCCCAAGAGGACTCCCGTCTCCCAAGAGAAGCCAGAGAGTGACCCAGAACCTTTGGATGCTTGCTTTAGAGTAAGGAGCCAAGGCTAGGCAGAGTTCTGGGCCTGGGTCTGGTGTGGATGTGGCGGCAGGTAGGCGCCAGACCTACCAAGATGAGACACTGGGAAGGTGGGCAGGCTTGGTCCAGGAAACCATCAGAAGGGGATGTTGAGAAGACGGGGCCATGGCTGACTGGGGGCTGTTCTTCTGCCAGGGGGACACTCCAGAAGAGGCTACAGGCAGGCCTCAGCGCCCTAGGAGCTTCCAACAGAAACGGGATTATTTCCAGAAGATGGGTAAGGGTGGTCAGGGTGGCAGCCATTCGGAGATGTAAGGGATGCCTGTAGCCTGGGGGAGGGGAGGCCATAGTCTGCTCCCCTGGCAGCGTGGCCCCTATGGTACTGAATAAACACGGGTGACAGAGAAGGTCGTCTGTGGCATTGGCAGGGCAAGAGCCAATCAAGGTGAAGACAGTGAAGCCTCCGGCCAAGGTCCAGATCCCCCAGGAGGAGACAGACGAGGACGAGGATGAGGAAGCAGCAGGTAGGCGCGGCGGGCTGTGTGGTGCCCGTGGCTCTGGCAGTAGGCACAGACTCGATTGTCTTCACTCTTCCTGGCAGGGTTGTCCCCTCCGCCTCCTCCCCCAGTTGTGAAGAAGCCACTGAGAAAAAGCAAGCCCAACACAGCCAAGGATGATGTGGGACCACCAGAGAAGGAAAGCCCGCCCCCCAGCAGGGCACCCACGGTGAGGAGCCCTGCACCGCAAAGCCCGCCCCCCAGCAGGGCACCCACGGTGAGGAGCCCTGCACCGCAAAGCCCGCCCCCCAGCAGGGCACCTATAGTGTCCAGCTCCAGCTCCGCACCTCAGCGCCCGCAACCCAGCAGGGAAATCCGCAACATCATCCGAATGTACCAGAGCCGCCCAGGCCCGGTGCCGGTGCCTGCACAGCCCAGCAGGTGGGCCTGGGGGTTCTGTGGCCAGGCCGTGTATCTCCTCAGAGAAATCGCCCTGTGCACTAGTAACTTTCTCTTTCTTCCTCGAGGCCTATCAAACCTTTCCAGAAGAAAAATGACCCTAAGGATGAGGCTTTGGCCAAGTTAGGAATAAACGGTACCCACTCGCCTCCATCGGTGAGCTCCCCGGCAGTCTTCTGTAGCACGTGGGCTATGATCTGTCCAGGGGATCCTGGGCGGAACTTGGGGTGTCCAGGGTAACTTGGCCTTGACCATAGTCCTGTGTCTTCTCCTCCAGGCGATGCCTCCTAACCTAGGAAAGAACTCTCCACCAGCCGTGGCTCCTCGACCCAAGGCTCCACCACGACTTGAGCCCTCCCTATCCATCCAGGAGAAGCAGGGACCCCTTAGGGACCTGTTTGGCCCATGTAGCCCGAACCCATCCACAACTCCAGCACCCCCACCCCCGCCCCCACTGCCTTCGCCTCTGCCTGAGGAACTCAGGACCCATTCAGCGGAGTCTCATGGTGAGGGAATTCATGTGTCCTATGTTGAGTCTCTTTGGGTTGGTGGAGGACGCATCATGACAGCCTCTTGGGACCTATGGCAAAAGTCATCTGTATTTGGCTGAGGCCAGCTGTTTGGGCCGCTGGACTTTGGAGCCTTGGAGCCCTGGATTCCTCATTCCTATCCAGGGTAGGGCCGAAGCACCTTAGCCTGTCTGGCACTAAGGGACTGGCCTCCGCAGGGTGTTGTCCTTGATGAGGACCTGACAGGGTTTTTTTTTTTTTTTTTTTTTTTTTGGTGGTGGTGGGGGGCGGGGAACTTAGTGACCGAAGCTAATGTGGCCAGGGACACTAGGGAAAACTCAGGTCCAGAAAGGAAGGCAGCTGAAGTTGAGACAGAAAACGGGAACATGGGAGTCTCTGGCAACCTTGGTCCAAGGCTCTTGTCTCCCTCTGGCAGCCTTGACAGAGCCCATGGAGGACGGGGGGATCTCCACTCAGCTCCTCGTGCCCCCCGGTAGCGTGTGCTTCTCCTACGCAAGTGCACCCTGGAAGCTGTTCTTACGGAAGGAGGTGGGCATGGGGAGGAGCCTCAGCCTTTGGGGGCTGGCAGGAGAGCTGACAGGCTGTTGTCACCTGAAACCCCAGCACATCCCCCCCTTCCCCATGAACCACTTTTTCAAGGCTGGTTGGGAGGGCAGAGGTGGTCTAGCCGGGACACGGCACGATCTCCGCTGTTTCCATCCTGCTCTCAGGTGTTCTACCCCCGGGAGAACTTCAGCCATCCCTATTGCCTCAACCTTCTCTGCCAGCAGGTGAGAGCCTGCCACACCCACGGACAGACTGTATCCCAGGACCTTCGCTCAAACCTGGGCCCCAGTTAACAGTCTGTGAGGGGCACAGTGACAGCTGGCACTCGGGGTGGCACTTCCCTTGCAAAACTGGGGTGGTGATAACTTAGTCTTACAAATGTAGGTCTGAGCAAAGTGTACATGACACACACTGTCTCATGAATGGTGGTTGACGGCTGGTCACTTTTGGTCGGGCATCATGTGTCAGCTGACACACTATGGCAATAGCAGTGGACCATGGCCCCAAAGGACGGAGGGCAGAGGGTGCAGGACGGGGGCAGGGGGAGCTGTAGGTTTGGACCTGATCCTGGGGTCTGGGAGCCTTGTCATCGTCCCCTGTCCCCCTGCCCCTGCTCCACCTGCGTCTTTACTGGGACCCAGCCAGCACTGCTGGGAACGCAGATGCCACCACAGGACGCTTACCGTTCTCTCCGCCATTACACACCCACAGCGGCTATGCATGGGTGAGCTCTGGTCTCAGGACCTGGTGCTGACCACCTTGCTCTGCCCCCAGATCCTACGGGACACCTTCACAGAGTCCTGCATCAGGATCTCTCAGAGGGAGCGGCAGAAAATGAAAGACCTGTTGGGTACGGATCCTGGGATGGGGGTAGGGGGCGCTGGACTTGCCCTGAGGGGAAGTGTCATGGGATCAAGGACATCACGGGGACCCCTCCCGCCCGCAGGAGACTTGGAAGTGGGCCTGGACTCCCTCGACAGGACCGAGGACAGCATCAAGAAGCGCATCGTGGTGGCTGCCCGGGACAACTGGGCCAATTACTTCTCACGCATCTTCCCAGTCTCGGTCAGTGATGCTGACCTTGGGGAGCTCAGCCCCAGGACTGTCTGCTCCAGGGCTCCAGGCGCCTGGGCCGTACCAGGAATGAGTGACACGCCCGCCTTCCTGACAGGGTGAGAGTGGCAGTGATGTACAGCTGCTGGGTGTGTCTCACCGGGGACTGAGACTGCTGAAGGCGACCCAAGACCCTAGCTTCCACCTGGACCGGCTGAAGACCCTCTGCTCCTACAGGTGAGCTGGCCCAGGGCCTGGACCGGGGTGGCAAGGTGGCCCCTGGCTCACACCCTGACTCTGTGCCCAGCTTTGCCGAGGTGCTGGCCGTGGAGTGCAGTGGCCGTTCCACCCTGGAGCTGTCACTGAAGAATGAGCAGCTGATACTGCACACAGCCCAGGCCAGGGCCATTAAGACCATGGTGGAGCAGTTCCTGAGTGAGCTCAGGAAGGCAAGTGTGGGCTCTCTTACCCTGCCTGGCTTCCCTGGGTCAAGGCTGGAGTCAAGGTCCCGGCCACTCCTGGGCACTGGGTAGGAGGACACCCAGGGCAGGCGGCAGACCACCCGCCCCCCCCATTTCCTGCAGGACTCTGGCTACGTCATCGCCCTGCGCAGCTACATCACTGATGACCGCAGCCTCCTCAGCTTCCACCGTGGGGACCTCATTAAGCTACTGCCAGTGGGCGCTCTGGAGCCAGGTACTCGCCAGGACTGGCAAGGGAGACTGCTAAGGGGCAGAGGGCGAGGTAGGTGAACCGTCATTGGGGATGCCTTCTTTCTAGGCTGGCAGTTTGGCTCTGTTGGGGGCCACTCGGGACTCTTCCCTGCTGACGTGGTGCAGCCAGCTGCTGCTCCAGACTTCTCCTTCTCCCTGGGACAGGGAAACAGCTGGCATCACAGGAGTAAGCCAGGGCCGGCTCCAGAGGTGAGGAAGACGGAGGAGCGGGTGACGAAGGCATAACTAGGGGTCTCACAAGGAAAGCGCAGGGTTGCCTCGGGCTCTGCAGACTTCCTGTGGCCTGGTGGGCAGTGCTCAGTGTGTTCTATCCTTTGCCATCTCCTCACCTCTTGCCACGTCTCCCCAGCAAGACTGCAAGACTTGTTCAGAGCCTCCACTGAAGACGCTTAGTAACCATGGCTTTCCTCGCTCTGGTGTCGCCCCCAAGGGTCTAATGGGAATGGGGACCAGGCAGTAAGATGGGACCAGGGCCTGTGGGCTAGGTGGTGGGCACTGAGGTGGTACCAACTTTGCTGTGCTCCCAGCGCCCCACCCATCCCAGGAGCCAAGAACCAAGCGAAGACTCAGAGGCCACCTCCTACTCAGCCTATAGCCTCTTCTCTGCCGACTCCCACAATTACACCATGCAGGAATTTGCCCTGCACTACTTCCGGAAGCCTCAGACCCTGTGAGTGCTCAAACTAACCTCTTTGCCTATCTGTCCTCGGTCTTCTGCAATGCAAGCACTGTAGAGCCACCAGGCTGTTGGCTTTACTGCCACGGGCTTCATGGGTTGGGACAAGGGCAGGAGGGCCCAATAAGCAGGGCTGTCTTTTCCTCTGCCCTCTACAGGCCGGCACATGCAGGAAGAGGTGCCAAGGAGAAGGCTGAGGTCAACCTGGTCCAGTACACCAAGGTAAGGGGTCAGGTTGGGAGGAATCGGAGCTAAGGATATGCCTTCCGACTCCCATGGCCCTAGATTGACAACTAAGGCTCTCCGGCCACAGGACCCCATCCAGGAATCCCTCCTGAGCCTCAGCAATGAAGACATGAGCAGGAAGGCCGTGGCTGGGTTCAAGGGTGAGTTGAAAGCAACCTCGGTCCCCGTTGGCAGAGCTTTGGACCTGGGCACCTGACTCCCCGCTCTGTGCTCTTCCCCGGATCAGCCCATCTGCCAGCGTAGGAAGCTTGCTCCATAAACCCGTGTTTCTGTCCATGGGCTCTGTGACATCTGGGTGCAGCTGACACGGGCGTCCTTGGGATTTCCCTGAGCCTATTCCCTCCTCGGCAAAGCTAGGGATGACTGTCTTGCCTGCTGTTATGTGTTTGGAGAGTAAGGTGTCAGAGGCCAGGTAACCTGTATAGTGGCGGCAGGGGTCAGACCAGACCTTGCTTACTATGTCCCATATCCTGCCTGCAGCTCTGATGCAGTTTATGGGGGACCACCCTAAGCCCCGGGGCAAGGATGATCTGGAGCTGCTGTACGAGCTGCTGGCGGTAAGCAAGGACTGTGCTAAGGCCCTGAGCACCCTTCCTGCCCCCGGGGCCAGAATGGGAGTCTCCATCCCAGTTTCTCAACCATTTCAAAATATTTATCTTTGACGTGGCGTGTTGGCACACACCTTTAATCCCAGCACTTGGGAGGCAGAGGCAGACAGATTTCTGTGAGTTAGAGGCCAGCATGGTCTACAGAGCGAGTTCCAGGACAACTAGGGCTACATAGAGAAACCCTGTCTCAAAGAAATTAAAAACAAACACTTCATCTTCAAAACAGCTCACAGTCTTGAAAAACCAAAATCAAACCAACCAATCAACAACAACAACAAAAAAAACCCAGCTCATAGCACTACATTTTGGGTCATTCTGCTATTATATGAACTACAAATGCTTGCCCAAGAGCCAAGGGGCACACTCTTTAATAGCATCTTTGAAAATTAAAGTTTATATAAAGCCAAATATTCAACTAGCTTCTATAGGAACACAGATAAATGTGACCCCTGCCTCCTAAGCCTTCCATGTAGCTGCCATGTTCCAACTCTACTCTATAAGGAACATTACATATGCACAAGAGTGTGTGTGCATGCATGCCTGTGGCGGTCAGAGGGTAGTTTGCAGGCAATGGTTCTCTATTATGTGGGTCTTGGGGAAGGAACTTAGGTCACTGGGCTTGGCGGTGGGCATCTTTACCCACTGAGCCATTTACCGCTCTACAACAGTTAAGATACATTGTCTCCAGTTACTTCTAAACACTCAAGCATGCGGGTACCCATAAGGTGAAGGGCCTGTGAAGACGAGAGACTAAGTCCTGGAGGATACAGCCCCACAGGAGACGGGATGGGGAAGTGGCGGCGGCTGCTGGGTGGCGGAGCTCTGATGGAGGAGTGAGCCATGCATGCATGGGGTCAGGCTATTATATGGGCTTTGATCTTTCCAGCCAAACCTATGGTTTGCTGATGGAACACTGCTCACATTCCGCAGGGTCGCTCTGGCTGTTTGATATTCTAGGGACTACTATATGACCCCAGGCGAGTGAGGGTGCTGGCGTAGGCAGCAGCAAGTGGGGGGGTGGGGAGCTGTAGAGAGGCCAAAAGCATGCATTAGAGATGGGAAACCAGCAAAGATAACCAGGACAGCTCAGAGAAGCAGGGTAGTCAGTAACCAGTTCTCACCACAGTGCTAGAGGGCACTTGTTTAGCAGTGTGGATTTAATTCACACTTGTTTAATTCTGGGTGTATGAGTGTGTGTGTGTGAGAGAGAGAGTGTGAGTGTGTGTGTGAGAGTGTGTGAGAGAGTGTGTGAGAGTGTGAGTGTGTGAGAGAGAGTGAGTGTGTGAGAGAGAGTGTGAGTGTGTGAGAGAAAGAGTGTGAGTGTGTGTGTGAGAGAGAAACAGAGAGAGTGTGAGTGTGTGTGTGAGTGTGTGTGAGAGTGTGAGTGTAAGTGAGTGTGTGAGTATGTGAGTGAGAGTGTGTGAGTGTGTGTGTGAGAGTGAGTCTGTGAGTGAGTCTGTGTGTGTGAGTGTGTGAGTGTGAGAGTGTGAGTGTGTGAGAGTGTGAGAGTCTGTGAGTGAGTCTGTGTGTGAGTGTGAGAGTGTGTGTGAGTGTGTGTGCACATGCACGTGCTCTCCTTCCGCCATGTGATTATTAGGACAGGACTTGGTCAGGAATGTCCTGCCACGTTGCCAGCCCCCTGCCTAGCACTCTTTTTAGGATTTATTTACATGTCTCATATGTACAGGTGACTACAGAGACTAGAAGAGGGGGTTAGGTTCCCGGGAACTGGAGCTCTAGGTGGCTGTGATTGCCTGATGTGGGGGTTGGGAGCAGGAGCAGCAAGCGCTCTGGACAGCAGAGCCCCTCCCCCCTTGTTTTGAGACAGGGTTTCTCTGTGTAGCCCTGGCTGTCCTGGAACTCGCTCTGTAGACCAGGCTGGCCTCGAGCTCACAGAGATCCGCCTGCCTCTGCCTCCCGAGTGCTGGGATTAAAGGCGGGCACCACCATGCCCAGCCCACAGCCGTATTGCTAACGTCAGGCCCTAGCCAGTGCCTCACACAGCAGCCCCTCGGCTGGCTCTACTGTTGTGTCCCTGCCTCACCCACTCACTCCGCCTGTCCCCACAGCTGTGCAGAGAGGATCTCAGGGATGAGATGTACTGCCAGGTCATCAAGCAAGTCACAGGACACCCCCAGCCGTGAGTGGGGCTTGTGGGGCCGGAGACTCGGGTGGGAACAGCCCTGTGGTCTGGCTGGCCTGAAACCCAGCTCAACCCTGCAGAAAGCACTGCGCTTTGGGCTGGAACGTCCTCAGCCTCTTCACGGGCTTCTTTGCGCCGTCCACCACTCTGATGCCCTACGTGACCAAGTTCCTGCAGGATTCCAGCCCTAGCCAAGGTGCCTGCCTGGGCTGGGAAGAGGGACTTCGAAGACCGAGAATGCCCTGCCAGGTAAGGGGCTTGGACATACGTGTGACTCCATCATTCTGACTCTCTACAGAGCTGGCCCGGAGCAGCCAGGAGAACCTCCAGCGCACAGTTAAATATGGGGGGCGCCAGAAGTTACCACCACCGGGTGAAATGCAAGCTTTTCTGGTATCAGGGCTCCCCTGTCACTGGGGAGGGGGGGGGTCGGGTGGCTGGAAGTGTCAACTGGACAGCAGCGACCCCTGCTTGCGGGAGACTAACCCAACTTACCTGACAGAAAGGGCAGGCAGTCCGTTTGCTTCTGATTCATCTGCCTGGGGGTGTGGACTACAGGACAAATGTACAGACGTTCACGGTGAGCAGGGGCTGCCGAGGAAAGAGGCGAGCAGCCTATGCCCTGGGCCTCTAGTCTCCATTGTCACGACCTGTCATGTGCCCAGGTGGCAGGGGAAGTGCTGGGGGAGCTGTGCGGGCAGATGGGCATCACCGACTCCCAGGAGGTGCAGGAGTTTGCCCTCTTCCTCATCAAAGGCGAAGGTGAGCCCAGGGAAAGGGGCGGGCAGCCTTGCCTGCCGGGGCCACGGGCTGCTGCGCGGGAGCGCGGATTCTGTGCCGGGGAAGCCTGCGGTCAGTCGGTCAGTTCTGGCGTGGGTCCCTTACGCAGGTGAGCTAGTTCGGCCACTGTCGCCCCACGAGTACCTCAACAGTGTGGTGACGGACAAGGACATGAGCCTGCACAGCCGGCGGCTCGGCTGGGAGACTCCGCTGCACTTTGACCACCCCACCTACGTTGAAACCCACTATGGTCAGGTCAGCCCCCTGCCAGGCTGCTGCTAAGAAGGGAGAGCTCGCAGCTAGGCAACCTGTGGACTCCCTCTCCACGATGCGCTGTGTGGCAGCTGGAAGGGATGGGGGCAAGAGCAAGTTTGACTCTCTGAAAGTGGGGAGGTTGAGGCACAACTGCCCCTCCCCACCCTCCTCCTCCTCAGGTGCTTCGGGACTACCTGCAAGGCAAGCTGATGATCGGGGCTCAGGAAGACGCTCATCTCGCCAGGCTGGCTGCCCTGCAGCACCTCAGGAAAGCCAGCAAAAGTCCCCCATCAGAGTGCGTGAGCTCGGCTCAACCTCTTGCCAGCCCCTCCCCCAAGCCTTCCTTCCCCCAAGGCCCCAGGCCCCAGTGACCCAGGCTGTCACCCTAGGCAAGAGCTGCTGGTGTACATTCCCAAGCCACTACAAGAGCAGGTGAACATAGCCAGTATAAAGAGCTTGATGGGCCAGGAGCTGAGGCAGATGCAAGGGTACAGCCCGCAGAGAGCACAGATTGACTTCATCGGTAGGTCTATGCCAAGGGCCAGCTGGGTGTGAGGGCCAAGGCCCCCGAGGGAGGGGTGAGGAGACCTCTTATGCCCATTCTCCGTTCACTTCCCCTGGGGGGCAGAGGGAGGCAGTCCCAGAGCTCTGCAGCCAAGACTCTTGTCCTGTTGTACCCCAGAGAGCACAGCCCAGCTGCCTCTCTTTGGCTACACGGTCTACGTGGTGCTGAGAGTGAGTAAGCTGATGCTTCCTGGCCCTGTCCTCCTGGGGCTCAACCGCCAGCACCTTGTCCTCATGGACCCCAGCTCCCAGGTCGGTAGAGCCCTGCTCCCAGGTAGAGCCCTGCTCCCGGGTAGAGCCCTGCTCCTGGGTAGAGCCCTGCTCCCGCGCTGCTCAGATGCCCGGGTCAGTCCTCACACCATGCATTGCTCCCCCACCCCACACAAACACCGCTCTGTTGTATCTGCTACCCCAGAGACTCTGCTGCTCCATCCCCCTAAAAGACCTGCAGCGGCTGCACCTGCTCAGCCCCCTGGAGGAGGGTGGGCTCCCCGGCCTGGAACTCAATTATGGCTCTGCTGAAAACCCCCAGACCATCTGGCTGGAGCTGCCGCAAGTGAGTGGCCTATGCCCTAGGAAGTGTTTCCCCAGCAACGGTGTACAGGGGCCCAGGTCACTGGCCCCTGTTTAGGAGCAGTGTGGGCAGAGGCCACGGGGGTTAGGGAGAGCTGTACTGAACCGTCTCTGCTCGGCAGGCCCAGGAGTTGAAGCACACCATTGTCTTCCTGCTGGAGGACAGCATGACCTCTACTCAGTGGCCAGTCCTCAGCTGAGGAGAGTGGAGATGAGGCCTCAACGTCTCACTGGGCAGCCTGCCTTGGAGGTTGGGTGGTTCTTGTTTATCTTCGCTGCCTGGCCTGCTCTGAAACTCCCTGCAGCACAACCCCAAGTGGAGGCCATAAGGCAGGGGTTGCCACAGTGACATCAACTGGGAAAGCAGGCAGACACAGTCCTTCCTAGGTGTACTGACCCCAGAGCGGGGGCTGTAGGAACCTGGTGTGGGCGTCTCACGTCCTGCCTGGGGAAATGCCCACTCAGCTCTAGGGCTGGCACAGGGCCTGGATGAAGCAGCTTCTGCACAAATAAAACGCCCAAGAAAAGACTGTGTGTGAGCGTGTGTCTCAAGGAGGACTTTATTCTTGCAAACATTTCACTGGGTCTGGCCTTGCTGGCCGGCATCTGAAGGAAAGGGCGGGAATGGCGGAGAAGAACACGATGGGGAGGGCGCTGCATTTCCCTCTGGCTGCAGCCGTAGCACCCGCACCTTCTAATCTGGGGTCTGGCCATGCAGGCCAGGAGCAGCAGGTTGAGAGAAAGGGCCGTGGGGGTTTTAAGCAGGAAGGTGGGCTAACCTCTGACCTTCTACTTGGTTTGGGTGTCTAGTGCCACCTTTAAGTGAGGTCTGGGGGGGAACCCTGAGAAAGTTGGCTCCTTTGGCATGGGCCTGCCCATGACAGGAGGGGGGATGCAACCCTGCTCAGCCAGCAGCAGCCGCGGTCATCTCTGTGGGCCACGTAGGCCACGCCAGTCAGCTTCACTCTCACAGCGAGCACGGTTGTGGAAAAACTGCTTGATGAGGCTCTGGGCCTCTTCCTTCACTGTAGATCGGGGAAGGGACACAGGAGAAGGTAAGGACCCGACTCCTCCGTGCAGCCGGCCCCTCCCCTATTCCCACAGTGCCTTCTGGCCCTTGCTGGGTAGGCACTCACCACCTCTTCCAGGAGAGGTCTTCTGAGCCAGCAAATGGGAGAGGTGGCGGGCAAAGCCTTTGAACAACTCCTGGATGGCAAGGACAGAGGAAGAAACCCTCAGCCACCACCACCAAGGGCGGAAGCTGGGCCTGGCTCAGGCTTGGTCTTCTCTGCCCTATTTCATTCAGGGGTGCACTCTCCCTGCACCCCTCACCCCTGCAATAACCCACTTACTCCAGCCGCATGCACCTACCTTGGATATGAACCTGCCCTCCTTGTAGAAGGGGGTCAGGTACTTGACCACAACAGCGGCGGCCTCTTTCACGGAGATGCCAGGAGCCGAGAGCTGGCAGGGTTCTCCAGTCACCTTATTCTCAGTGCTGTGATCACTGCCCTTGGCCTCAGCCAAGATAGAGGACTTGGTAGAGGGGCAAAGCCTCTTCTGAGTTCTCTCTGGGCTCTCCTGGACAGGGCCACAGTGCGAACAGGTCACTTTGGGGCTCCCCTTTCCTGGCTCTACCCTCCCTTCTGGAAGGAGGCCAGCTCATACACCTCAGCACCGGGAGCCTCCCCCACCCATCCCACCTGCTTCTAGGGCCTCAGAAGCAATCTTCCCTGACCTAACCCTTGACCCCGGGCAGCTCTCCGCCTCACCAGGCACCTCCTCCAGTACCTGCTGGGGTCTGGGCCGCTTGCCTGCCTGGGCTTCCTGTAGAGGGCTAGGCTGACCTTCAGGGCAGCTGTGGTCTTGTAGTGAGCAGGTGCTGGCCAGAGGAAAAAACAGCGTCAGAGGTGTGGGTCTGGCTGTCCTCTGGACCCAGGCAGCCCAGCAGGGCCCACTGTGATGAGCTTCATGCTTCAGAGGCCCAGGTAGCAACGGGCTCAGATGCTGCCATGGAATGAGGATTTCCTGAGACCTGAACTCTTACCCTGGCCCCTCTCTGGGACACTCAGTCTGAACTAGAGTATTCAGATGTCCCTGGGCTCCAACTTCTGTGCAGTCCTCTGGCTCGCCTCCACAGGAGGGGGTGGCGCCTCCTGATCTCAGGACTGGAGCAGGTGAAGGTAGGCTTTCTGTTCTTTGGCAGAGGAATCTAGTGATGTTCTGGGAACCCTTGAGGGCTGCTGCAGCTAGGAGCTGCTGTTTCTTGCTGGCTCTAGCCCTGGTGCTGCCCTGGGAGGAGCCCTTTGTCCTCTTCTCAGGCGAGGGCTCCCCACAGCTGACACCACTTCCAGGGTCCTCTCCTTGGCTCCCGGGGAGGGGCTTGTTTCTGTCTTCATCTTGACAGTCACTGTGCCAGCCTGGGGGACCCTGGTCACCTTCCAGCACATCCTCGGGGGCTTGCTTCCCCAACAGCTCTGTGGCTGTCTGGAATGGGCAGGCGCCTTTGGGGAAGCCAGCGCCCACTCTCTTGGGCTTGAGCTGTGAGGAGAAAGAGGAAGCCAGAAGGCTCAGGACCCCAGACCTCAAGGGCAGCTGTGGCTTTGCTGAGGGGCTCTCAGGAACGTGGGAGGAAGAACTGAGTAGGACACAGCTGGAGAGGAGGCCACGGCTGACAAACAGAGATGTCCTCACATGTGGGCTGGGCAGGGCTGGGGTGTCAGGAGATGACAGACTTCCCACCAGGGACAAGGGGAGTGGGTACCTGGATGCCGCTCACCGAGTAAACATGTGAGGTTGGTGGGATGTCATAGTCATTGGGCTCTGAGGGCTCAACCGCAGGTCTGCAACCCTTGGTGCCACCTTCCATGTCATAGAGCTGGCCATCCTTGGAGGCTTTGTGGATCTCAGCCACCTAAAGAGGGACAGCAAGGAGGACCACGGCCTCCACAAACTACTGCATAGCCCCAATCCAGATCCTCTAATTTTGCTGTTCACTCAGTGGGGAGTGCGTGCTGGGGACGCACCGGTTCCCACCAGGATGGCTGCAACACCTCCAGTTAGCCAAGAAGGACGAGCTCTACCGCTGTCAATGGCCCCCGGGTGGCCTCTGAATACGGAGAGGCTGCCCTGTCCTGTACTAGCCCATGAGTATGCTCTGCCCTGCTGGCCCCCTTGGCCCTAGGCCTACCTTCTTTAGAACACTGGCCTTGTACAGGTTGACCATCTTGGCATTCCGGAATGCCCCATGCTCCAGTTCCACAGCCTTGGCCTGCAGGTCAGCTCTGTGGGGAGGAATGAGAAGGAGAGAACACGCAGGTCTCAGTCCTCTCCCTCTGGTCCTCCTGGCTTCTCTTCAGGGACCACTGGCTAGCCTCAGGACCTGGTGAGGGTGGGCACATGGGTTCTGGTCACGATTCTCTAGGTGGCCTACGCTTACTGTCCTTCAGTAGCCTCTGGTAGTCTCTGGTGCACACCCAGAGGGCTGTGGGAACTGAGAGCCATGGAGAGGGATGGGTCATGACCTACAGAGCAGCATTCTGTGAAGGAATAAGCCTTGGTCCCCACGCTGGACACCTCGGGACACTCACCCATCAGTGGACCCTGCAGCCTGGTGATTACTACTCAGAGCCTCCTCCAAAAGCTGCAGGCAGTGCTCACGGGCCTGTGAGGAGAGTGAAGTCTTGGCCACCCACCCTCGGGGGCGGGGGGCGGGGGGGGGACTCAGAGCAGGTGAAGGGGCGCCCTTTTTTTTTTTTAAAGATTTATTTATTACATATACAGTGTTCTGCCAGAGAGGCAGATTGAATTGTAAATGGTTGTGAGCCACCATGTGGTTGCTGGGAATTGAACTCAGGACTTCTGGAAGAGCAGTCAGTGCTTTTAACCTCTGAGCCACCTCTCCAGCCCTTCTTACCTTCACTGTGAGCTTAGGGATCTTCCTGCTTGAAGCCTCTCTCAGGGGACAGTCTTCATCTGAGAAAGGGGTAGAAAGGGCTTTCCACTTGACCAGTTCTCTGGACTCCTCCAACCCTCACCGAGCCATCTACTGTTCACCCCCAGGCACAGCACCCAAGTCCCGGGGGCATTTCTGTACCAACCTGGGGGTGTGAATTCTTCTATCTTGGGCTCTTTGCCCTGGAAGACAGACAGCAGGAGGGACCATGAGACATCCTGTCCTGCTGCAGGGCAGCCCCCACTGAGGGCTAGAGGAGGGGCTGAGGAGGTGAATGGGGCCATCTAGGGCCTGGTGTGGTTTACTGTGTGCCGGTTATTTTTGGGGGGTGGAGGAGATGCATTTGGGGGTTCACTGCGTTGTCCCTGGCCTTGTTCTCAGATCTGCCTGTCTCTGCCTCCCAAGTGCTAGAAGTAAAGCCATGTGCTACCACGCTGGCTTAGGTTTGTTCCTTTGTTGTTACTCTACAGAAACTAGAGTCATCTGGGAAGAGGGTTCCTCAGTTGAGGAACTCATTGATGTGGGTTTTGCTATTCCTGGGCAAGTGGTCCTGGGATGTTCAAACAGCAAGCGAGAATGAGGCCATTCCTCCTGGTCTCTGCTTCAGTTCTGCCTGCGGGCCCCCGAGGTCCCTGATGCTGGACAGTGATGTGGAAGTGTCGGCCAAACAAACCCTTTGCTGCCCAAGCTGCTTTTGGTCATACTGTGTGTTTTGTCGCTGCAGCAGAAACCAAACTAACAGAGCCACTGAGCCCCGTCAAGGCCTCTGCCTTACCTTGCGCAGGCTCATCTGCTTCTGATAGAAAAGATCCCATTCCCGCTTGCGGGTCTCATCTCTGCCCTCGTCACCGCTACCTCCAGACCCTTCATCATACCTAGAAGACAGGCGAGGTGTGAGCAGCCAGGGTGGGCTCCGCTCTTCCCCACTCAAGCCACTGGATGGGACAGTGATGCAAGCCCAGGCCCCAGGAAGAGTCACATGGCACACTGCAGAAGGCTACCTGTGGCCTGGCTAGGCCAGCGGATGCATTTCACAGTCCCTCACCTGCTGAAGCCCCCGTGGCCTCTGCGGCCTCCCTCGTACAGTTCAGGATCGAAGCTGTTCCCCTGGAAGGGCCCGATGCAGGTCTTGCTCCAGCTACTGCTGTGCTCCAAGGCATCAAGCTTCTTCCTTATGGCCGCGGGACTCTGGCAGTGGTCACAGCCTTTGGCGCAGGCGGGCGGTGCATCTCCAAAGTACTTAGCAATGGCAGCGTGGCGGCACCTGGAGTAAGCAGGCAGTGCGTGGGATGAGGGACTGAGCAGGCTAGGGCTTGTTCACCCAGCCTCCAAACACTGACGCGCTGTCCAGCACCACACATGCTGTTTCCTACCTTACAGAAACTTTCTACATTTGTTTTATGTGTATCAGTGACCCCTAGTGCCTGAGGAGAACTTAGTCCTGATGGTTGTGAGCCACCATGGGGTGCTGAGACCTGCACCTAGGTCCTTGCAAATACGACATGTGCTCTTAACCTCTGACCCATCTCTCCAACCCCTGTGCTGGACCCTTTTATTTACAGGGCTTGTGAAGCGTCATCTGGTGCTGCCCGCTGCAGAGACAGCAGCCTTCCTAGAGCCATTCACTGGGTGACTGGGTGTAGGGAAAAGGGACCAGTCAAAGAAACACACCCTGAGCAGAGCCAAAGAAACACACTTTGGCCCTGCAACCAGAACCAAAGAAATGTACCCTGACCCTAAAACCAGTGCCAAAGGAACACACTTTGTCCCTGGAATCAGAGTCAGTGAAAGAAATGTACCCTGGCCCTAAAATTGGAGCCAAAAGGCTAAAAAGGACCAGAGAAAGAAACACACTTTGGCCCTGAAACCAGAGCCAAATCTGACCCTAATCCTGTGTAAAAAGTAACCAATCCCGGAGCAGAGCTCTAGCCAATCTGAGCTCAGCACTGAAATCGGACCAATCCCTACCCTGGAAAAACTTCCCCAACCCCAGGAACCCCTATATAAACCCTGTGTATGTTCAGCTTGGCTGGTCCAGCTGTCTTCCAATAAACACCTTTGGATGAGCTTCGGGGTGAAGATCTTCTTTTGCGGCTGCGACAGAGCAAAGGCGACCCTGGGCAGAGCAGAGCAGAGCGAGCAGAGGCGACCCTGGGCAGAGCAGAGCAGAGCAGAGCGAGCAGCGCTGTAACACTTGCCCGGGAAACCTTCCTTGGCAGAGCGGAGTTGTTACACTCTGCTCCCGCCCGGCTCCCTGCTCTCCGCTCGGCTCTCCAGGAGCAGAGCTGAACTGTAGCAACTTCGCCCGAGAAACCTCCTGCGGAGCAAAACTGCTACACTAGGCGAACATCCCCAGCTGGAAGACCCTGTCCTGCCGGAGCGGAGCTGACACACCGGAGAAGCCTTTCTCTGAGGCAAGGCTGTAAGCTGCCAAGCTTACTGCAACCTGTGGTGGTCCTTGGCTCCCGAGCTCCAGGATACCTTTCTACCTGAGCTGTGTAACACTCAGTATCCTTGGCTCCCGAGCTCCAGGATACCTTTCCACCTGAGCTGTGTAACACTGGGTATTCTGTGACTCCCGAGTGCCAGAATACCTGACCCACTCACTCCTGTTCCATCCTGTCCTGACCCATCCCGACGAAACGCTTACATTTGGTGCCGAAACCCGGGATAGGCTCTCCTGGTGCCTGTGCTCCCTTTCATGGTCTGAGCCGCACTGGGATCCTATCCCTCATCTTCAGTCTACCCGTGACTTGGATAGGCTCTCCTGGTGCCTGTGCTCCCCTTCGTGGTCTGAGCCGCACTGGGACCCTATCTCTCATCTCCAGTTGGCCTGCAGCAGACTCGCCTTCCAGCTCACCAATCGCTTGACACTACATCCACCATCAACGATTGGGTAAGTCTCCCCTTCAGCTCCCTAAGTCAGGGATACTTGTAGAGACGGAGGTACCCCAGCCAAGGCCCTTAAGGCTACAGCTGACCCTCCTCACCTTACCCCAGCCTACCACCCTTGAAATTGCAATCCTGCAGTTTCCTTAGGCCCCACCGGGTCATTGCGTCCCTTCCTGACCTCCTCCCTTGGAGCTGGCTGTCGTTGCACAGCTCCTCTAGGCCCTTGCGGCTTCTACGATTCCAATCCTGACCCTTTCCTTTGGATGAGACCCTTTTAGAGCTCGGTTTCCGTCTACGCCTTCTGGCCTCTAGAAAAGCCCTGGTACCAGGCGCCGAGTCTCTTCTGGCTTAGCCGGGCTAAGCCTGACCCCCGTTGAGTTGGGTGACGACCCTCTGAACGGCTTGGTCCTCTTTCGGTGGTCCTCCCTGAGTCCTGGGGACGCCCTTGACTACAGGCTGCAGTGACCTTTTCCTTCTCATCCATGGGAACCGTGTCATCCGTACCCTCCCATTCCCCCTTGGGATGCCTCCTAGAAAACCTCAAGTCTCTACACCTGACACCTGAACTAAAGGGTTCTAAACTTATTCGCTTTTGCAATAAAATTTGGCCTAAATACCATTTAGATAATCAGTCCAAATGGCCACGTAATGGCACCCTCGATCCCAATATTATTCGGGACCTTTACAACTACTGTGAGCGATTGGAGAAATGGAAGGAGATTTTCTATGTCCAGGCTTTCTCTCTGCTACGCTCCAAGCCTTCTCTCTGTGCCTCATGCTCTCCCACTCAACTTCTTTTGGCTAGGAAGTCTGAACAAGATGATCCCTCTACTACTTTTGATCCAGCCAATGAGCCTTCTCCCCGTCGAACAAAACCCTCAGCTCCCCCTCTTGTGCTGGCCCCTCCGATTTCCCTTCCTCCCTCTTCAGTGACAAGTCACCCTAGTCAGCATTCACTGGCACCCTCCTTCAGCTCACCACCAACAGTCCCTAGTCCTCCCACTACTCGGTCCCGCTCCACTAAGGGACCACCCCCTTTACCTCCCCAACCTAAACCAGCTCCAGTTCTCCCCTTGCGAGAGGTTGCTGGGGTGGATGGCTTAGTCAAAGTTCATGTCCCCTTCTCATTGACTGAACTCTCCCAAATAGACAAAAGGTTGGGATCCTATAGTGCCAACCCTTCCACCTTTATTAAAGAATTCCAGTATATTACCCAGTCCTATAACCTTACCTTCCGTGATGTTTACATGATTCTTACCAACAATCTCCTCCCTGAGGAACGCAGGCGAGTTTGGGAACAGGCTAGAATCTATGCAGATGACATCTATCAAACTGATGATACCTACCCAGTTGGATCTATGGCAGTTCCTGACCAGGAGCCTGACTGGGATTACAATACCCCAGGGGGCATCCTAGCTAGGAAGCGGTTTTTAACTTGTCTCCTGGCTGGTCTCCGTAAGGCTGCTCTTAAAGCAGTAAATTATGAAAGGATCCAAAGGGTCATCCAGGACAAGGATGAAAACCCATCCCAATTCCTAGACCGTCTTACAAAGGCCCTCTTACAATACACCAATGTGGATCCTGAGACTCAAGATGGAAACAAACTCCTTATGACCTACTTTTTTTCCCAAAGTTACCCTGATATTAGGGCCAAACTCAGACGTCTAGAAAAGGGCCCCTTAACTCCACAGTCAGAAGCCCTAAATGTGGCATTCAAGGTGTACCATGGAAGGGATGAAAAGGCCCAAAAACAAAAATACCTGATGATGGCTAAAAGCTCTTGGCCAGCCAAAACGAAAGCCCAGGCTCCCAAAGGACAAAGGCTCCTACGTCCTTGTTTCAAATGCGGTCAGGAAGGCCACTGGGCCCGGGCCTGTCCAAACCCTCGTAAACCACCAGGACCATGTCCAAGGTGCGATCAAGAGGGACACTGGAGCATTGATTGCCCCCATGTTCCTGACAGCATGGGGACATCAATCCCAGATCGCCCTTCAACTGACCTCCTTGGCCTGGCCATTGATGACTGACGATGGGGCCCGGGCTCCCTTGGCCTGACCACCGCCATCTCCGACAGGGAGCCTCGGGTAGTTATCATAGTATCAGGGAGGCCTATCTCCTTCCTCCTGGACACTGGAGCCACTTTTTCAGTCTTGACAAATTTTTGGGGACCAACCACTCTTTCTTGTTCCTCTATTGTCGGAGTAGGAGGACAGCCCTATCAGGCCCAACAAACCCCACCACTTAACTGTATCTTTAAGGGTATCCCCCTTACTCATTCCTTCCTAGTGATACCAACCTGTCCCATCCCATTGCTGGGAAGGGACCTTTTAGCCAAAGTGGGAGCCTCCATTTCTTTTGCTCCTCCTATCCGTTTGGCCTCAGGTTTGCCAGCTGTTCCCCTTCTCCTCCTCCTACAAACCACACAGTCTAACACACTTCTTCCCTTACCATCCTCTCAGGTATATCCTCAGGTATGGGACACCCAAAATCCCTCTATAGCCAAACATCACACCCCTCTAATCATCCGACTACAAAACCCTGCCAAATATATAACTAAGGCTCAATACCCACTTTCACTCCAAAGTCTCAGGGGACTCAAACCTCTCATCTCTGACCTCCTGAGAAAAAGTCTTCTTTGCCCCACTTCTTCCCCCTTCAACACCCCCATACTTGCAGTCAAAAAACCTAATGGAACCTACCGCCTGGTTCAGGATCTCCGACTTATTAACTCAGCAGTAGTGCCCCTTCATCCTGTAGTTCCCAATCCTTATACTCTACTCTCCACCATCCCTTCAAAAACTTCTCATTTCTCTGTCCTTGATCTCAAGGATGCCTTCTTTTCTATTCCTCTGGACCCCCAGTCACAAAATATCTTTGCCTTTACTTGGACTGACCCAGACACTCACATTTCTACACAACTTACTTGGACAGTCCTACCTCAAGGGTTCCGGGACAGCCCCCATTTATTCGGTCAGGCCCTAGCCTCTGATTTATTCTCTTTGTCTCTCCCAAAATCCAAGTTGATACAGTACGTAGATGACCTTCTCCTTTGTAGTCCATCCCTAGAAATAAGCCAGGCCGACACCTCTACTTTGTTAAATTTTCTATGTAGCCGAGGATATAGGGTATCACCCTCTAAGGTCCAGCTGTCCATTCCTCAGGTAACTTACCTAGGACTAACTATTACTCCAACTCATAAGGCTATTACCCTAGATAGAAAAAACCTAATACAATCACTTACAGTCCCCACCACAAAGGATGAAATCTTATCCTTCCTAGGAATGGCCAGCTTCTTACGTTCTTGGATTCCTTCCTTCTCCCTTCTTGCTCGCCCTCTGTATCAGGCAGCCCTTGGCCCATCACATGAGCCTCTCCTTGCACCTGTTACCAAGCCATTTCGTCAGCTTCAACAGGCCCTCCTACAGGCTCCAGCCTTACACCTTCCAGACTTAACGCGTCCCTTCTCTCTCTATGTTACTGAGAAAGAGGGATATGCCCTCGGGGTCCTGGGTCACCAACTGGGACCTTCCTTTGCACCAGTCGCATACTTATCAAAAAAATTAGACCACACTATCCAAGGTTGGGCACCTTGTCTGCGGGCTCTGGCTGCAGCTGAACTCCTCATACGAGAATCAAAGAAGTTAACCTTTGGGTCTCCTACTACTGTCCTCTCTCCTCACCACCTGTCCCATCTTCTAACATATAAGGGTCTCCAAACATTACCCCCCTCCAGAGTTCTCTCCCTTCAGGTAGCATTAGTAGAGGATACAACACTTACCTTTCAGCCATGCCCACCTCTTAATATTTCAAATCTTCTCCCCCAACCAGTCTCAAAATACTCCCCATCTCACTCTTACATTGAGACCCTAGAAGAGTTACTACCTCATCCTACACATATACATGAGGGAGCTCTACCCCAAGCCACCTATACATGGTATACGGATGGCAGCTCCTTCCTAAACCTGTCATACCATCTCTTATTTCAAACCTTAATCTCTACATACAAGCTATTAAATAATGTCTTGCCTAACCGCTTTGAAGAATGCTGGTTGTGTGTCCCTCCTGGGTCAAACTCACAACCACCCTTTGTGGCCTCACCCATTGTCTTAACAGATTTTCCCACTTTGCCACTTCTAAACTGCTCTGAGCCAAACATTACTACCACCCCTTATCTCTCCCACATCTCTCTCTTCGGTATCTCAGACTGCTTTAGCTCAGCAGGAACACACCTTGTGGGCATTCTAGATTCTAAAGACTGCAACAATACCATAACGCTTAATACTACCACACAGCCCCTATGTCCAAATATTCACAATGCGTCGATTCTCTGTGGCACACAGGTATACCACTGCCTGCCTGCCAGTTGGTCTGGGACATGTACCCTGGTGTTCCTCTTCCCTAAATTAGGAGTGATACCTGGTGAAGAGCCCCTACCAATTCCCATCACTCAGTTTATAGCAGGACGACATGACAAGCGAGCAATTCAGATCATACCCCTCCTGGCAGCTCTGGGCATAACTGCAGGTGTGGCCACAGGAACAGCAGGATTAACCATTTCCCTAACGATGTACCATAGGCTTTCCTCACAATTCATCCAGGATTTCCAACAGGTAGCTCAAACCATCCTCACCCTTCAGGGTCAGATAGACTCCCTATCTGCTGTAGTACTACAAAATCGGAGAGGACTAGATTTACTAACAGCAGAAAGAGGTGGACTTTGCCTCTTTCTCGGGGAAGAATGTTGCTTTTATGTTAACCAGTCAGGAATAGTAAAGGATAAAATTCAACAACTTCAAACAGACCTTCAAAAATATAAAGAACAACTTGATAGCTCTGGCCAGTGGATCACTAATAATCCAATATGGAACTGGATGCTACCTTTTCTAACTCCTCTTCTCTCTGTTTTCTTAATTCTACTAGTGGCACCCTGTCTTATAAATTTTTTGTCTAGATTCCCTCAACAACAAGTTGAAAAAATTTCTAACCAAACTTTCAACCAGTTGTTATTACAGGGTTATCAGCCCCTAGCTAAGGAACCAGAAAGCTACAACACCTGGACACATCTGGACAAAGATGAAGATTGCCCCATGAACCTCGACGCCCCCATTCAGCAGGAAGTAGTCTAATGATAACACCGCCCCTTTTCCAAACCCCAGTTTTATTAAACAAAAAAGGGGGGAATGTAGGGAAAAGGGACCAGTCAAAGAAACACACCCTGAGCAGAGCCAAAGAAACACACTTTGGCCCTGCAACCAGAACCAAAGAAATGTACCCTGACCCTAAAACCAGTGCCAAAGGAACACACTTTGTCCCTGGAATCAGAGTCAGTGAAAGAAATGTACCCTGGCCCTAAAATTGGAGCCAAAAGGCTAAAAAGGACCAGAGAAAGAAACACACTTTGGCCCTGAAACCAGAGCCAAATCTGACCCTAATCCTGTGTAAAAAGTAACCAATCCCGGAGCAGAGCTCTAGCCAATCTGAGCTCAGCACTGAAATCGGACCAATCCCTACCCTGGAAAAACTTCCCCAACCCCAGGAACCCCTATATAAACCCTGTGTATGTTCAGCTTGGCTGGTCCAGCTGTCTTCCAATAAACACCTTTGGATGAGCTTCGGGGTGAAGATCTTCTTTTGCGGCTGCGACAGAGCAAAGGCGACCCTGGGCAGAGCAGAGCAGAGCGAGCAGAGGCGACCCTGGGCAGAGCAGAGCAGAGCAGAGCGAGCAGCGCTGTAACACTTGCCCGGGAAACCTTCCTTGGCAGAGCGGAGTTGTTACACTCTGCTCCCGCCCGGCTCCCTGCTCTCCGCTCGGCTCTCCAGGAGCAGAGCTGAACTGTAGCAACTTCGCCCGAGAAACCTCCTGCGGAGCAAAACTGCTACACTAGGCGAACATCCCCAGCTGGAAGACCCTGTCCTGCCGGAGCGGAGCTGACACACCGGAGAAGCCTTTCTCTGAGGCAAGGCTGTAAGCTGCCAAGCTTACTGCAACCTGTGGTGGTCCTTGGCTCCCGAGCTCCAGGATACCTTTCTACCTGAGCTGTGTAACACTCAGTATCCTTGGCTCCCGAGCTCCAGGATACCTTTCCACCTGAGCTGTGTAACACTGGGTATTCTGTGACTCCCGAGTGCCAGAATACCTGACCCACTCACTCCTGTTCCATCCTGTCCTGACCCATCCCGACGAAACGCTTACACTGGGCACCAGACTAGACCCTCGTTCTGCTCTGTGAGCTCTAGGGTCCTGTTCTTCCCTGCAGCCGCAGTGGTGGAATGCCCTGGCGATGGAGGCTCTGCCACCAGGCTATGTCCGTGAGTAAAAGGCTTCACTTCTGAATTCCACGGCCTCTCCACTCGCTGCTAGTGGAGCAGTGGTACAATGGAGAGTGACGGTCCTTTCCCAGGCTGTGAGCACAGGAGGGAGCCCATCCCGGCTTCAGGACTCTGTCTGCTTGTCTCTTTCTCTCTCTTCCGTTAGTTAGGGACGGGGTCTCACATGTAGCGGAGACTGGTCCAGGACTCACTTTGTAGACCAGACTGGCGTCAAACTGGCAGGGATCCACCTGCTCTGCCTCCCAAGTGCAGGATTAAAGGCGTGTGTGCGCCACCACCGCATGACTTTTGTTTATTTCTTAAGATAGGTCTCACTGCAGCTCAGGGTGGCCTTGAACACGAGCCTTGTGCTTCACATTTCCGAACATTGGGACTGGAGAGCATGAGCTCTCACTAAGTTTTCTCCTTAGAGACCTTGTCCCCACCATGAGCCCTTTGTCCTAGCTGAGGGCTGCAGCTGCCACAGCACCTAGAGCAGCCGTTGGGTTGCAATCCCTTAGACCACTGGAAAACACAGATATTTACATTTTGACTCATAAAAGTAGCAACATTATAGCTATGAAGTAGCAACAAAAGTAATTTTATGGTTGGGGGTCACCACAACATGTACTAAAGGGTTGAGGAGGGCTGAGACCACTGTCCTAGAGACAGTAAGGTTTTTCGAGACAGGGTTTCTCTGCGGCTTTGGAGGCTGTCCTGGAACTAGCTCTTGTAGACCAGGCTGGTCTGAACTCACAGAGATCCACCTGCCTCTGCCTCCCGTGTGCTGGGATTAAAGGCGTGCGCACCACTGCCCGGCGAGAGACAGCAGTTTTAAGAGACATTATTATGTGTAGTCACTAGTGAATCCATTCAGCCCGGGAGCTACAGCTCCTCCCCTTGCACCTATTTCCAGATGTTCCCCTTGGGTGACCACTCTGCCCAAGCTGGTGGCAGGAAGCAGCCTCTACCTGGTGCAGGAAGCTTAGTCTTTTCTGACCCAGGCAGAGGCCCTGCAAGTGGCTGGCCACTGTTTCACCAGGGTCCTTACAAAGAATCATTCCTGCTGCTAGAAACATAGTGTGGGATTGGGAACCACAGAAAAAGCCATCAGAGGCAGGACAGTTTGCGTGTCCAGTCTTAAGGACAAGAACAGCTGGCAAAAATTGCTTCTAGTAGAGTTCTTAGTATGAGTACTGCTTGGGCATCTGACCCCAGAGAGCAGTCAATTGTAACACAACCCCTAAGTGAAGAACGCAGTCCTAACTAAAGCTGGACAGAAGCGGCGGGAGACAGCACAGGCAGCCACTGGGGGCGCTCTTGCAGCCTGAGACACTAACCCTGAATATATATGACAACTGTTGCCTCGCTCAGGACTGTGGCCTGCACAGACGTGGCCTGTCCTGTCTCTGAGCGGCTTTGGCATCTAGGCACTGTGACCATATGGTTGTCGACACCCTGCCCCCCAGCTCTGACTCACTGGGGTTTTGTGCTCAGATTCAAAGGACTCCATTGACTGCAGCGCTGAGGTCAGCCTCTCCCCCTGCAGCCTGGTCTGCTGGGCAGCAAGACAGTCAACAGTTAATGGGCCTGGCCAGGAGTGTGGAGACAGCTGAGCATGAGACCTGCAGTGCCCTTTCTCTTAGGAGGCTACTTTTAAGATATTTGGGATGCCTCTGGGTGCTGAGTGGCAGGAGTACCACACCAGAGGCCACTTGCAAAGCTTGCTGACTTGCTTGGGTGGTCCTGTAGCTCCTGTTTTTCTTCCTGGGAGAGGCCAGAGGGAGCAGTCAGGGAGTGGCCCAAGAGACAGGCTGGGGTGGTCAGGGACACAAGCCAAAAAGGCTATCCAGAGGGTGGTGGGGTGCTCGCTCGAGAGGGAACTGCCCCACCCTCTTCCCCCAGCAGCCTCAGACGGAGCCCCCTGGGGTTATTTCCACAGGGAACCACAGCTAACCACTTCTGTCATTAGCCCTCAGCCTACAGTCTGGCCCCTAGGCAGGAGGAGGAGGAAGAGTAAGTACGTGAAGGAGCTGTTTATTGGGGGGATCTGGAGAGCAGAGTGGACCTCCTGGACAGGGAGGGCCTGGGGTGTGAAGCTCGGGGGCGGGCTTTCACTTGGCTCCTCCTCACAATGGTAAGTTGACACCTAGATCTCCTGGGCAACCAACAATAAGAAAGCTGAAGCTGGACAGCAGCTGGCTGTCAGCACCAAGAGCCGGCTCTAGGCGGTGCCTGAGAGAGAAGCAGCCCGCTGCGGGGCAGGGGAGGCGGCCCTGGCGGCAAAGGAGGGGAAGCACACGAAGGCTCTACACTGGGGCGCCCCTTCTCTGATCCCCGATAGCTGAGCTCCCGGGTAAGTGACACTGGCCAGAGGTAACGTGGGAGAGGGGGAAAGGGCAGCCAGGGTCTCGTATCTCAGGGGTGAGGAGCCACAACTTATCAGGAACTCAGAGAGGATGTCTTGGGGAACACACTGGGCCACTCTCCTGCAGGGAACTTAGCCTCCTCCTGTGTACACCTGAGCTCTGTTCCCCTGGGACCCAGCACTAGAGAAAGGGGATGCAGGGCCACTTGCTGTGTAGCAGAAGGGCTGGGGACCTGCTGCACAGCCTCCTCAAGCCTTTCCTACTCAGTGAGCTTAAAATAGGGCCCACATGCCTGCCGAGCCTCCGTTTCCCCAAGGATCGGGGCTGAGGCTCTCTGTTTCTCAAAAGGCTCAGCACAAGGTATGCCCAGGCAGCTAGCTCACTGGCTGCTGCCCCCATCCTAACCCCTAGGGATATGCATACCTGCTTCTAAACACAGGGTTGGAGGGGAGATGGTGACCCCCGGATTCTACTGCATGCTACACCACTGTAATGGTGACCCTGAGACAGTCTTTGGCTCGTTTTTTGGGCAGCACAAGCAAACCTTCCTGGGCAGAGGCTCACAAGGGGAAGCTGCTCACCCTTCCTGCCTCCTGTGCTCCCACCAGGAGCACATCTCCCCCTGAGATGTCCCTTCCAAAGCAAACAAGCCATTATCCAGTAAGAAAGAAAAACATTATTCAGGTTTGGAAACCAAGGAGAAGGTCAAGTGTCCTTGGCTCAGTAGAGGGAGTGGGTTTTGGCCTGTTTGGGAGCTGGGAGACTAACTCCTGTGGTAACAGAAATGCAGCATGGAGGGGACTGGACTGGAGAGAGCCATGATGGTGACAGCAGATCAGGATGGGTGAGGGAGGGGTGCAGCAGTGAGCTGTCAGCCGCAGGACCCCAGAGGCAGGAAGGTGACCTGTACCCACACAACACTGGTTTCCACAGCCCCTGAGACAAGAGGGAAGCCCAACTTCATGGCTGCAGGCAAGGAGCTCACTTCATTTCTACTGGGAACCAGAGCTTTGCCTGCTCTGGGAAGCTCAGGGCCAGGGCGGCAGGACGGGCAGGCTTCACACACCCATTTCTGATTTCAAGCTGGAGCCTCACAGAGACGGAGTCACTCAGACACTCAGAATGGTGGGCATCTCTACCCTGTTGGTCAGGCCTCTGGGACCCTCCGGTCTCTCACTCAAGATGCTTCTCAAACAAGACAACACACTGCAGGGCACAAATAGTGGACACCCACCATGACAAGACAGCAGGGTACAGCAAAACGCCCTTTGGGGCTGCAGGCCATCAGTGACAAGGGACACTGCTTATCAGGCACAGACACATTGCCTACCCTGTCCACGTGGCAGCTAGTGCTGACTATCAAGCTCACAGTGAGGAAACAGGGAAGCTGTGACTCCGAGTTGCAGTAGTCTGGCCTACGGATGGGCGCTTACTCTACAGCAAGGACCTCAGTGCCACTGCCACACAAAGGAACGCTAAGCAGTCCCCCAGTCCCGCCAGTTTCCTTCTCTGTTGTGCTAGTTCTTCCTGACCACTGCCTGCATCCCAGCCAGGAGCATCCTCAGCAGGCTTCAAGTGCTGTGCAGACAGTCTGGGCAGTGGCGGGCTCAGGGCAGCCAGGACTGTTCTCCAGGGGGAGCTGCCACTTGTTCTACCGAACATGGCATGAAGACACTCTAGACCCCTGGTTCTTGGGCATAAAGTATAGTTTAAAAAGAATAGGTGAACCTGGGATAAAAGTCCAGGAAAACACAGAATTACCAGTATCTCTGCTCAGTGTCCCCCAAACCTAGAGGGGGTACCCAGAGGGGGTACCCAGTCAACATGGAACAGCCCCAGAGCTCCCACTGCCCATGACCACAGCTGGGGAACAAGGCCACCTAATAACTACTGGTTATACTGGGCACCAGGCGTCTGTTGGCTCTGCTTTAAATAGCCCACTGGGAAGATGCCTGGGAACCTGCTGGAATGTGCTCTTTCCTCTCTAGAGAACAAGACCCCTCTGCCCCCCCCCATCATGTGCTTGTTCTGCTGGTCAGAGCTTAAAATAACAAAATATCAACTGCCAGGCAAAGAGGGTTCCTCTTCGGGCCTTTGAGGGCAGAGAGCCATGCCCAGCAGTCCCACTTCTGGTAAAGCAGGCAAGACCTGGCAGGCAGCCCAAGGCCACATCCTACAGCTGGCATAGTGGCCAGGTCCCACCTGGCTTCCAGTAGGCTACCTATAGAAGCTGAGGGCACAGAGCTGGGAGGCTGTCCACACTCTTACAGAGGAGCGCTCAGCTGCTCTGGACACGAGTCTGCAGTTCTCCAACTTCACAAGCCAAGCAGAGTGCAGGGAGAGCGGGAGAAGGCAGGCGAGCAGCTGGGAGTAACTCTGCTGGCTGGAACTTCTTATCAACACGCTGTGACTTCCCTGCACGGCAGGTCCAGCCTGAGCCACTGGCTTCTACCCTGCACTGCAAACCGCCAACCCTGCCAACCCTGCCAAGCAGGTGCCTCCCCCCGCCCCCACTGTCTCTCTCTCTCGAGGTCTCTGGGTGCGGCACATGGAAAACTCTCCTGACCACCAACCTCCTGCCTGCTTCTGCTTTTAAGGCATGTCTCCATTGGGCTCATGAGGCAATGTGGGCACAGTGCCAGTCAGGCTGAACAAGCCAGAACAAACAGATGAAGAGGGAGGGCCAGAGGCAACAGCCCTGGTTCTAACCCATGCGCACTCCGTTTCTGTGGGGTGGTAGTGGTGCTGAGGACCCGGAGAGTGGATGGATCACTGCTGCATGCGGGAACTGGCTAGAGGCGGCATCTCTTCTGGTCTGACCAGAAGGGACGTTCTTATGCTCACACCAGCAGGACACATAGATGGATTCATTTAGTGACAGATATCACACGCGGTTCCCAAAAGGCCCCACTCTGGTAGTGATGAACAGGTAAAATTGACGCCCCAGGCCCACAAGAGGTGGTATTGAACGTGCACAGCTCACGGACTTCCATCATCGTTGTTTTCACAGGCAAGTGGGGCACCTGCCCTCTGGCCCTTTAGCCCTGACTCCTCAGTGTCCCATGGGCGCTTCCTGATACCGGGAGAGCAAGCCATGGTGCTTGGTTCGTATGGTCTATCACTCGGGGACTCAGCTGTGCTGTCTTATGTTGCTGCTTAAAGCCAAACAGGCCTCCAGAAAGAGTGCATGGGTTGGAGAAGGGGCAATGGCTGAGACCATTCTTGACTTTCCTGGCCCTGTCAATCCCCACCCAGAAAAAGTTCCTGCAGCCAGCACTCCTGCCCCCAAGCTTCTCATCTCAACAACACAGAGATAAAGAGCCTGTCCACGGCACAAGAGGGGTAGGAATTAGGACAGGGTGAGGTGGTGGCGCACACCTTTAATCCCAACTTGGGAGGCGGGGGCAGGAAGATCTCTGAGTTTGAGACCAGCCTGGTCCACAGCGCAAGCTCCAGGACAGCCAGGTCTACACAGAGAAACCTTGCCTTGAAAAACAAACAAAATACCATTTCTATGATGGGCAGATTAAGTTGAAGAAGGTACCAGAGGGCTGGGATGTAGCTCTGTGGTACGGTACTTGCCTAGTATAGGAAAGGCCCTGGAGTCCCTTCCCCAGAAGCACAAGAATGAAAACAAAACATGAACAACAAATTCAGAGAAGGCAGCTGGCGGTGGTGGCACACGCCTTTAATGCCAGCACTCGGGAGGCAGAGGCAGGCCTGGTCTACACAGCTACATAGAGAAACCCTGTCTCAAAAAATTAAAACAAAACAAAACAACAAAAAACCACAGAGAAGACACCATGCACTTCATAGAAAGGAAATCCGATTGGAGGGCAACTGTGACCCAGTTCCTGAACTGTTAGGGGACAGGGCCTACGTGACTAGGATTCAGTGGAGGCGGGCAAGGGCCCACACGTAGGATGCCCTATCTCAGAGCTTCAAGGGCCCACACGTAGGATGCTCTATCCCAGAGCTTCAAGGTAGTTTTAGGCCTGCTGTGCGCCAGGCAGGAGTGCTGGGGGGGGGGACCCGTCTCACAGACCACAGCAGAGGGGACGGCCTGCCCAGTTGAGACCAGGGCCAAGATGGCAACAGCCATCAAAGACATAAGCCCCTGGCCGCCTGCTCCCAGCCCTCAGGAAGATGCACTGGTACAAGGCTGTCCCCGTCCCTTCTCACTCACAGAAGAGATGCTCAAAGGCTCCAGCACACAAATCAGCTGGGAGCTTTGTCAGGCCTTCTCTGGAAGCCTGGACAATCATCACTCTCCAGACAGGCCTTTTCCGGTTAGAAAAGAACGTGTCCAAACCATGTCCTAAAACTCGTGATTCCCACAGGAATAAATGACACCCCCCCGGAATATTGTGTGGGCCTTTCTTCCTTACATGACAATGAATAAAGAAACTGGCCTTGCAGGAGAGTTCTTAGGGGCCAAGCATTGGTGGCTGGTGCACATCTTTAATCTCAGCAATTGGGAGGCAGAGGCAGGCAGATCTCTGTGATATCAAGTCAGCCTGGTCTACTGAGCGAGTTCCAGGACAGGCTCCAAAACAATACGAGAAACCCTGTCTTGAAAAAAAAAAGTTCTTGGGGGACTCAGCTTCATATCCTTCAAGTGACTCTTTCAGTTTTTGCCTACAGTTGATCCCAGCTCAAGTCCCCATAAACCTGTTCCTGGAATCTGATTCTTCTCCCACACAGAATCCTGAGGCCTGTCTTGCCGCCCTGAGGGCATCTAGGGGAGGCACCAAAATCCTGAATGACCCAGAGGCTGGTCGGGGAGCTGTGTCAGCTGAGGCACCCCAGCCAAACCTGATATTTGTCTCAAGACAAAGGAATGCAACAGTAAAGTCACATCTGATGGGCACGGCCTTCACCAGCTGCGGCCTTGTCTGGTAGCCCCTTAAGCTTCTCCAGGTCACATGTGTCACAAGCTTTCCTTGTTCTGGGCAGCTCCGGCCAAGTGTGGACTGAAGGCTACCATACCTTGGAGCAGCCGTCCCGACTCCCTGTCTCCCTGCCTGGGACCCACTGTGGTACAGGGGTGGAGACTGACAAACCTGCTCTGCAGGCTATGGTGGGAGAGGCTGCTTCACCAGAGCTGCCTCCCAGCCTGTGAGCAGCTGGGCAGGGACTCTGAGGTGCTGTCTGTGTTGTTACAGAGCACAGGAGCCCTAGCAACATGGCAGCCGCAGACTTGCAGGAGGAGATCCGCTCTGTGGGTGAGAGGCTGCTGCTGAAGCTGCGAGCACTGCCTCAGGCTGAGCCCGTGGAGCTTGTGGCCTTCTCTATCATCGTTGTTTTCACAGGCAAGTGGGGCACCTGTCCTCTGGCCCTTTAGCCCTGACTCCTCAGTGTCCCGTGGGTGCTTCCTGATACGGGGAGAGCAAGCCATGGTGCTGGCTGGCTGGGAGGGAAAGCTAAGGCAGCTGCCACACTGTGCCATCGCCTGAGTTGCTGGGCAGTGCTGGGACTGGATACCGGGTGTCAACCACGAACTGAAAGGAGTCCAGCTTGGGCAGTGGAGCAAGAGACAAGCAGGACCTGCCAGCCTCTCAGGCCTAGTGAGCACTGCTCCAGACCAGGGGGAGGTCTTTTGGAAGGAGGGTGGGCATCCTTCCTCCCTGACTGTTGGGCTCTGGGCCATCTTCTCCTTCAGTTACAGTTCTGCTGATGATGATGCTGGTCTGCAGCTGCTGCTGTATGCCCTGCTGCTGCCTCGATAGGAGAGTCAGGAAGATCGCCGTGCTGCCCCTAAGACTCAGATGAGAGGCAACAGTGAGATGCCCCAAAGAGGAACTGGACAGGAGCCTTCCAGAACTGTGACACAGGCTACCATTCTGGCCACTTCACTCCTTCAGACAGATCACTTGGCCTCAGTTCCGGCACGGCCCAGGTAGCAGGGCAGACATCTGGAACCTTGTCAAGGAAACAGGTGCTGCTCAATCTGCCGGGGGACAGCAGTGCTTAGGAGTAGCCGTCTGGTTCAGAGACTCAGAAAACCACTGGGGTCTTCAGCTAAGCTGTACCTCTTAGGGGCCCCTACTTTAGTTGTGGGGAGCTGGCCCTTGGGGCTCTGCTGATTTATGCCAAAGAAAAGCAAGCTAATTAGGGACTTTGTGCAATATACTATACTCCAAGCCTCCTGTTGAGGGGGAGGGGAACATGTCAGTATTCTGGCTGAAATTTGCTAACTTCCAAGTAAAGCTTTTTCGGTTATGTGTTTATGAGGTGTTTGGTTATGTATTTATGCACAGAGAGCACAAGCTGTGCTCTGTGCATCAGGAGGGCAGTGACAGAATCCTAGGGGCATGGCCAATGGCTGTTCTTTCCAGGCTACTGCTCTCCATGTACCCATGAAAGCTGGAAAATCACACGGGGAGGAATGCCACACAGACATCAGAGCTATGGAACCAGTGGGGGAATGCCACACAGACATCAGAGCTATGGAACCAGTGGGGGGCAACACTCCTGTTTTGCATCATCTACTACTAAGGGCTGCTTCCAGAGTTCCACCCTGTCGAGTGATGGAGGTCCTTGCCCTAGAACAGGTGCTGAGCCCAGGAACGCCACTGGCATTTCTTGCTGTCCTGACACAGTCTCAGGTCACTGGATCCTCCCAGATTTCTTCCATCTATTGTCCTTGCACCCTGACCCTTTGGTCCTGTCCCTGTTTGTGTGCCCACACCCTCGGTTGACAATTGCTCGCCTTTTGTAATGCAATCCTCTTAAGCTGGGCTTCCTTCTCATGAGGTGGATTAACATCTAGTCTCAGTGACACTAGTTTTTCCAAGTGCAGCCAGCTAAAAAGTGGCGAGGCCTGCTCTGGGTCCAGCCTGTCTGGCTCCAGAGCCCCTGCTCACCACACCTAGGGCTTGAGGCCTCTGGGACACAAGGCAGAAGGTGTTGACTCCATTATCTCCATTAGCCAACCCTACATGCAGGCACCCACACCCAAACTGTCTCAAGACTGCTTCTGTACGAGTGGGTGGGAATCTAACACCCCAACTATCAGCAGAGATCCCCAGGGACAGTAGAAGGGACTGGCAACCCCACATTCTTTACTCCCAGCACTGCTGGCTGGAGGACAGCCCAGTTCCTTCCAGACTCCTCTTTAAGCAGGGTTTCATTAGCATCAGAACAGCCTTCCTGTAGGGTGGCTAAGACTGAGGCCCCTGCTTTGCTAGAGAAGAATGTGGTTCCTAGCCCAGGCGCAGAGCAGAGGGTACATGCCACGGCCAACCCTGGACACAGCCTAAGAAGCCAGGTTGCTTGTACCTTCCTGCCCAGGCCAGGCTAGCCGGCCTATAAGCTAACCCAGAGCAGCCCATCCTATAAGCTAACCCAGGCCAGCCCGTCCTATAAGCTAACTCAGAGCAGCCTGGCATACTCCAGGATGGACCTGTCCACCTTCACTGGAGGAGGCAGATGTCTCCCTCTGTGGGAAACAGAGACAGTCACTGCAGACCTGGGCTGTCGGAGGACAGCTGGTGAGCACGGCACACAGCAGGCTGTTCCAAGCTTAAGGAAAGTCCACTGACTGACTATCCTATGTCATTCCAGAGCAAGCGCCTCAGTACACAGTGACTGCCACAGGCCTCCCCAGCCTCCTCAGGGCTGTCCCTCTCACACGGACTCTGTTCTACCAGCGCCTGTCCTCAGTCCCTCAGGAGGGCGAGGAGCTGCCTAGTTCATTGCCTGCATTTTATGCCTCATTACAGACTACAAAATCAAAGCGAGAATCACGTCAGCAACACCAGGCAGAGCATAGACGAGTTTTGTGAAATGTTAACATTTTCAAAACAATTTATAACAAAAATCATGACCCAAATGAATATTACAAATTTCATAACATAAAATATGTGCACAATGCCGGATGGTGGTGGGCACGCCTTTAATCCCAGCACTCGGAGGCAGAGGCAGGCAGATCTGAGAGAGGTCAGCCTGGTCTACAAAGTTACACAGAGAAACTCTTTCGAAGACCAAAAGAAAAAAAAAGTTTTCCTCCTCTTTGTGCCTTGTTCCATGCCATGGAATACTGTTCCTAAAAAAAGATGTCTGTTTTTATATATGAGTGTTTGCCTACACACATGTAAGATGTCTGTTTTTATGTGTGAGTGTTTGCCTACACACATGTAAGATGTCTGTTTTTATGTGTGTTTGCCTACACACATGTAAGTGCACCACTTGCATACTTCTCATTTGAGGAGGCCAGAAGAGGGCGCCAGATCCTCTGGAACTGGGGTGACAGACAGTTCTGAGCCACCACGGGGTGCTGAGAATTTAACCTGGGTCCTCTGGAAACGTGGTCAGTGCTCAAGTCTTTACACTTCCCATCATTTCTTCCCAGAGGAACCCTCGGCACACAGACCGCTCGTGACTGCCGCTCCCCTTCCTGCTCTCACCTGTTTGCCTCCCGGTGACTGAAATGACAATCAAAACTAGACGAAGCAAGCTTCCTGTGAGTGACATGCTCTCTCCACATATCTGATCCTTGTTGTTTTAAGAGATTTAGTTCTGGTTAGCCTGGAACTTACTACATGGACCAGGCTGGCCTCAAACTCAGCGACTCGCCTGCCTCTGCTCTGAGTGCTATAATAAAGGTGTGTGCCACCATGCCTAGCAGGGCTTTGAGTTTTGTTTCGGTCTTTTGAGACAGGGTTTCTCTATATGGCCCTGGCTGTCCTGGAACTCACCAGGCTGGCCTCAAACATTACCCGCCCCCTTCTGAGTGCTGGGATTAAAGGTGTGTGCCACCACAGCCTGACTTCCTTTGTATTTAAGATTTATCTATTATGTATATGTGTGAGTTGTTTCCTGGAACTAGAATCATAGGCAGTTGGGGCCCCCTCACGTGAAAGCTGGGCACTGCACCCAGGTCTTCTGAGAGAGCAGCAAGTGCTCCCAGCATCTGCCCCGCCCACCCTCCAGCCGACAAGATCTGAGGTGGGAACAGACAGGCTCACCTCTCAGGTGGGGCTTGCTCTCTGAGGAAGGGCAATGGACTAGCTCGGCTCCAATCTTACCTGAGTGTAAAATGTCACCACAAAGGGGTAGGTAAGGCACTTGCCGCCAAACCCGAGGACCTGAATTCAGTTCCCTGGGACCCACAAGTTAGAGAGCCTATTTCCACAGTGGCCCACTAACCCCCACCCCACAGGCCATGGTGCACACACACACACACACACACACACACACACACACGAAAGAGTTTAATGTTATGAGTTTTACAAAATATGCCCAAAGTTTAGTTATGTTTGTGCGTCTTCTGACGGGATGTGGGGTGATATGAAAGGGGCCACGCAGGCATTAATAGGCGATAGCTTTGCTCCTAGGTTGGGGACTGAAACTCAGGCTGCACAGCCTTGAGTAAGTCACTTAGCCTCTCTGTGTCTGTTGTCTATCTGTAAAGCTGGAGCTGTGGCTATCATCACTGCGTCATGTGTTTATACGGTGTCACATTCAACTTTGTAATCACAGAAACAAGCACACAACCACCATAAACCGGTTTGGGAACAAACATCTCACTCTTGATAAGAACCTGATTTAACAGATAGGCACAAAAGTACCCGGGTGTGCCAGGACTAGCCCGCTGGCCTCGTGCACTCGGCACGCCAGGAAGCCAGCAAGCTTTACACAAGGACACGGAAAGCAACAGGTGAGCCATGGGTCAGTTCTGCTTCCTGAGCTTGCTCGGCACCTCAACCACTCCAGGCTAGCCCTGAAGAGCCACCCCCGGGAAGATTCGAACAACAGATAGCCCAGAATTCACCAAACTGATGTCAATGGGCATTTCTCAAAACTCTAACAGCAGGATTGATGACAGTGGCTAGAGCATGAGCCTCGATGGAGGCAAGGCCTCTGTCTCTTACCTTATGATGGCACAGAGCCTGGCAGTGTCAGGCCCACACGTCTAAGTGGCCATCAAGTTTCAAGCAAGGCATTGTCTGATTAACGCCCTCCTTTTCTCTCTAGCCAAGGGGTGGGACTCAGTCACACTAAATAGTCGAGGCCACGTCTGAGGCAGGCAGGAGAAAGGATTTGATGGTGTTGAGCACTCCCACCCAGAAACATGTCCCAGAAGGCTCCTGCCAGAGCTGCAGTTAATCATTCACCCAAACCACAAAAAGGAATAACTTCCCAGGTAAGCTCCAAGAGGTCACCCGGACGAGAACTGAGACCCAGCTGCACATAGGTGAGGTGGACAGGTGGCCTGGGGCACAGACAGTCTCTTCTCTCACCCTAACTTAACTTCTATCAAGGACAATTTACAATATGTCTTGAGCATCTCCACAAAGTCATCACAAAAGGGCAGAACACTGCTGAAGGGAACGAGGAAGGGAGTGGCAGTTGGTTGCTAGGCAACCAGTCTAGCCCACCTTTGTTTGTTCTGGTGGCAGCTGCAAAGGTGTGGTCAGAGATATTTGGCAATGCTCTAGGCTGCCAACAGTCACCTCTTTGAGTTACTGAACAGCTGTGGTCACCTGGCAGCCTCTTCCACCCAGGAACCCCAAAGCGTGAGGCCTGAGGACAATCCTGATTTGCCTTTGCCCTCATAAATCACAAACTATTAGCAGAAGAACCAGGTAATGACATCTCTCTTTTCCCCTATATTTCTTTCAACTCGCTGCAGCTTACTGACACCAGTATGGCTAGGCCTCCTGCTTCCAGCTGTCCCCACACTGCCGTAACTACACTCTCTTCCTATCCATCACCACCCTTTTTTAATAGAGCGTGTGTGTGTGTGTGTGTGTGTGTGTGTGTGTGTTTCTTCCTACGTATGTCCACACGTGCATTCCTGTAGGCTCAGAAGCTAAAAATGGTATCAGGTACTCTGGAACTGGCATTATGAATTGTGGTGGTGCTGGGAACTGAATTTGGGTCCTCTGCAAGAGCAACCAGCGCTCGTAACTGCTGAGCAGACATACCTCCAGCTCCACCTATCTTTTTTTTAGACTGGATGGCTGCTCCCTACTGGCCTGGAATTCCTGGGCTCAAGCTTCTGTGGAGCTGAGACTTAAGCGCACCCTCATTCCCAGCTCGGCTGCTACACCAGCCTCTCAAACACCTAGCAACTGGAACAATAAAAACAGAGGGAAATGCACAGGGTACATTTGAGGCTCTAGCTAGGAAGGTCTGGGGATGGGTGGGGGGCGCTCCAGGCTCACAGCAGTTGTTCGGAATGAGTCAGAGACATCCACCCGCTGCAGCCCCCAGCAGCTTCCAAGCAGGAAAGCCCTCCATGTTGCTGGCCAGATGTATCCAGCTGTTCGGTGCAACCGCACAGAGGTCCAGGGAGGTGGCATGGAGAGCAATGCCAGGGGCAAGACCTTCAGAGCTCTCTGCACTCAGGGCCTCTGTCTCCTTTCTTCCAGATTTACACAGGCCAAATGATAACCCTGAAGACTACCCAGAGTGATGACTTCTGGAATAACCCCTGGGACTTGGGGGGCCTGATAGTGATTGGGTTATTCATCTGCACTTTCCTGTTCCTCACCCTGTTTGCCCTTGTGTTTGGGTATGTGGAAAAGGCTATGTGTGAAGAGGACTGACCTGACTTCCTGGAGCCTGGGGGCAGCAGGGAAAGACGGGCTGACCGACCTGCTGCCCCCCACAGCAGCGGCAGCTCTCCAGCCCCTCAGGCTCAAGAAGGCGTCTACCTTCTGGATCTGACTCAGGGACTGCTGGTCAAAGAGCAAGATGGGAAGGCTGGTCTGACCCTGTTTCAGGCTCTCCCACCCGACTACCAGCTACCACTGGAAGCGATGGAGAGGGACACTCTGCTCCACCTGAAGTGGCGGCGGCAGCAGCGGTGGCTAACAAGGTCTTCTAAGCTTCCCTGCCCAGGCAGCAATCCTGCAAGTCCCCAACAGAGAAGGACATAAAATGTCAGATGAAGTAAAACTCCTTTTCAAATCCACTAACGCGAGCTTATTTTCTGTGCAGACATGGCTCTCCAGCAAACCTCAGAATGGAGCTCACGAGCTGCTTGACAAGTGCTCCTAGATCCACACTATTATAACTTCAGCTCCTAGCTGCTCTGCCTCTCCTGCCTCGAGGCTTCTGCGTACGTCCCCAGACTGGGACACTCCCTTTCCTGCCACATCACACCCATGGCCTGCCCAGTGCTTCCCTGTCCGGCTGATCCCAGCCTAAACCTGTCTTCCTCAACTTTTCCCTGACTCCGGCTGAGACTGGGATGGGGAAATCTTACTCTCAGAACAACACTGTACGGGGCTAGGGAGATAGCACAGCAGTTAAGAGCACCGGCAGCACTCGCAGAGGACACAGGTTCGATCCCCATTACCCATGTGGAAGCTCACAACTATCTAACTCCAGTTCCAGGGAAACCAATGTCCTCTTGTGACCTCTGAGGGCACTAGACACACACGGTGCACAGACACACAAGCAGATAAATCACTCATACACAAAATTTTAGAAAAGCGAAACCAAAAACCACCATGTACTTTTTCTTCAAAGCCCATTCATTAGCAATTATATATTTTAAGTAAATAGTATTTCCCAATGAAACAGGGCCCACTCTCTGTGCTTGGCACAGATAGATACGCTGGCGGATGCGGAGCAGCTGAGCTCCCTACTCCAGAGACACCACGAGACAATCCCACCCAGACCAAAGGCAAAGCCCCAACCCAACCCCAAAGCCCAGACTGCTATCTCAAGCCTGTTGACTACATGGTTAAAGTTCTGCCATGAGTCCTGCTTCTTCGTGGCTGCAGCTCTGAGAAGATGGTTTCATGGAGGAGACAAGATAAAAACCACTGGCGGCCCCACCCTGGCCACATTTGGAAGGGACCCGACTACCTTTTCTGGTGATTCCAGGCCACTGCCCATAACCCACCGTACACGCCGCAACCCTACAATAGCTTCCTTCAGAAACGTACCCATGCAACTAGCCCACCCCACTGGTCTCATCCCTCCCTGCCAGGTGCCTGCTTCGTAAGGGAGGTTGGTGGGAACAGTCGCCTCAACTTCAGCCTCAAACCAGAACTACTCTTAGAAAAGTGACAGTCAACTGTTGAAAGGGGCTTTCTTCTTCGTGCCAGACACTTCCCACAATAAACGCTCACTCTCATGAGGAGCGGAGCTGACAGAGCTGTGCCAGCAAAGTCCTGAGATGAGAGCCCACCTGTAGCCAACGAGACAGGTGTGAGGCTGAGCACTGGGGGTGGGGTGGGGGTGGGCACAGCGATGATGGCCTGGACCTTGTGGTCCCACAGATGTAGCTCTCAACTGGCCTATGAAGGCCCCACGCAGACCTGCTCTGCTGCGGCCTCGGCCGGGAAGCAGAGACTGACAGCCAGCACGGACACTCGGTCCTTTGAAGCATCCCATGAAAGGCTCAGCTCATGGAGCCCAAGGAGGTTGATTCACGTCAGAGGCAGGACAGGGCTCTGGTGGTGTGGTCTCAGCCAAGGGTGGGCCTGGCACAGCAACCCACGTTTTCCGCATGTGACCCTGCCACAGAGGCCACATTAGAGATGCCATTTCCAGAAGGAAATACTCCAGTCTGTGTCACCAACTCATCAAAGAAGAGGGAGACTGAGAATCCAAATGTGGAATCCAAATAAGCACACCCCCTCCCATTTTCAGGAGAGCCTAAACACGTCCTGTAGACACCAGTGCTATGTCCTTAATCAGCAGCGCTCAGCTTCAAGATGACAGCATTGGGGCAGGAGTGTAACTCAGTGATACAGGGCTTGTGTGACACACACAACATCCTGGGTTCAATCCTCGACACCACAAAAACAGACGTCCCTACTCCCCCCAAAGACTCTGACACCAGTATGAAAAGAGCACATCCACTGTGAGAATCAAGGAGCCCAGGTGTAGTAGCTTCTGTGAGCTTTGTGACCACGACCTGTCTGGCCTGGCTCATTCATCTCTAAGTCTGAGGCAATCACTTCTGTTCATCAGCTCCGTTTTTCACATGAATGAATGAATGAATGAATGTGTTTTTCACATGAATGAATGAAGTGTTTTTCCACATAGACTGACTCCTTTTGGGCATCCTTCACATAGGATTCTACTGTTACACGCCCCGCCACACCCTGTCATTGAGCAGCTAACAGCCTCTTTCCATGGCTGGCCTATAGCTTCTGCCCCATTGCCACAGACGTAGACAAAATAGATAAGCAGGCTCCACATAAGCAGGCTGGTGTTTTACCCAAAGCATGTGACACGCCCCCAACTAGATGAGTGGGCTCGAAGCTTCTGTGTGTGTGGGGGGGGTCTGTGTAAGAATAAGAACAGCTCATCAGGTGTGGTGACGCATGCCTATAATCGGAACACGTGGGAGGTAGGGGCAGTCAGAATAACCAGGAGTCAAAGGCCAGCCTCTAACACATGGCGAGCTGGTGGCCAGCCTGGGTTACATGAGACCCCATCTCAGAAGCAAACAAAGCAGCACGAGCGACTCATACACAGTCAGAAGAGCCAGCTCAGTGACAGGAGCCGGCCACATTGCTCTGCAGTGAACTGCTCACAGAGCCAGCCAACCATCCATGAAGTAGGCAGAGGAGCGGGTGACTACCCAATGGGAACAACTCCTCACACGAGAGAGTGAGTTTCGGTGACCCCGGAAGTAAAAAGGAAGGATCCTGACCACGCGGCCTGAAATACGAGCTTTGCAAGCAGGGACCCTCAGTGGCCCAGGGGCTAGCTTGCATTAGCTGGTAAAGTAATGACTGGTGGGAGAGGAAATGATCTCTCTGCCCTCGGAGGAGCCGGCAGGCCACGGGGGATGAAGCCCAGCGTCCTGCACCCGCTGCATACACAGATGCTCTATCTACCACGTGCCGCACCGCATGCCCAGCGTCCTGCACCCGCTGCATACACAGATGCTCTATCTACCACGTGCCGCACCGCATGCCCAGCGTCCTGCACCCGCTGCATACACAGATGCTCTATCTACCACGTGCCGCACCGCATGCCCAGCGTCCTGCACCCGCTGCATACACAGATGCTCTATCTACCACGTGCCGCACCGCATGCCCAGCGTCCTGCACCCGCTGCATACACAGATGCTCTATCTACCACGTGCCGCACCGCATGCCCAGCCCCACTCACCCCAGTTCTTCACAGAAGGTCACCAGGGCGTCAAAGGCCAGCAGGGTGGCTTTATCAGATGCTTTGCTCCCTCTCTTTTCCTGCAGAGAGAAGCAACCACTTAGTCCCCCAGAGTCACAGCGTGCGCTCTCACAGCAAGTGCGAACGAGAAAACACAAAAGGACAAGAGAGGCGCTCAGCAAGCAGTGCCCAGGCCTGTCGATAGTCAGCACCTCCAGGCCTGTCGATAGTCAGCACCTCCAGGCCTGTCGATAGTCAGCACCTCCAGGCCTGTCGATAGTCAGCACCTCCAGGCCTGTCGATAGTCAGCACCTCCAGGCCTGTCGATAGTCAGCACCTCCAGGCCTGTCGATAGTCAGCACCTCCAGGCCTGTCGATAGTCAGCACCTCCAGGCCTGTCGATAGTCAGCACCTCCAGGCCTGTCGATAGTCAGCACCTCCAGGCCTGTCGATAGTCAGCACCTCCAGGCCTGTCGATAGTCAGCACCTCCAGGCCTGTCGATAGTCAGCACCTCCAGGCCTGTCGATAGTCAGCACCTCCAGGCCTGTCGATAGTCAGCACCTCCAGGCCTGTCGATAGTCAGCACCTCCAGGCCTGTCGATAGTCAGCACCTCCAGGCCTGTCGATAGTCAGCACCTCCAGGTCTGTCGATAGTCAGCACCTCCACGACTGCCCTGGACTTTCTGGGACGGGAGCATTTGAGAGCTGTCATTTCCAAAAAAAAAGCGATTCTCAAGCAATGGGCCCTGGACCGACATTTGGGAAATTATGATTCCACCCAGTGTAAACAATGAATTCAGGGTTGAGCCCTTACACATCTATGAACATATATGCTAATGTACATACCAGAGAATACAACCTGTTAGTCTTGGGCAGATAAGATCGTGCATATTGGTCCTTTCTGTATTTATTGCCAAAAGTTCCTTTGAAAAATATCAACTTAGGGTCAGTGAGATGGCTAACTTACTGGGTAGGCACTTGCCACTGAGCCTGACTCTCTGAGCTCAGCATCCACACGCAGAAGGAGGGACCTGACTCCTACAAGTGTTCTCTGACCTCACAAGTACTCATGGCATAGGCTCATACCCAATAAATAAATGTAAGAAAAAAATTCTCACCTTAGAGGGGCTGGAGAGATGGTTCAGTGGTCAAGAGCACTGGCTGCTCTTGCAAGAGGACCTAGATTCAAACCCCAGCACCCACATGGTGGCTCACAACCATCTGCAACCCCAGTTCTAGGGGATCCACCCCTCTTCTGGCCTCTTTGGGAACCAGGCACACATGTGGTACATGTACATACATGTACACACATGCAAGTGAATACTTACGAACATCAAATAAAGCCTAAAATTTAAATAAAAATACAGAAAATGGATACCTGAAGCAATATTGACTTTTTATGTTTAGGTCATTCAACACCCCCCCCCAAATATACACACAAAAACGCAAAAATGCACACTTCGTGGGAAGCGGCAACAACAAAGGGCCCTGAGAGCATAAAAATAAGCAGTTAATGACTGCATGTGTGCAGAGGTAATCATGAAACCCATTACTTTGTATGCTAGTCTACAAAAAGTGTTAGGGTGTCCGACAGATAGCTTGGCAGTTACGAGTACTCGCTGCTCTTGTGGAGGAGCACCCACACACTAATCTCACAGCCATCTGTAAGTCTAGTCCCAAGGGATCGGATGCCCTCTTCTGGCCTCCTGAAGCACACTCATGTACATAAACAGTAAGACAGAAAAGTCTTATTCATTTTTAACTAGTGTGCATGAATGTTTTGCCTGCATGTGTTGGTGCACACCACTGGTGTGCCTGGTGCCCAGAGGCCAGAAGAGCATCAGTTCCCCTGGAACTGGAGTTACAAGTAGTTGTGAGCTGCCCTGTGGGTGCTGGGAATCGAACCAGGGTCTTCTCCAAGAGCAGCCAGGACTCCTAACTACTGAGCCATCTCTCCAGCCCCATCTTTGTTGATGTTGTTGTGTTTTGTTTCTTTATTTTGGTTTTGCAAGACAGGGTTTCTCTGTGTAACAGTCCTGGCTGTCCTGGAACTCAGTCTATAGATACGGCTGGCCCTGAACTCTAAGAAATCTGCCTGTCTGTGCCTCCTGAGTGCTGAGATTAAAGGCATGCATGCTTGCTGATTTTTTTTTTTTTGTTTTTTGTTTTTTTTTGGTTTTTTCGAGACAGGGTTTCTCTGTATTGTCTTGGAGCCTGTCCTGGAACTTGCTCTGTAGACCAGGCTTGGTCTCGAACTCACAGAGATCCCCTGCCTCTGCCTCCCGAGTGCTGGGATTAAAGGCGTGCGCCACCAACGCCCGGCGCTGATTTTTTTTTTTTTTTATGTTAGTTAGGAACCTAGCACAGTGACACAGCAATTGCCTAGCAGTCACCAGAACCTGGGTTCAAACCCCGGCAATACTGATTATTATGTGCAGTGCTAGGGATTAAACTGGGGCTTCCTCCATGCACGTTAGGCCAGAGTCCGACCACAAAGCTGTACCTGGAGCCCCAAATTTCTTGTGATAGCAGTCTTTTCCTCATTGCGGCTATGTCAACACAGTTCCAAGCTGAACCACAGGGTTACAGTTTCTTATTTCCCTTTCCTACTGCACTGTCTCCTCTGAGACAGTTCCTTCTCCCTGCCCTGGCTTTAGATGTCAGCGTTTCACTAGTTCACCCTGAATGCTCTGACATGACAGATAACTCATTTCCACAGGAGCCCGAGGTTGTCGGTCATTTTGACTTTTGAAACCCTTCTTGAGCCCCGCCTGCAGCAGTGTCTCTGACTTTGCTCCAGGCCAGCACCCGGCTGCTTTCTGGCTTTCTTCACACGAGCTTGGCGAGCATCTGGCCTCCAGAGCCATCTCCCCAGCACAGAGGGCGGTCTTCCTGTTTTAACTTTTTTATGTATATGGGTGTTTTGCCTGTGTGTATCTGTGCACCACACATACTCCTGGTGCCCTTAGAGGCCAGAAAAGGGCATCAGATCCCCTGAAGATGACGTTAGAGATGGTTGTGAGTGCCATATGGGTGCCCTAAACTACTGAGCCATCTCTTCAGCCCCAGGTTTTGCATGTATTTTTGCATACGTGTTTAAAGATTGATTTATTTATGAGTGTTGCTTTGTCTTTGTGTATGGATGTTTTACCTTCATTTCTGTATACTATGTGCATGCAGTGCCCAAGGAGACCAGAAGAGGGCACTGAATTCTTCGGGAATGAAGTCACTGAGCTATCTCTGACCCCAGGTTTTGTTTTTTATGAAGTCTCTTTTTTTTTTTTTTTTTTTTTTGGTTTTTCGAGACAGGGCTTCTCTATGATTTTGGAGGTTGGCCTCGAACTCACAGAGATCCACCTGCCTCTGGTGGATCTGTGCTGGGATTAAAGGCGTGTGCCACCAACGCCTGGCTTTTATGAAGTCTTATAGATTAGGGTTTTCTAAGCAGACATTTGCCTTTTCTTTCTCTGTTTTTGTTTTGCTTCTTTTTTTAAAGATGTATTTATTTATTACATATACAGTGTTCTACCTACATGCCAGAAGAGGGTACCAGATCTCATTACAGATGGTTGTGAGCCACCATGTGGTTGCTGGGAATTGAACTCAGGACCTCTGGAAGAGCAGCCAGTGCTCTTAACCTCTGAGCCATCTCTCCAGCCAATGTTTTGCTTCAGGAGATACAGTTTCATTCTGTCTTCTAGGCTGGCCTCTCCTCTCAGCCTCCTGAGAACCGGGCTATCTCTGGCTAACATTCCTGAGAGCCGGGCTATATCTGCACAACTGGTTGACATTCCTGCTTGCTTCTTCCCTCCTGTTCTCCTTACTCTCGTGAGTTTATCCCTTTATTCCTCTATTATCACTTGGGTGGGGATCAGAAATAATTGCATACAATTGTGTGTGTGTGTGTGTGTGTGTGTGTGTGTGGAGGTGCCCAGAAGAGGCTGACGCCCTGGAGGTGAAGTCACACGTGGTTGGAATGTGTGTATGTGTATGTGAGTGTGTGTGTGTGTGTGTGGACAGGTGCCCAGAAGAGGGAGGTAAAGTTACACGTGGTTGGAGTCTGTGTGTGTGTGTGTAGGTGCCCAGAAGAGGCTGACGCTCTGGAGGTGAAGTCACACGTGGTTGGAGGGGCCTGAGATAAGAACTCAAGTTTTCTGCAAGAGCAGCAAGGACTTGTAACCTCTGAGCCATCTCTCCAGCCCTTTTCTCTTTTTAAAAATTACCACATATCCATTAGCAAACACGGCAAGTCTGTCGCGTTTGTGTACACGTGTAGCATGTACTCTGCTCATGCTCACAGTCACGTAGAGCGTGGCAGGGGTCAGCGTTGGATGTCCTCCTCTATCGCCCTTGACATATATCGGCTAGACTGGCCAGGGGCCCGGGGCCCAATAGCCCAGCCTCCTTGCTGTGTACAAGCATCATCTGATTACCGTCTTACTTCTCGGCTAGACTGCTATAGTGTGAGTAGACACCACACAATCGGGGTTCGTTTCTGGGTTTTGTTTTGTTTGCTTCCCGTGGTGCTGGGAACTGAACTTGGCCTCACAAGTGTGCGGTGTGAGCTCTAATGTTGAGCTGTAAAATTAAGAGTAAAATAGTTTATGTTCTTGGGAGAAGAAAAAAATCATCTCGATTTATTTATTCGTTTGTTTGTTTTGGTTTTTCAAGACAAGGTTTCTCTGTATGTAGCCCTGTCCTGGACCTCACTTTGTAGACCAGGCTAGCCTAAAACTCAGAGATCCACCTGCCTCTGCCCCCCATGTGCTGGAATTAAAGGCGTGTGCCACCATGCCTGGCGACTTTTTTTTGAAATTCCCATGCTTTGGCATGGTGCGACCACCACTGTGCATGTGGAGGTCAGAGACAGCTTGCAGGAGTCTGCTCTCTCCTTCCACCATTTAGGTGCTGGGATCCATCTCAGTTTATCCGTTTTGGTAGCAGTCAAATCACATTTATCTGCTAAGCCATCTTGTCAGGCCGTAACTCAAGATTTTTAAAAGCAAAAACAACTGGGCATGGTATCAAACTCAGGAGACAGAGGCAGGGAGATTGAGTGTCAAGGTCAACCAAAGTTATGTAGTGACTTCCAGGTCAACCTAGTCCTCATAACAAATGCTTGTCCCAAAAACCTCGCTCTGTAACCAGGATGGCCTTAAACTCACAGAGATCCACCTGCCTCTGTCTCTTGAGTGCTAGGATTAAAGGCGTGTGCCACCAACACCAGGCCTGCTTTGGGCTTTCTATCAATAATTGAATAACCAGAAAAAATTAAGTGGTTAAAGAAAAAAAAAAAACAGAGAACATTTAATCACAGTACTCGGGAAACAGAGGCAGACGGATGTCTGTGAGATGATGACCAGCCTGGTCTATAAGAGCTAGTTCCAGGACAGCCTCCAAAGCTAGAGAAACCCTGTCTCCAAAAACCAAAAAAAAAAAAAAAAAAAAAAAAAAAAAAGCCAAACAAACAAACAAAAAACAGAGACCATGTAAAAACACTTCTGTAACAAAGCTCACTAAAATAGGACAGGAGCCGGGCGTTGGTGGCGCACGCCTTTAATCCCAGCACAGGGGAGGCAGAGGCAGGTGGATCTCTGTGAGTTCGAGACCAGCCTGGTCTACAGAGTGAGTTCCAGGACAGCCTCCAAAACAATACAGAGAAACCCTGTCTCGAAAAAACCAAAAAATAAAAATAAAAAATAAAAAAAATAAAATAAAATAGGACAGGAATGAGTCTGACCGCATTTAAGAGCACATACACAAGATGATATTCAGGTAAGCTAAACACTGACAAAGAGAAGTCCTAACCCAGCTTTGCCGCCAGCAGCCTGCTCACCACACACACATACCAGTTCCCCTTGGGTATGCTGCCCTCTAGTTTACAGACGCTCTCTCTGGGCTCACAACGGTGGATTCAGACAACATGGGCATCTACTGCCCAGGACTTACCTGAAGTTTGGCTATTTCCTTTCTGATGAGAAAGCTGACTTGGTCTCGGTCACTCCTAGAGTAATAGAGACGACACCAGGATGGTTTCCCATCCCTGCCAGCACGGCCAGACTCCTGGTAGTAGCCAGCCATGGACTTGGCAATATTCCAGTGGGCAACAAACCTGTAGGACACGAAAGGACAAGGTGCATGATGGGAGAGCAGGGTGCTCCAGGGAGGAGTGATCCAGCCAGGAGACGCTCTTCCTCTCTGGTGGCCAGCTACAGGGGAACTAACACCCAAGACACAGACCCCAGAGTGCATCAGAGCTGGTTGGGTGACACACCTTGCCCTCAACAGGCCTCTCTGCCATAGAGCAGCCCAACTTAGAGGCCACAGCACCATTATGGGAGAAATTCTAAAATATGACAAAATAAAACAAAACAGAAACAACAGCCAGGCCTGAGGGGATGGCCCAATGGCTAAGAGCACTGGCTGTCCTGCCAGAGACTAGGATGTGAGTCCCAGCACTCACAACCTTTAACTCCAGACACAGGGGATCCAATCCCTTCTTTTGGTCTCTGTAGGCACCAGGCACACCAGTGGTGCACAGACATACATGCAGGCAAAATACCCATACACACAAAATAAAAAGGGGGAAAAAAAAAACCCTTAAACCCAGAGGCCAGAATAAAACACCAGACTTAAGAACAGGCTGGGCAAACTAGGCGGTGGTGGCTCACTCCTTTGATCCCAGCACTTGGGAAACAGAGGGAGGTGGATCTCTGTGAGTTTGAGGTCTACAGAGAGTTCCAGGACAGCCAGGGCTGTTCCACAGTGAAACCCTGTCTTGAAAAACCAAAAATTCAGGCTAGGCATGCTGGCACACACCTTTAGCAAGAGCACCCAGGGGGCAAAGGCAGGTGCATCTGAGAGTATGAAGCCAACCTGGTCGGCTCTATATAGGGAGTGCCAGGCTAGCTAGGCCTACACAGTTAGACCCTGTCTCAATAAATAAAGATCAGAGGCTGGAGAGACAGCTCAGCAGTTAAGAACTGTACTGTTCCTGCAGAAGACCCCAGCTTTAAATGTTAGCACCCATGTTGAGTGTTCACAACTACATGTAACTCCAGCCCCAGATCTGACATACATTTCTGGCCTGTGTGTACTCCAGCACATGTTCACATGCACGTGCACACAATAAAGATAAAAGTAAAAAATATTGTTACTTATGAGTTGCATGACCTTATTTTATGCCCCTTTGGCGAAGGAAGAGGGTATTCACTAAGTACCTACTGTGCGCCGGGCGGTGGCGCATGCCTTTAATCCCAGCACTTGAGAGGCAGAGGCAGGCGGATCTCTGTGAGTTCGAGGCCAGCATGGTCTACAGAGTGAGTTCCAGGACAGCCTCCAAAGCCACAGAGAAACTCTGTCTCGAAAAACTAAAAAAAAAAAAAAAAAAAAAAGTACCTACTGTGCATCAGCCACTACGTTTCATTTGTTGGTGACCATTATGTGAGTTAGCTGACTGCAGAGATGATATAGGAGACCAGAGAGGCAAGTCTGTAAGAATACCATATGGAGCGAGGACTGGAGCCAAGGGAGTCTGACTTAAAGCTGACTGCTAATAAGCCACAGCAGACCAGGGTTCAACTCCTGACTCCAGTCCGTGTTTTCAAATGTGCAATCCCAGTGGTTACAGCGACTGATTCCCACTGGTGACACGCTGGGGGCTAATGGCACGTATGCAGAAGACGTGACTGTTGGTGGGAGGACAAAGGCTCCAGGCAGTAGTCCCTGAGCTTTCCCAGAGTCAAACCCTTTCTCAGCGTTGCCAGAGTGAGACTCAGGCGAAGATGAATCCTAGCTCTTGACTGTGGATGAACAGTAATAAGGTGTAAGCAATAAGATCTTCACTTGACTCCCTTGGGGAGGCTGAAATAGTTACTTTCTACCTGAAAGATGGGTGTGAACCAGATTGTTAGTGGATGACCTGACAGCACACTGCCAAGTTCCCTGGGTGGAGAACCAGGTCACCCAGAAACTGTCAGCATTCAGGCTATATCCTAGGGATTCCCCTGGTGGCCTTCCTCCTCACTGGCACTAAACAAGCACATGGACTTGGAACTTTGTACACAGCACCAGGCAATCCACTTTAAGCCACGCCCCAACTGGGAACATAAGGCAGGAATCAGAGCTTACCGGACATTAGCTTTGTCCACGCCCATCCCAAAACTGATGGTTGCAACAATTACAGGGACCTTCTCCTCCATCCACTCATTCTGTACCCGTGTTCTGTCAGGAGCCTTCAGTCCTGGAAAGGAGGGGAAGGTAATCAAGGAAAACTACTCACATTTCCCTTGGGTTTATCTTTGGGGTGTGAGAAGTTATCTTGGGTTGACACTGTCCTGGTCACTTAACTTATACCCTGAATTCATCACTTTTTATCCATATGACCACAAACCTAGCACGTAATCTCACAGAACCTGAACTAGCCAGCCAGGTATGGTGACACACGCCTTTAAGCCCAGCACTTGGGAGGCAGTGACAGGAGGATCTCTGAGTTCAAAGCTTGGTCTACATAGTGAGTTTCAGGACAGCCAGAGGTCCTGCTTCAAAAAAAAAAAACAAAACAAAACAAAAAAAAAAAGACAAAAATAAATAAAAAAACTTAGCCCATGAGTGGCACATAATATTCAGTAAACACGAGAGCCAAGGACTTAAGTCCATAGGTCTGCAAAGTCTGTGGTCTTTTTTTGTTTGTTTGTAATACCTGAGCCCACAAAAAACATCAACTGGGGCTGAAGAGAAGCCTCAACAGTTAAGAGCAACAGCTGTCCTTCCAGAGGACTGGCGTTCGATTTCCAGCACCCACATGGCAGCTCACAAGCATCTGGAATTCCAGTTCCACGGGATCGATGTCCTCTAATCTCTGTGGGCACTAGGCACGCAAGTGGTACACAGACAAGCTTGCAGCTAAAATACCCAGCCACATAAAAACAAAAGCCTTTGTCTGCCGGGCAGGCGGAGGGCAGAAGACAGAATCCCAGAGTCACAACTTTCTAGAGGACTGAAAAGGAAACAGAGCACCGTACTGTGCAGGCCCTAAGGGACAGGTGGTGTGCTAAAGAAGCGTGCGACAGTGAAGGGGACCTAGAGGCCTGGCCTCTTACCTGCGTGGTACGCCTTGGCGCTCACACCCCTGCTGCTGAGCTCCACAGCCAGCTGCTCACAAGCCTCTCTCGTCCTGCAATAGACAATGCCGCAGCCAGATAACGGCTGAGCAGGAAGACAAGAATCAGGGAAGGATGGCACAACCAAACCACTCACTAGGGCACGGCCTGCTTCGATAGCCCCACGCTCGGACTGAAGAGGGGGCCCAGTGGGTTAAGGGCACTGGCTGCTCTTCCAGAGGACCCGAGTTCAATTCCCAGCACCCACATGGCAGCTCACAGCTGTCTGAAACTCAAGTTCCAGGGGATCATGCATCCTCAGACGTATATGCAGGAAAAACACCAATGCACATACATAAATAGGTAATCTTAAAAAAAAAATAGGTAATCTTTAAAAAAAAAAAAGCCCCCTTTCTCTTGCCAATGTTCAGTGTCCTCTTAGGCTGAACAATCAACAGGGCTCATCATTTAAAATAAGCAGGACCAATCCTGGCATAGTGGTGCATGCCTTTTTTTTTGTTTGTTTGATTTTGGTTTTTGGAGACAGGGTTTCTCTGTATTGTTTTGGAGCCTGCCCTGGAACTCACTCTGTAGACCAGGCTGGCCTCGAACTCACAGAGATCCGCCTGCCTCTGTCTCCTGAGTGCTCGGACTAAAGGCTCACGTGGCACCAAAGCCCAGTGTGTGGTACATGCCTTTAATCCCAGCAATAGAGACCAGGCAAATCTCTGACAAAGCCAACCTGATCTACATTAGGGTACACAGTGAGACCCAGCATTGTAATAATAATAATAATAATGATAAAAGGGCCAGGTGGTGGTGGTGCACGCCTTTAATCCCAGCACTCAGGAGGCAGAGGCAGGTGGATCTCTGTGAGTTCGAGGCCGGGCTGGACCGATAGCCTCCGAAACAACACAGAGAAACCCTGTCTCATAAAAACCAAAAAAAAAAAAAAAAAAAAAATAATAATAATAATAATAATAAAAGGACCAAAGTAAGAATCCAAAACCCAGTCTTTCTAATGCCCCTGCCTCCTCTCTGAAACCCTGTGCAGCCTGCCAAACATACAAGGACTGTTCACCTGACTCCCACAGAGAATCCCAGTAAGGAAGGTAAATGCTAAGTTTAGAAAGGGGGAAACTCTTTGTACACATGTTTTAAGGAGCCTAGCTAAGAAGACTAGAGAAAGAGGGCTTTGAAAACAGCAGCTGTGTCTGTGCTACAGACAGCACTTAGGAACCCCCACCCCAGACCTCACCCCTTTATCAGCTTTCTGTCCAAGAGCCTTCAGGCAGAAGTCCCTCAGGTTGCCATAGAGGTCAGGAATGAGTTCCTTGAACTGCACATCATAGAAGAGATTGGCCCGGAAGCAGGGAGTCTTGAAAGAGGCCACTGGTTGCTTCAAGTGTAGGGATGCAAACACATCCTCTTGAACCTGCGGGGTGGCTGTAGCAGTCAGAGCCACACACGGGGCATGTGCCAGGCGGGAACGTAGAGCACCCAGACGCAAATAGTCAGGCCGGAAGTCATGTCCCCACTGGGAAACACAATGAGCTTCATCCACCACCAAGTAGGAGAGCAGGTTTCGGGATATGAGGGAATTCAGGGTGGGCTGGAAGGAGGCTGAAGCTGCCATCTCCGGGGTGATGTACAAAAGTTTGGTTCGAGGTTTGTCTCGCTCCAGGTCAGACAGCAGCTCCTTCCTCTCCTGTGCTGACAGCTTCGAGTTCAGGGAACTGACTTGTACCTTCAAGGCCAGCAGGTGGTCTATCTGGTCCTGAGAGTAGAGGAGAATATGCAGTGGACATCAGTAGCCCTCAGGACCAGGCAGTAAGCACAGCAGCATCTTACGCCCAGACCACGAGCCTTCTCCTGCACTCCAATGGATCTTCTCGTTGCCCAGAACGGACAGAAGAATGGAGGGAGGACAAGCTTTGAGTCAAGACCTGGGTGTACTGCTGGCTCCCGTAACTGCCACCTGCTCTCCAAGTCAGGTCATTCTCATTCGCCATCTGTACCCTCACTCCCACCACAGTAACTACAGAGTAGGATTGTGACCACAGGTGATATGGTGGCATGTGCCTATAATCTCAGCACTTCAGATGGAGAAGCAAGAGGACCAGGAGTCTGAGGCTAGCTCCACCTACATGTTAAGTGCGGGGCCAGCCCAGGCTACAGGGGACCCTGCCTCAAAAGATAAAAAAGAAAGAATGAAGCCAGGTATGATGCCACATGCCTTTAAACTCAGGGGGCAGAAGCAGGCGGTTTTCTGAGTTCGAGGCTAGCCTGGTCTACATAGTGAGTTTCAGGACAGCCAGGGCTGCAGAGAAACCCTGACTCTAAAACAGAGAAGGAAAAAAGTGAGTGAAATGGATGCACATAAAAGCTCTTGGCGCAAAGCCTGGACAGAGTGAACATCCGCTAAATGTTCCCGCTGCTCTCCAGTCTCTGCCTATGAGGTACACGGCTCCTAACCCATGGTTGTGCTTCCTCAATGCCACCTGCGGGCACTGAATACAGCCAGAACATCTGCAGAACAGACACTAACAAAAGTTTCAGTTTCTCTCCATTTTTTTCTGTTGTACATCCCCATATCTGTGTCAAAATAAAACACCAGGCACTCTCCAATATCAATTAAAAAATAATTTACTTATTTTAATTTTATGTGCGTTGGTGTTTTGCCTACATGTATGTCTGTGTGACGGTGCTGGATCCCTGAAACTGGAGTTAGACAGTTGTGAGTTGCCATGTGGGTGCTGGGAATTGAACCTGGGTCCTCTGGAAGAGCAGCCAGTGCTCCTAACCTCTGAGCCATCTCTCCAGGTCTCCCTATATCAATTTGTTGATGTACCATTCATATCTTCTTTCTGTTATGAGTACACACAGGAGGGAATGTATGCATGTAGAGGTATGGTTGAACACTGGTTTTGGAGAATAAACAACAGAAGCAAGGAACTTCAACCAGATGGAGCAGCGCTCGCCTTTAATCCCAGCACTCAGGGGACACAGGCAGGAGGATCTCTGTGAGTTCAAGGCCAGCTTATCTATAGTACTCAAAGTCAGCCAGGGCTGCACAATAATACCCTGTCTCAAACAGGTAAAAACAAACAGAAACAAAAAAATTCAAAGACTCATTGTGACCCACCACAATGATATGCACTAGTGGAAAACCCCACATTTGGGCAATAGAGAAACTCAGTATAGTTACTGAGCAAATCAGAGAGGCAAAGGCCAAATAAAGAAGTGAAATTTCTGTAAGTGTGTGTGTCTGTATGTGCGCGTGTGGGTGTGTGTCTGTCTGTCTGTATGTGTCTGAATGTATGTCTGTGTACAACATGAGTGAGTGCCTGGTGCCCGAGGAGGTGGTGAGAATTAATGTGGGTGCTAGGAATTGAACCCTGGTCCTTTGCAAGAACAAGTGCTCTTAACCACGGAGCCAACTCTCCAGCCCAATAGGTGGGATTTCTAGCTATAAAATCCTTTCTCTTCAAGGTGGGTCTGGTGCACAGGTGGCAGGGACAGAAGTTCAAATTTAGCCTAGGCTTAAACAAAAAACCACAAATGCCAGCAAGATGGATCTACAAGTAAGGGTGTCTGCTGAGTTTAATTTCCTGTATCCATATGGTGGAAGGAAGACAACCGATATAAATACAATGTAACAAAAATGTTCTTAAAAACATGTGTGACAGGGCCGGGCATTGGTGGTGCATGCCTTTAATCCCAGCACTTGGGAGGCAGAGGCAGGTGGATCTCTGTGAGTTCGAGGTCAGCCTGGACTACAGAGCGAGTTCCAGGACAGCCTCCAAAACAATACAGAGAAACCCTGTCTTGAAAAACCAAAAAACAAAAAACCATGTGTGACAGAATTAGGCAGGGGGGGCAAAGAGAACTAACAAGAGTGAGGGGCAAGAATAGGGCAGGGGAGTAAGGGAAGGGACTATATTCAACATGCCATATGCGCTTATCTGAAAACTGAACCAAAACAAACAAGCCAAAACTCCCTCTCCCTCATGACCCTTTTGGGATCTCTTGTCCACTCTCCCAAGACTCACCTGAATCAAAGCAATGAGAGGAGAGACGACGATGGTGATTCCTTTGGCCAACAGGGCAGGGAGCTGATAGCACAGAGATTTCCCTGCCCCTGTGGGCATGCATACAAAAACATCCTTGTCACCTGCAAAGACAGAAGATGACATTCCAGTATGTCCTGCCTGCTTTTCCATGAAGACTGTTGAAAGAACAATTGTTGTTGTTGTTATTAAAGGGGGGTTCACCAATAGATGGCTACTAGAGGCAGTGGGGAAGGACTTACTTTTCTCTAAAGGGCTGGGGCACAGGGAGTTTGACAATGCTCCAGTGACTATATAGACGACACAAATTGAACTTTTTCAATGGTTTGTTTGGGGGGTGGGAAGGTCATAAAGGTGGGGGGCAGACCTGGGAGGACTGGAAAGTAAGGGTAATAGGGTACATTTTGTGAAATTCCCAAATTACCAATCAGAATATTAAAATTAAGCCAGGCAGTAGTGGTGCACGCCTTTAGTTCCAGCACTCAGGAGGCAGAGACAGATAGATCTCTGTGAGTTCGAGGCCAGCCTGGTCTAAAGAGCGAGTTCCAGGACAGCTAGGACTGTTACACAGAGAAACCCTGTCTCAAAAAAAAAAAAAAATTAAATGTAAAAAAGGAACCTGCTATGTGGGCTGAGCTGGCTTTGAACATGCATGACCCTCCTGACCCTGTTTGCCAAATGCTGGGATTACAGACCTGGATGGCTAAGTCTGGCCCTGGTGGTTACAAATCAAATGAAAATATTAGGAAAGCATTTGGCTGAGTGTCTGCACATGGGACCATCTCAGTGTAACGTTTATTCCCTTCCCCGCCATTTCTATGTAAAGGGCAAGGACCTTGGGAGACATAGACATTCAGACAAACTGCTTCTAACAGTGGCGCTGTGGCCTGCATTGGTGGTGGAGTGGGGGGCATAGCTGCTTCCCGGTACTTCTAGCAATGGTACTGTGGTGGCTGAAGAGCTCCATTGTGTCACAGGCAGCCATCTCGTACTTAACTGCAGCTTGCCTCTGACTCAAGTTCCTGGAAGGTAAGTTCCCAGCAACCCTGACTCCTTGACTTCCACCAGAAATGCACAGCTATGGGCATCTGCTTGTTGTGATGACTGCCTGCTGATACTGGCTTCATAATTTGTTTATGCAGATATTCAAGGTCTTTTTTTTTTTCTTTTCTTTTGGTTTTTTGAGACAAGTTTTCTCTGTAGCTTTGGAGCCTGTCTGGAACTCACTCTGTAGATCAGACTGGCCTCGAACTCACAGAGATCCGCCTGCCTCTGCTTCCCAGGCTCAAGGTCTATTCTGAGGTCACCCTAACCGTCTAATCTGGGCAGATTGAAACAGTGCTTGTGGATTTTGCCTTTAAAAGCCCTTCCTTCTCCCACCTCTAGGTGGCATGTCTCCGATCTGGGTTAGAGACTGTGGCCCTGCTAGCAGCTTCGATAAATTTGGCTAATTACAATCCAAATTGAGTCTAGGGATCTTTTCTTGGTGTTCTCGAACTCCTGAACAGTGCTAAAAAAAAAAAAGATCTACAAAGTGTATTCCAGGACAGCCAAGGATCCACAGAGAAAGCCTGTCTTGGGGGAGGAAGGGCAAAGAGAGGAAGAGCCAGGCATGGTGGTGCATGCCTTTAATCCCGGTGCCCAGGAGGCAGAGGCAGGCGGATCTCTGTGAGTCTGAGGCCAGCCTGGTCTACAGAGCGAGTTCCAGGCCAGTTAAGCAGCCAAGGCCACTTAGTGAGAACCTGTTTCCAAAAAAGAATGATACAAAGATTAAGTAGTCTTCAGTTTCTGGGACATGAGTGTTTGGATTGAACAGCCAGGGAAGCAGAATACTGGGCACATCTGTGAACTAATGCAAGGTAATTTTTATCACTCAGAAGTCTGTTTATAAACATATTATTGCTAGTCAGTGGAGGCTCACGCCTTTAATCCCAGGACTCTGGAGGCAGAGGCAAGTAGATGTCTAAATCCTAAGCCTGCTGGTCTACATAGTGAGTTCCAGAACAGCCAGGGCTACAGAGAGAAACCTATCTTGAAAAACAAAAAGAAAAAAATGTTAAAAAATAAACATATCATTAATATGACACTGCTACTCCCACCTGGACAACTTCAGCCCCCTTATCTCCAGCTACAGTATTGTACTCCCCTCTATCTGGAACTCAAACTACCCAGTCTTCAGTGAGACGGTTACACAGGTCAATATCAAGATTAGGCATCGCTGCCACCCTTGGTACTAACTACATACAAACAAGAATGGGCGTCTAGGAACAGACTTCAAAGACGATCTGTACGTCTTGCTATGAATAAAAAACAAAAAACCCAGAACAAGTGTGGGTGGTTCTGTTATTAAAACTCCAACTCTGGCTAGGCAGTAGTGGCGACTGCCTTTAATCCCAGCACTTGGGAAGCAGAGGCAGGCAGATCTCTGTGAGTCTGAGGCCAGCCTGGTCTACAGAGCGAGTTCCAGGCCAGGCTCCAAAAGCTTTAGAAACCCTGTCTCAAAAACCAAAACAAAAACCTCCAAGTCTGTATACACCCAGACACGATGTCCCACACCTGTAATCCCAGTACTTAACAATCCAGAGGCAGAAGGATGGGCTCAAATTTGAGGTCAGCCAGATGCACACAGGGAGTTACAAGCCAGTTAGGGCTACACAGACTGTCAATAAATAAATAAGAAACAGAAACCCATCACCAGCAAACACCCCTTAGCTTCGGTTGTGAAAGATTTCCAAGCCAGTGGGAGGGTGACCACGGGTGACCAGCTGGGAAGTGTCAAGGAGAGGGTGTCGTGTTACAGCGCCACTACAGTATGGCCAGGAGTGTGCAGAACAGGACAGGTTACCTTTCGCTACAGCCATGGTGGCTCTCTCCTGTAAAGGTGTCTTAAAAGAATCAAATCCAAAGACTTTCTTCAGGGTGCTCCGGACTCGCCGCTCCCGGTCCAAGGGAGTGGAGACAGGGTGGGCGCTCATTTTAGCAAAAAAAGCAGCAGCCAAAAGGGTTAACAAGCAAAGGCGGTCAAAAAAGGCTGTCACGAAAAATGCTCCGCTCCACTTTAAAATACTGCCGGTGTCCCCTCTGTCATCATAACCTGCTTGCTACGTTACACTTAAACATATCATTCTCACGCGGTGAAACCCAAGGTTGAATTGCTTCACGCAATACATTCCTGGAGGATGAAAAAAAATAAACAAACCAACCAACACTGAACTATCCCAGGCCAGTAGAAGAGACCTAGAAACTTGGACCACAACAAAAGCCCACAACCGTCTTCACAGCTGCCAGGAGAACGTGGAACCCTTTTTCTAGGGTCCTTGTTCTAGAAGCAGAGCCTTAGAGACCATTCGACCGGCCCCCGCCCCCACCTCCCTTCCCTGCTCTTCCTCTGAGCCCTCAAGCCAACCGCTTCCGCCCTCCACCAGCCGAATGCTCTCCCAAGATATCAGAGACCCGGCTCTTTCATGGGGGCTCTGCAGCTCCTCAAACGAACACGACACGCTAACTCTAACTCAGACGCCAGCCCGCTCCAGAAGCCAGCCCAGTAAGAGCCGCAAAGGCTTACTTCCGTCCCGCGCTGATGACGTCTACAAGCGTCGGGCCTAAGCGGGGGCGGGAACTATGCTAGGGACGGCCGTTTTGATTGGTTTTCCCTTCTGGCGCGGGGTCTCCTGGGGTCCGGAAGAAGTTGGTTTCCGTGCACCTCGAATGGGCCTGTGTGAGTCACCGGCGTGAGCCGCGGCGTCCTGAGGGCGTAAGATGGCGGGGAAGAAGAACGTTTTGTCGTCTCTTGCAGTTTATGCGGAAGACTCAGAGCCCGAGTCGGATGGCGAGGCTGGAGTCGACGCTGTGGGCGGCGCGGCTGGTGAGGCTTGAGCTGGAAAGTGGGGGTGGTGGGGGCGATGGGGGTGTCGGCCGGCGTCTGTTACGGCTAAAAACGCAGCTTCCCTAGGGAGGTTTGCGGGGAAGCGGTGCTCATGGTGCTCGGGTGTCGGATCCAGGAGCCCGACAGCGCAGACAGGGCATTAGAACCTCGGGTACGAGTGGTGCCCCCTGCGAATCCCCGCCAGGCATCGGGACGGCCGGAGGGTGCTCGATGGGGCGCCGCGGCACTGTCGAGTCTCACTCTGCGCATTTGATGGCGAGAGTGGAGGTGACAAAGCTTGTATTCGCTGAGCTGGTAACTCTCGTTTAGGAATAGGCTCCTAAGAGTAAATGCCTCCAAAGTGCATGATTCTGTAGCTCTAGGGTGGAATGCGCTGGACATTCGTAAGCCTTTTAAGGGTCCTGGGTGATTCTGTTACTTTGGAGTTTTCACCGCCTATCGGTAATCCTTTTTCCCATGGACTGGAAATCACAATGGGAACAGAATTCTGGTTTTGTTTTGTTTTGTTTCCCAGAATTCGCTTTTTGTTGTTTTGTTTTTTGTTTTCTGTTTGTTTGTTTGTTTGTTTGTTTGAGACAGGGTTTCTCTGTGTAGCCCTGGCTGTCCTGGAACTCACTCTGTAAACCAAGCTGGCCTCAAACTCAGAGATCCTCCTGTCTCTGCCTCTTCAGTGCTGGGATTAAAGGCATGGGCCAACACTCATGACCTCAACACCCCTATTCATAATTTGGTCTTCCTAAGTGCAGAATCTGATCTGGGCCTGTAGTCACTTACCCGAGACTTAGGTTCCCTTTTTATCTTCAGAAATATTCTTGGCCGCACACGCCTTTATTCCCAGCACCCGGCAGGCAGAGGCAAGTGGATCTCTGCGAGTTCAAGACCAGCCTGGTCTACAAAAACCTGTCTCAGAAAAACAATCAAAAAAAGACAGAGAAATAATCTTGGTCATTCAATTTTCAGGACCGTGTTTGCATCCCCAAGTCTCTCATCATTCTCTCCTCCTCCTCTTTCAGAAGAGAAGGGTGGCTTGGTATCTGATGCCTATGGAGAAGATGACTTCTCCCGCCTAGGGGGTGACGAAGATGGTTACGAAGAAGAGGAGGATGAGAACAGCAAGCAGTCGGTGGGTGAATCTTCCAGATCCAGGGCTGTTGAAAACTGTATTCCCTTCCGTGGTTAACTCTGTCCCCTCCTCCCTGTTGCTGGGAACCAGTTGGTACCAGTTGGGGAGTGCAGTTCATGGGATAGTGCTTTGCCTAAGCATGCCAAGAGCTTGATCCTCAGCACCGCAAGAACAAAAAGTTGAGCTGGTTGAGTCCCAGTGGTTCTCTTTGAAAATTAAGTTGATTTTCGTCTGGACCATATTGTAGTAACTCTGGGGTTGAGATTGGGGGTGGGGGGTGTTTTTTGTTTGGTTTGAGATAGGGTCTCATGACACCGGCCGCCAATTTGCTGTGTGGCCTTGAGCTCCAGACCCTCTTGCTTCAGCCTCCTGAGAGCTGGGGTTATAAGCATGAGCCACCATGCCTACCTCGGTTATTTTCTGTAACCTAAGTGTCAGTGGGTGTTTCAGGTTGGTTTGTGAGTTTTAACTAGTCGTCCTATTTGTATAAGTATGTTCATCCTTATTAGTGTATCACTCACATGTCTATAAGCAACTTTCTATTATTTTCAACCTTACTTTGTAACGAGGTAAGGAAGGGAAGTTAGTTTGTTGTCGTCCACTTTGATTCCCTTGTGTTTTACTTGGTGATTTTGTCAGAGTGGCCCTGGTCCTTGATCACACACTTTCCTTGAAGCTAAAAGTAGGTGCAGGTAACAGTAGAAGGAGGACTGTGTTCTCATTTTCACGGGCTGGGTAGTACAAACCAGATTTATAAAATTTGAGAGGGTAATGGGCAAGGAAATTCAGGCTGTTGCTTAGCACAAGAAAACATCTGACATCGAATCTGGCCACTTGGAGGCAACATTCATTGAAAGCTCACAATATACTTTATCTTTTGTTATATGTCTTTATGTAAATGTTAGCATTAAAATGCTTCTTAGCTAAGTACATCGGTCCATGCAGGCATAGCACTCATCGTGCTGAAGCAGGAAGAGTGAAGATTCCAGAGCTTATTTTCATCTCAAATAAATAAGTAAATAGGTAAAGCTGAAGACTGGGGGTATAGCTCAGTGGTGCCGCTATAGCGCTTGCCCAGCATTCACAGGGCCCTGGGTTTGATCCCCATAACCACATAGTAGCAAAAGCAAATAAAGCATTTCACAGAATGTGTTTTTTACTCCCTTTTGTGAGAATTTTTCATGTCTTTAGCCCCACCCATTCTTGTAATTCAGAGTTGAGTGAAGTTGCTTAGAAAACTTGTGGGCTAAGGAAATCACTCATTTGGCAGAGTTTTATGTGTGACATGGATGAAACCATAGAGTTGTTCCTCAGCATCAATTATTTGTATTGGCCATGATGGTTCATGGCCTGTAATCCTAGCCCTCAGAAGGTAAAAGGATGAGGACCAGAAAGTCAAGGGCATTCTTATCTAGAAGGCAGGCAGGCATACAAGCTTTAAATTCCTTGGCTTTGCTTAAATGTATACATGCTGCCTCAACACCCAGCATGTGTGTTTGTGTTTTCATGTGTGTTTTTAAAATTGTTGACCCAAATTTACTTTTTGTCATATTCAAGCTATGTATGATATTTTAGTTAAAAAAGAAAACCCAAAAATAAAACTCCCATCAAACCCCCAATATGGACAGTGGGAACTATGTTAGCATTTTGCCAAGATCCATCTTTGATTCTTTACTTGATTTCACTTTAAGGAAGTGGTGTAGGTGACATTATGAGCCTTTATTTTCCTGGCACCACCCAGGGCACTTGTCTCAAAACCATCAGTGTAGCTTGTTCACACTTAAGTGCTATTTGTAAAACTTCCCAAGGGCTGTGTCTTGTTTAGGTTAAAATGTAGTAGGTGGGTCCACATCTGCTCCTTAGCTTTGACCCTAGGTGCATTTGCGTTCGGCGGAATTGTGGGCACACCTTGGAGAATTCGGTGCGCCCATGGTTTTGACTCTTTGGGCAGAGCTCATTTGGGTAAGGAAGAGGGCTGAAGACAGTGGATCAGTGACAGTAATGTGAGCACCCCCCCAAAAGGCTGTGCCTTGCCCGTCAGTCCCCAGTCTCTGGGGTCATGTGCTCTGGTGATTTGACACCGCCTTCCCGTGTCTGTGTTGATGTGAGTGCTGCTGGCTTGAGGTGCTTGTGTCACGGCACGTAGGTGTTTAACGGTGTGATGGCAGTCCACGGAATTATGGGTATGAATATCAAAGAAGTGGTAAAAGTTCGTAATCCTGGCTTTAATTGTAGTTTGCCTTTTGGACCATGTGGCCTTGCCTGACTGTGGAACCTGTTGGATCTGCCTCTCTTTACGTGATTTGTAAAGGAATTTTCACTGATGTGGATGGGGGCACACTGGTTTTCAGCTCCTGATTCCCCCCACCCCAAGAACATCTCCTTTTCCCTTCTTCTCTTCCCCTAGTTCTGGGTTGTGTGGTAGGGAAGGGTCCTTGGTGGGATGACCCCCACTGGGTAAACAGGCCATTTGCTCCAGCGCTGGCTATGTATGTATATTCCCCGGGCCCACTCCTTTCAAGTTTAATCCTCTAAATCTTTGTCTTGTAGGAAGATGACGATTCAGAGACTGAAAAACCTGAGGCTGATGACCCAAAGGTATTGGTGTTGACTGTGGTGGGTGGCTGGGTTCCTTCAGGGCTGTAACTCTGACCCAGTTGATATGTCGGGTCAGGGTCTGTCCCGCTAGCACACAGTGTGGATGTTTTCTGGGATGAAGCCAGCTCAATGAAGAGCCTTAAGGCCACTAGGAATTCTTGAAGCCAGTTGGATTTCTTGCCCGATTGTGAGACTTTAGATCAGAAACACAAGAGGCCTGTCTGGATCCTGTAACCTATGCACACTCTATAGCCAGTGTGGGACTTCGTGGGTTATATGACGGAGTGTTTCTAGAGTCGAGGCATAGGGCTCCCTTGTCTGTTGTGGTTTCTCTCAGAAGGTTCTGAGAGGGTGGGATCCGCCTGAGGCCTTGCCAGAGTTGTTGAGTCCTGCCCTTGTTTTCCCAAGATGTGCACTTCTACTCCCAGGCAAGCATGCAGGATGGTCCTTTTTGAATGCATGCCTATTTCTTCTCATAGGTTTGTCCTGCAGCAGCTGAGAGCAATTAGCAGTGGTTCTTGTCACAGTCTTTAAGGAGCCTGTGGTAATGAAGGCCTAGCTGCTCATTGTGCACTGGGTATTGGAAATGTACTTTTGCAGAACCGTACTTTATGGTACATTTTTCCCCAAGAGTAATCCCATGGAGGAGCAGATAACCACATTTTACAATTGTAAACTGCTCTGAAGCCAGTAAAACCTTCAAGGGGTATAGTGAAACTTAGGAAAATATGCCTGGTTGTGATATAGAACAGTAAGCCCTTATCATCTATGTGTAATTGGGGTTCCAAGACACCCCTCATTCATGCCATGTAGATACCCAAGTTCACAGTTTCTCACAGACTATTTAAAGTGGAATATTTGCATATAATCTATGTGAATCCTCATGCCAGTTTCAGATCATCTCAAAGCTATTTGCACTGCCTGGTACAGTGTAAATCATTGTTACACTGTATCATTCAAAAAATGATAAAAAAAATCTCTTGTCCAACACAGGTGCAGTTTTAAAAAATTAAACCTACAGTTGTTTGAATTCATAGATGAAACTTGTAAATATGAAGGGCCAATAGTATCTGAAAAGATAGCTTGAGCCATTCCATAACGGGACTGATTCCGCCTTGGATACGGCTCCACAGCCATGGGCAGAGGCTGCAGATAATGTGTCTTAGCAGGGAGAGTGCAAGAGTGGACAGTGGACGCAGGAACTAGGTGCAGACCGCTTCTGTGCCGAGGAGAAAGAACCCAGGCTGAGAGCTGGCCTGGTGGGAGGGCAGGGGCAGACCTGTGGCTCAAGACTGAAGGCCACCAGAGAAGCTGGCGTCCCAGCAGCAGAGCCTTACAGAAAGAGTGGTGAGAGGGAGCCCTGTGACACTTTCCTACTGCTCTGTGTAAGAGCAGTTAATAAAGAACAGGACAGACGGACAGACAGACACACACATCTCTCTCTCTCTCTCTCTCTCTCTCTCTCTCTCTCTCTCTCTCTCTCTCTCTCTCTCTCTAAGAGGTGTCTGGTTCTGGAACTAGAGTTATAATTGGTCTTGAGCTGTCATGTGGGTGCTGGGAGTTGAATTCAGGTCCTCTGCAAAAGCAGCCAGTGCTTTTAACTTCTGAGTCATCTCTCTCACTCTGTCCAGTTTGTTTTATTTAAATTTATATGAGTTTGTTTTTCTAAGCTTTTGATTTGAATAATTCTAACAGGAGGACTCGCTGTGACATTCGTTTAGCTGATAGGTTGCTGTCAGGGCTTCTGTACACTAGGTGGCACTCTCCATTCTGCTTTTAGCTTGTTCTGTGGGGCTCTCAGAGCATTTTGGCTTCATGACACAACTGAAAATGCAGGTCCCAACAAGCTTCTGCTCGTTGTATATATTGATAACTTACAGGTTGAAACTGAGATGCAGTCTCATGCGGCTGTGACCCCAGCACCAGGGGGATGGATGGAGACACACCCTTAGAGCTCATTGACCAGTCAGTGTAGCCAGTTGGTGAGCTCCAGGTTCAGGGACAGACCTTACCTCAGAAAATACAGTTGAGGGTAGCCGGGGAAGACGCTAGGCGTCTACCTCTGACCTCCTTGCTTTGGGAGAGCAGATAGTTGTGTTTGGGGTCTGAAAGTTCGGAGGGAAGGGCAGTAGCAGCCAGTGCAGGCCTGAGACAGCACAGAGCTGCATGGAAAAGGTCGAGAGCTTTCTGTCGTCTCTGGCCAGAGTGGTTTGTGTTCCTCATAAGGTAGTAGTTTCTTGGATGCCTAAAACCTATTTGTCATTGATGCTGTAGTTTGCTTTGAGATTAAACTAAACCCCCAAAGGGCCTGAGCCTCCCAGGACAGGACTTGGTTGTGGTAGAAGGACAACATTGAGAATTCTCTTGCTGCTGTTAGCTGACTTTAAAAGTTTTCTTGTTTGTTTTTGAGACAGAGTTTCTCTGGAACACACTATAGACCAGGTTGGCTTCGAACTCACAGAGATCCACCTGCCTCTACCTCCCAAGTGCTGGGATTAAAGGAGTGTCTCCACCGCCCAGCTGATGACTTTAAAATGAAAAACATTAAGCTGGTATGGTATCGCTACCTTTAATCTCAACACTTGGGGGACAGAGGCAGTGGATCTTTATGAGTTCCAGCCAGCCTGCTCTAAATAGCAAGTTTCAGGGCTACATATTGAGACCCTGCCTCCAAAAACCAAACCAAAAGAATACAAAAGGGTACTGAGACTAGAAACTGCATTTTTGTTTGTTTTGCTACTTTTTCATTTTACATTGTTATTGGGAGTGTATGGCTATGGTGGGAGGGGACATGCATCTTGGTCTTCATCGCTCTGAGATAGTAGGGTCTGTGCTCTGCAGGTGCTGACTTTGTCACAGACCAGAAGAGGGGGCAGAGGGGGGCACCTCGGCATGCCAACAGAAGCTAAACGCTTGCGCGCTTCGATTCCATGGTTTCTTTTAGTTTCTGGTCTCACCTCCTCAGTAAGCAGTCTGGCCCTCATATGCTTTGGTCACTCATCAGAAGGTACTGCTGCTGTCCTAGAAAAGCCAAGAGCAGCAGTGTCAGTCCCCTGGCAGCACGGACTTGAGGGCCCCGATGGCTCCTGTATGTCTTCTCCGTTTGCTCTGGGCGTGGGCGCCCCTTTGTGCCGCCCTTCTCCTCCAGGCTTTACCTCCATCGTTCTGGAACACGTCCCGTGTTTGTGTTCCCTCCACTTCTTCAGTTCCTGTGGATAGAGGCATTTCCACTCACCGTCCCTGCCACACCCTTCCGTGAAAACAAGCAGGGAGAGATGACCGGCTGCCAGGTCACCGGGGCCTGAGTTCGCTAGCTCCCTGAAGTTTTTGCTCTAGGCTGCGTGCTAGGGAAAGAATCCTGACCTTTCTAGGACTAACATTGAGAAAGAGAAATTGCTGTGGCATTTTTGGAAGAGGTGTGTATGATCCCAGTGAAATCAAAAGAAAACATTCTTAAAATGCTAGGGGCCAAGCTGGGTGTGGTGGCTAACTTAGGCAAAGGCAGGAGGGCCACGAATGTAAGGCCAAACTGGTCCAAACAGTGAAACCCTGCCTTGGGGAGGAGGGGGATTCTGCAGGACATGGCGGCACGCACCTTTAGATCCAGCAGAGGCTGGTGGGACTCTTAGTTCCAGGCCAGCAGGAACTCTACTAGAGTCTATCAGAAGACTGAAAACAAGGTTGACATGGAAGAGCCTTGTGGCTAGGTGGCCTGGGTGGCACTCCAGTTTGGCTTCCCTCCAGCCGTGGAGCCCAGGCACACACACACCACTTCACCCAGCCCATAGGACTGTGATACCCGTTTTGCAGGGTCTATGAAGTGGGGGCAGGGATGGGGAGAATGCAGTTTCGAGATGCCTTTGTGGTGCGCCTGTGTGCTGTAAGATGGGTGAAGGCATCCTGTGGACCGTGTGTTCTCAGCTCACTGACTGAGCCTCGGGACTTTTGTTCACATAGCTCCCAGGACAAAGCAATGCTTTACCCCTATCTGAAGGAATTAGCCGCAGAGAGAGAGAGAGTCTCCTTTGTTGCTGTGTTCTAGTTAATCCTGAGAACCAAGAACTCATAATAGGAAAGCAAGTGAGTTCTTAGATCTGCAATCTGTGTGCTAGTAGAACATGGTGGCTCAAGGCTGCCATAACCCAGAACTTGGGAGGCTGACACAGAAGGATTGCCATGAATAAGAGGCCAGCTTAGACCATATGATAAATTACAGGGTAGCCTGGTCTACAGCTTACACCAAATGATAAATTACAGGGTAGCCTGGTCTACAGAGCGAGACACTAAAACAAAGAAACGACCTTAAACTTAAACATTAAAACAAACAAACAAAAAAACCAGACTTGTTCTTTGTCTAAATAAGAAATTATCTTAAGGGTGGGGAAAAGAGTTATTTAAATAGAAAGCAGGATGCCATGACTCACAGTAGTAATTCCAGTGCTAAGTCAGGCCAGCCTGGGCTACAAGTGTGAGACTCTGCCTTCAGGATAAGAAGGTGAGGCCTGGAGAGATGACTCAGGAGTCACGAGCACTTGCTGCTCCTGCAAGAGGACCAGGGTTAGTCCTCAGTACGTGCATGGCAGCTCACAACTGCATGTGTGATTCCAGTTCCAGGGATCTGATGCACTCTGCAGGCTCCTGCACATACTTGTTACACATATATGCAGGCAAAATATTCATGCACACCAGATAAAAAGAAAGCTGGAAATCATTCTAGCAGGTGCCCCCACGAGCACCGCAGTTTCAACACTGTCCCGTGTACACACTCTTCAATGTGTGGGAGTCCCGCCAGTAAGCTGACAGTGTTGCCGTGGCTGTCATCAGATGAAGTGCTGCCTGTAGAGTGTCTCAGGAGGTGGAGCCTCTGTCCCTTACACAGATCAGGAGCCCCACCCTGTTGAAGCCCACATAGGTGCTCACCCACAGACTGAGAAGAGAGAGCTCAAGCAGGGGTTGGGGTGTGGTGGGTTTTCTTCCAGTCCTCAGGAAGTCTCTAGCCCAGGTCCGGGTGCATGGGCGCCGCCTGTGGCTGAGATCTTCAGGACCAGCCCTTCCCTTCAAGCCTGCTCACACTTTACTCACTGGCCGCTGCTGACGGGAGGTGATTTCCTGATGCCCTCCTTGGCTTTAGCACACTGCCAGGGAACCTTCTTGACTGCCCTTGCTCTAGGTATGCTGAAGCTGAGACTCCTGGGAGCCCCACCCTCTCCTCTGTGGTTCTGCAGCCAGGAAGAAGCCACTGCATGCCCGTCTGCCCCCTATCAGCCATGCAAGCCCCAACATACCTCCTTCCTTTCGGAGCCAGATGCCGTGGATTGCTAACTGAGGTGTGGCTGGGCCCCTCCTTTCCCAGCTGGGATTCATCTCTTTGAAATTATATGATGCAGAAAATTGCCTGTCCTAGGAATCCAGCACTCCCCAACTCCAGTCTCTTGTTTTATCCATGCCCCTTGCAATGTGGCTGTCTATGTGATTTCTGGATTTTGGAAGGATTTTGCCAATTTGGTTGTGTTTTTTGTTGTGTTTTGTTGTTTTTCTTTTCGTGAGATGAGGCTCTGTGTAGCCTCGGCTGTTCTGAAGGGTTGCTTTATAAACCAGGCTGGCCTCAAACTCACAGAGCTCCTCCTGCCTCTGCCTCTCAAGTGCTGGGATTAAAGGGGTGCCCACAGTGACCATTTGTATTCCTAACTTTTGAGTTGGGGAACTTTCCACCAATCACACTATAAGATACCAGGCTTCCTTCTGGTCCCAGAGTAATGAATGCCCTTATTGCCAGTACTTGATGACCAGTCTACATTGAGTCCCATCGTTCTGGGCCTCAAGTGTGTTTGTTTCCTGTTTGCAGTTGCCGGTGGCCTGGGCTGTAATGCTCTGTGACCGATGGCGGAAGCACTGTGCCTGAGGCCTGACTCTTCCACTCTCGGCGCAGGCAATTCTCGTCTCCATCCTTGTAGCTCCCGTATCTCCCAGGCCCCAGAGCTACCAGCTGAAAGCCAAGAGACACTGTTCTTACAGGGAGCCTTGAAGGCAAAGAAGTGTGGTGTGGCCCCACCCCCAAGCTCTTGGTTTGGTCCTTGATATAAGGTAGCACCTATACTGCTCCAGGGACCAGGAAGAGGGCCACTCTTGGCACATTCCAAGAAACAGCCGACCCTTCCTCACTGTCAAGTAGAGGTGAGACTTGGGATAGTCAGGTATCAGGGCTCTCCCCACTGGAAGCTGCTCTTGGCGGACTTGCACATTCCAGCCTGGCTGGTCGCGTTTGACAGGTTTGTGTGATAGCACGTGCTTCGCCACATCGAGCCGTACATTACAGCTTTGTTTCAAGCAGGTTTTTCAGTAGAGAAAGAAGCCATTTCCTTCCCCTTCTCTGCCTTTTCAGACTGTAAGGCCAGGCCGAGGCTGGCTTAATTTGTTTTGGCAGACTCTATTAACCCTTCCTGTGGAAGCCTTCTCTGGCACTGGTTGGTGAGTTGAGCCTTCCTGTCTGAGCTGTCTGGGAGGGAAGGCAACCTCAGTGCGTCCACAATGGCCCCACCAACTTCCGCCCATTTTTCTGTTAAGTGCAGTGTTTCCATCCCTGGCTGGGCCGTGTGCCCACGCAGCACCCTGTCCTGGCCCATAGGACACAACCGAAGGAAATGTTCTGGTGATGGTGTTTCTCCAGAGCATGCTTGTGTGGGAGCTGGCTTCTGGAACACAGGAGTGTGTTCCCACACAGCGTGGATTGTTGTGACTTCATTACGTCAACAGACTGTCCTTTGCATACGCCATCCGTGGTCGTTGGGGGGTGTTTGTCAGTGAGTGTTCAGGGAGGGGTAAGGGAAGGATTGAGACAAGACTGCTTGCAGCTCAGGTTGGCCTTGAACTCCTGACCCTCTTATGTCCACCTCCCAAGTGTGGTGATTACAGGTGTATACCTACCCCACCCCTGCACAGACAGAGGGCCTTGGTGGTGGTGGCCATTCTGATGCCCCCAGGAGGGCTCCTGGGGTAGTGTTCCAATCCTGAAGTAGCAGTGTGGCCTGCTGGTTCAGAACATGCTTTGCTGGGCTATTGTGAAAATTAAATGAGATCATTAGTTAAAGGGCTTAACAAAACCTAAAATTGTTCCCTTGAATTAAATTTTCTTATGTTAGCCTTAGTGCTTGGCCCATTGTCTGTGACATAATAAATCTTCAACAAATTATTTATGGAGTACGTGAGCTAACTGTCCAGCAATTGTCTTTTGTTGTCTGCAGATTTGGTCTTTATTTGTATGTTTGTCTTGAGGTAGGATTTTGCTGGTTGCCTAGACTGGCCTCACTCCTAAGCAAGTGAAGTGGCCAGCCTCTCCGTTGGGTGGGACTTCTGTCAAGTGCCACCACACCCAGCTTAATTGTGGCCTTTCCCCCCTTTGTCTCAGGATTTAAGAGCGGTTGGGTGAATGGTAAGAAGGAGGCTGCAGGGCCAGGTATGGTGGTTCTGGGCTGCATAGGAAAGACAGGCAGAGAGGGTGCGGAGCAAGAAGTGAGGTTTAAGGCCAGGCAGTGGTGGCGCATGCCTTTAATCCCAGCACTCAGGAGGCAGAGGCAGGCGGATCTCTGTGAGTTCCAGGCCAGCCTGGTCTACAGAGCAAGTTCCAGGACAGCCTCCAAAGCCACAGAGAAACCCTGTCTCGAAAAACCAAAAAAAAAAAAAAAAAGAAAGAAAAGAAGTGAGGTTTCTCTGTATTGTTTTGGAGGCTGTCGATCCAGCCTGGCCCCGAACTCACAGAAATCTGCCTGCCTCTTCCTGTCAGCTCCATCAGTGGCCGAACCTCTGTAGTCTCTGCATGGCGGCCACATTCCAGGATCTGCAATTTCTGTGACACAGGGCCTCTGTCACTGATCCACAAGTGGCCAGTTTCATAGCATTGTTCTGCAGCCCCTGCAGCCCCCTCATGCTGAGGCCTCAGGTGGAGCTGGGGAGAGCACAGGTAGAAAGGTGGTCCTCGCCTCAGAATAGGTGTTGGGTCTTTACTTCCCTCCCTCCCGCTCCCCTATTTGTGTATTTGAGACAGGGTCTCACTACATTTGTGTAGTCCTGGCTGGGTTGGACCTCACAGATCCGCCTGCCTCTGCCTCCCAAGTGCTGGGATTAAAGGCGTGCGCCACCTTTTGTTGAGCCTCTGGACTGGGCTGACTACTTAGCCCTCCTGCTTGCCTCACGCTCCGGGTGTGCACTACCACGCTGGACTCTTGGTTTTGTTTTGTTTTGAGGCAAGGATGTTGATAGGTAGCCCAAGCTGATCTACAATTTGAAATGCACCTGCCTCAGCTTCCTGGGTGCTGGGATCACAGGGCTATGCTACCATGCCTGCACATGCTCAGTGTGGGAGCCCTAGTCATTCTTTGCTCCCTTTCTCCGTTAGCTTCGTTTGGAAGCGGGGTTGGGTTTGACTGTGTTTTCCTTGTATCGCCATTGGATTGGGACTGGGTGAAAAGGTTGGCCTCTGAGCTTCTTTCCGTTCCTACATCGTGCTGTTCTCGTCTTCCCAGACAACAGAGCCCCTGGGCTGAGGGGCCTTCTTGTCTCTGCTCTGGGTTCCAGTTGCCCTGGCTGATACAGACAAGTGTCTGGTAAATAGCTCCCGCAGCCTGAGCTGAAAGCCAGAGGGAGAGACCTGGGCAAGTCCTAACAAGTATCCCCTGGGCATTTGGAAACACTGCTTTAGGGGACGGAAAGGAGAACAGAGGTGTCTGTGTCCTGTGTCCTCATGATGCCCCTTCTGGCCCCTTTGAGGGTTGACAAGCCTGTCCTCCGGCAGGTCTCTTGCCCTGTTTGCAGTTTAGTGATGTCAGCCTGTCTCCTTACTTGTGCTGGGGCAGTGTCATCGTAGCTCACGGATGCTGGGTTCAGATTCACACAAGACACTTGGCATCTGGAGATACTAGTGGGAAGCCGTCTCTGGATCACTGCTTGGGTGGCCCTCCCGGTTCTACCCACCCATCACTGGTGGCTAGGGCTCCTAAGGATCATTGCAGCGTGCCATAGGAGTGGTTCTGTTTAACGTCGCTCGGGGATAATACGTTGTGAACAGTTCTGACTTTAGAGCCGTGCGGAGTGGTTGCTCGCTTGTCTTTGCAGTGCTGGGGATAAACCCGAGTTTGCGTATGCTGGGCAACTGCTGGGCCACTGAGCTTTACATCCCCGTCGTCACTTAGCTGTCCTCCGTGCTGTTGACGTCAGGACCTGTCTCCACTGAAGGACAGGTGATGCGGTGACTCCGAACCCTTACTGGATAGAAAGATGAACTTAGAAAGGCTAAAGAGGAGCCAAACCACAGACCCTAGGACCAAGAGAGGGGAGAATCTGTCCTGCCTGTGGTTTCCCTTTTTATCCCAGAGACAGGACAGCCAGACCATTAAAAGGGGAGTGATCCACCTCCTGTCACTCTGGGTCACATACTGTGTTAGGATTGTAGTGACCCCCAGTCTACTCTCAGCTCTCTGGAGAAGGTTAGGCCCCGAGACTTCATAGGCTGCCCCGTATGTAGCCCTATGCTTCTGCAGGGCAAGGCAGGAACTCCAGCTGTTTTCCTGCAGTCAGCACCCAGGAAGTTGTCTCTAGTAGAGAAACACAAGGGAATTTTAGTCCCACGCCTGGTCACTGAAATGTTCCTGAATATTGAGTTCTCCCAGTGCTGCTACAAAGGAGTTGTTGTTAGTCCCTGAGACACTGGCACTGTCTGAACAGCAGTTGATTTATGACTCCAACCTGACCTTGATGTGGCAGTCCTCCAGGCCTGCCTCACAGTCCCCCTCTGCCCACCTGATTGCCCAGAGGTGGATGGTGAGGACGGACAGGTTGCTAAGCAACCTGCCTTCAACATTGTGCCCTTCAGTTTGGATAAATAGTTGCAGTGTTCAGAAAAGAGGGGATTGGGGTCTGTCTCAGAATCAGAGAGAAGGGGATCTGGTCATGTCCGGGGCCATGCCTGACTGGAGGGAGTCCCTTCACACCCTCCCTCCCTTGGTGCCAGGGCCCACCCGCTCTGCAGCTGCTCTCGTGTGAAGACCCTGCTGTAGAACTGTTGCTGTCTTATCGCCTCTCTCACCAAGCAAGGGAAGGAAATCAGATCTGGCGCCTTCAATCAACTCCTCCTCTGCCGTTTCTTTGATCACTATCCTTGTGGCATTGAAGATCCCCGATCTTACTGAGTTCAAGGACATTTGGGTCACCAGAGGCCTTTCTGTGGTGCCACAAGACTGTAGCCTAGCTGTCACCTTCAGCCTTGGTTTGCTTAGGTGAAGCTGTGAAATAAGACACTGGTTTTCAATAGATTTCTTTGGACAAAATCTAAAACCGATGTAAGGTAAGATGAGGGTTAGGAAGAGCTAAAGACCTCAAGCCAGGAGCTTTGGGAACCTCACTCAGTCGCTAAGGGTTTCTTTGAGCTGCTCATGATCGGCTGTCCTGTTTGTATGCAGTGGGCTAAGAAAACTCCCAGGAGGTTCCCTTGTAGCCGTGCAGAGTGGTGTTTGGGTGAGCTCTCCCAGCCCAGGGGGAGCCATTGGCAGGGGCACGGTCACTGCTGTGGACTCAGCAGCATGACCGGTTGCTGGTCCCTCCTGGGGTCCTAGGAGCCTTGAAGCACTGCTCACTGTTAGCGTGTTGGCGTCACTTACCCTGCAACTCCCATCGGGAGCCCAACCTACCTCTGTGTTTCTTTCTCTCCACAGGATAACGCAGAAGTGGAGAAGCGGGATCCCCAGGAATTAGTGGGTGAGTACCCTTGGAGGGCATGCATCTTTCCATGCCCTTGCCCCGAGCAAGCTGGATTCCACTCATGCCAGGCCTCTGCTCTTTAGGGCATCTCTCCGCTGCGAGCAGTTTCCCTCCATACCCTGTCCCCAGGCCTTTGGCATTTCCTGGGGTGACTGGGTGAGAGCTCCAGGCAACACTCTGAAAATGGCATTCATTCTGTGCGCATTTTCTGGGCTTTGGTTGGTTGCCAGTGTTGTCAAGGGAGTTCAGAGTCCGTCCAGCTGGGAGCTCATGATGGTTTTTGCTTCTTCCTTTGTGCCCTGGGCCTGGCCTCTGTCTTTGTGTCCCCTTGTCCCCGCTACCACAGTCACGTTGCGCAGGGCGTCAGCATGGGGCCTCTGCAGGCACTTTGCCTTGTCCCAGGCAGGAACATGGCTCACGGCTTCCGCATGTGCAGCCCTTGGTAACTTTGGAGAGTAGAAGAACTTGTGGGAAACCGCATTCCCTCCATGGCCTCTGCCAGCCCCAGCGTCCTAACCCTTTTAGAAAGCTACTCTGCTCCTTAGTCTGGCCATGGACTTGGTAATGGCTCCAAAATCCTGACCCAGGGGATGGTCCTGGTGTCCCCT